GACTTAAAGCCAAAATGAGACAAGGTGGAGAACAAAAAACACCACCACACTGCATCTAAGGAGATAGTGGTTACAGGAATATCTTTAAGCTGACTTAGCCACATTAGATGTATTAGCAATCTTACATGGTCAGCGGACGATCGATTTTTCGTAAAACCCACTTGATTGTGGTGAATGACACTTGGTAGCACCCGCTGCATGCGCATGGCTAAGATTTTGTTCAAAATTTTACTGTCCAAGTTAAGCAAACGAATGGGTCTGAAATTGGAGGGGTTGGTAACATCTCTTCCTGTTTATGGGATGATCGAAATCAAGGCTTCATTCAAGGTTGGTGCTATGCTTCCCTTCCTAAACATCTCCTGATAAACTTTTTGTAATATTGAAGCGATGATATCTATGAACTCTTTATAATATTCTACTGGAAGCCCATCATAGCTGGGTGATTTCTCATTTTGCATTGTAGAAACTGCTGTCCTTATTTCGGCTTCTATTATAGATGACTCTAATCCCTCCGCTTCTTCAGGCTGCAGCTTGGGTACATCTATGTTTGAGAGAAACTGTTCTATCTCTCTTTGTGTGATATTAGTAGCTACTGATGATGTGTATACCTCTTCATAATATTTTTGAAATACCTTTTTTATGTCCTTGGCTGGGAAGATTTGTCTATTTCCCTGCTTAATTACTGGTATTGTATTAGAAAAAGTTTTCTCTTTCAGTTGTCTAGCTAATAACTTCCCTGTTTTTTTCTCCCCCTTCAAAAAAATTCATCTTTAATGTATACAGTGCATATTCAGCTTTCTTATTATATAATTAATTTAACTGAAATTTGAGCTTACATAACTCCTGAAATTGCTTGTTATCAAAATGTTTGGAGAGCTTAAGTTCCTTATCCTTAATTTCTTTTTCTAGATCTATAGTTCTATTTAAATTGTCTCTTTTCCTTTTAGCAGCCTGCACAATAAATTTACCTCTGACATATGCTTTAGATGCTTCCCAAACTGTTGTAATTTCCTCGGTGCTGCCAATATTAATTTCAAAAAATGTTTCCAACTCAACCTCTAAGGTCTTTCTTAAAGAGTGATCCTCGCTTGGATGCACGCTTTTGCGGCCTTGGTATCCCAGAATTCTTTGCATACCACTGCACAGCTGTGCATTTCAGGTGAGAGGCCGGGCTCGCTTGGAGACACAGCACATCTTCAAAGAAAATAAAAGAAATCCAAAAACAGCAGACAGTCAGCTCAGGCTGCATGAGCACATGATCTCTTAACTCACTAAAATCTGCAAACCAAACAATATACTCCTTAGTGACGAACTGATCTGCTCTGCTACCACAATCAAAAACATTAGAATTAAGAAAGCTGACAAAACTACATCGGAGTATCAGGGCCACATCAAGTTTTTTTTTTTTAAGACTTAGAGATAAAAGTTGTAAAAAAAACTTAGGAGAATAATGTCAAAGTAAATACAGTAAATAAAGTCATAAAGCTGGTTTGGTAGAGGAGATAATGTCTGGAGCTGGTCATCTGCAGGGTTATCGGTGGATGTTTTATTCAGAAAGCTTTTGTGGTATCTGAAAAAACAATCCAACTGATGATCAACATTTGTGATCCAGAGGGAGTCGAGCTCTGACAAGCACCACATCTCTGACACTGGCGGTAACCTACACCTGCAGAGACACCAACGCCTTATTATGGCATATGGATTTATATCATAAACTAAAGCTCAATGACATTCACGGATATTTACGGCAGCATTTACGGATTTATCCGCAGCATATTCATTTCTGCCTCCACAAAAGCAGCAATTTCCTCCAAGTTCACCTTCAAGTTTTTTTTTTTTTTTTTTATTGTGGAAAAGATGTATTTCTCACATATTCTTTTAAAAGTTATTATACTTATGACAATGTAATGCTGATGTACCAAAGAATGAAGTATCTCTTTGTTTGTGAAACCTTTACTAAAGCACAGTTCTTTCAAATGCTCCATGGCCCTAATTTTAACAATTCTCCTTTGAAATGACAGGTAACTACGACTATATTCTCGTAAATTCACGACTTTAATCTCAAAGGGCTCTATTTTCGTTCGCGCCGGTGAGGCGGCGGAGGGCGGCGAGCCCCGCGCAGTTGTATTTTCGTATGGCGGAGCCCAGCGTAAGGCCAATTTGGTATTTTCGTGGCATGAGCCGCACGGAGGCGAGCCGAGATCCGCCAAGCTGGGCGTGGTGGTGTGGCAGGGGGAGGTGTCGACAGAATCAGCAGGCGCAGTGACATTTTCGTGCTCGCCACCGGCGTGTAAAGTGCGCTGAAAGCTCGCCGATTCAAACCTGGTCAGCTTTCAGCGCAAGGCGGAACGCAGCTGGTCTAGTAGTATTTTGGTAGACCGGCGGCGTATCGACATATGTCACTGATGCCTCACCGGCAGGTTTCCACAGTGTCAGGCACATTTCAGTGCAATAAATAATCATCATCAACTAATAATCTGAGTCAGCACATATATTTAGATCTATATCGATATATTCTGATCTATATCTGATCTGATGAGCGCGTTTGGCACGCGTTTGGACACACAACCTGACCGAATCAACACAGCTGAAACTGCATCAAATTAAATTAAATATCTAGTAAATATTCACACATGATGAAGTTAACTCGATATGTAATTCGTCTCCCTCCTTTTCTTTCTTCCTCTTCCTCTTATTTCTCGCACAGCTCGACCTGGACACGTCTCCGTGCCCTCTGTCCGTCTTGCTGCTGCTGCGGCGGCTGAACAGATGATTTGTTTCAGTGCTCAGATGCGTTATCTACTTTAAGCCGACATACGGATATTATAATATTCAGTTTTGTGAGCCAAATTTATTTTATATGCCAACATCTATGAAAGAAAGAGCCAGACCACGGAGCACGATGCGTCATTTATGCACAGATGGTTCCGATTTTTATGCCATTTTTGGAGTTTATGTTGTGATCTGTGCGCTCAACCGACCTTTGTCACGTGATGTTTGAATATGAGCAACTTTATGTGAGTGTCTTTATTTGTGGAAAAGGGTGTTTGTCTTACCACTGGGTCCAACATTACGCACACTAAATCCATCTGTGCTCATATGAGAGAGTGTGGAGGACACTTGTTGAGGAGCTGCCCTCTGTCGCCATCTTGTGGCATTACTGTCTTAAGACATCTCTTGATCTCTTTGACTACTTCATGAAAATAGTAATACGCCTCGCCTGTGGCGGATTTAAAGGCAAGGAGAGGAGCCTATGTGATTGGTGAAAACAGGTCTCGGCTGTGTTAAACCCACTAACCGCCCTTTCTCCTCCCCGTCTACGACTTATGGTGCTGGGAGGAGCTGAGTTAGGGAGGGGGGATACCTACGCCGGGCTGCGCGGCTCACCAAAATACCAAAATGTGCTTGGGAACGCCTTGTCAGCGAGGCGGATCTGACTGACGCTGCGCTTGCGGCAGGTCTCCGGCGAGGCACCAAAATAGAGCCCAAAGTCTTTAAAAAAAATTCTTAATATGGCCCTCATACTCCGTCATACTAAACATGCAATCATTGGATACATTTTGTGAAAATTATCTGTGCTTGTATGTATCTATCGTTTTGTGTCTGTGCAAGGTCGCACAATTAAAAAATAACGCGGCTTTTCGTCATGTCAGTCGTTTATGGGGTGCCGTTTGTAAAGCAGCCCATTATAAAAACAACAGCAAGATTTGATCACATTTAGCAAAACAATAGCAAGATTTGGTCACATTTAGCTTCAAACAGCATTTAAAAAAGTGATGTGAATTTTCGGCAGTCATTTTTTTGCACATTTACAACAACATTTAAATACTAAAACTGAATGTTAAATGTTAAATCTAAATGCTAAATCTAAATGTTAAATGTATATGTTTAATTTAAATGTTAAATCTAAATATAAATGTTAAATATAAATCTAAATGTTAAATGTTAAATCTAAATGTGTTGGGCGAAACTAAATATTTAGCTAATATGCAAATTCACGGTCTGAAACCGGAAGTGCCAAAATAAAAGCTCCAGAAGGTCATATTGATGATTCTTGTGTCGAAGAAAACGAATTTAAACCAATTTAAGGGGGGAACAAATACTTGGGGTGACGTTTCGTGTTAATAACTACCTACAATAGCAACAGCAACAACAAAAACTTTATTAGAAAGACTCGAGTTTTCAGTGTCGCTTCTCCGTGTGGCGAGGACACTGTACGGACACACGCACACACACACATGCAGGTGCACTCATGATACTGCTCCTTTGTGGCGGACGCTGCCACAGCCACCGATGAAGTTGCAGAGGGAGGAAGACTTCTAATGGCTGCTTATACAGCTCTCCCAATGTTCTCCGCGAGCGCATAATCCCCGGACATTTTTTCTCCAATTCAGGCTTGTAGAAGCTTGACCTTACAGCGACACTGAAAACTCGAGTCTTTCTAATAAAGTTTTTGTTGTTGCTGTTGCTATGGTAGGTAGTTATTAACACAAAACGTCACCCCAAGTATTTGTTCCCCCCTTAAATTGGTTTTAATTCGTTTTCTTCGACACAAGAATCATCAATATGACCTTCTGGAGCTTTTATTTTGGCACTTCCGGTTTCCGACTGTGAATTTGCATATTAGCAAAATATTTAGTTTCGCCCAACACATTTAGATTTAACATTGAACATTTAGATTTATATTTAACATTTATATTTAGATTTAACATTTAGATTAAACATATACATTTAACATTTATATTTAGCATTTAGATTTAACATTTAACATTTAGTTTTAGTATTTAAATGTTGTTGTAAATGTGCAAAAAAAATTCACATCACTTTTTTAAATGCTGTTCGAAGCTAAATGTGACCAAATCTTGCTGCTGTTTTTTATGATGGGCTGCTTTACAAACGGCACCCCATAGTCGTTACGTGAGCCTGAGGGCGGGACATTTGGCGACTCAACCAGGAAGTCATCCGAAGGGTAGACCGTCCCAATTCACAAAAACTGGACCGTCTCACCCAGGGTCCTGAAGTCCACATAACGGCAGTGCGCTTGAGCGCGCTCAGCCGTATGTAGTCTCTGAAATGAGACACAGCCACAGCCTCTGAAATGAGACACAGCTCATGTTGCCCTAGACCTATTGGGGGCAGTAATGAGTCTTGACTTCGTCTAGTTTGCCAGAAATTTACAGAAGAAGAAAAAGAAGAGGAGCGCGGCGGTGGGTCAGCAAACATCAATAGTACTACATTTCCCGTGATTATCTGAGAAAGGCTACGGGTGAAACAGTCACAGCAGCTACGCGTCTCTTTCTAAAATGAGAACTTTGCTCCCAATATTGAGCAATAATCATCATCGTTCACTAATATCACAGAGTCCTGAGTCCACGGAGGGTTAATGAGTCACAGCCTCGGCGCTGCGGACCGACAGAACCCTCCAGATCAAACCAAACACACGGTGATACTAGACTGTTGTGGAGGACTCAACAACGTCGACTATTCAGAGGTACAGATTTATCAATTATATTAAGTTTCGTTCTGTGCACGAGAGAATTTGTATGAATCCTGACATCTGCTCTCACCGGCAGAGTCACAGAGCTCACCTGTCCCCCTTTACCTGTTGTTGACTTTTCTCCAGATATGATGTCGGCGGACGCTCCTTCAAAGTAAAAGCATTTAAAGATGGATGCATGCCTGTGTCAAAGCAGAGAGGGAAACTGAACCTCTGAAATTTCACGCGTTACCTATGGTTTGTTTTAAAATGACCCGTCACTGGAAACAGAGAGGATCTTTTTCTCTATGCGATTCAGCTTTACAACCTCTCCCCATTTCCGTGGAGCAGTTTATTCAGAGAATAAAAATACTTAACATATTTATGTACTGGGTTGGAAAAAATAATATGTTTTCTATGTAAGTGAAAGTACATTTACTGTAACAACATCTTGCTGAGTAGAAGTTAGCTTACCACCATTTTTATCTACTTTAAGCTCCTCTCCTGTGATGAGTTCTTATGGCATTTATAAAAATGGACTTAAAGATTTATTACAAAAATAAATTAAAAAAAAACATGCACCAGAGAAACAGCCCTTTTTTACTTACATATTTATTAAAAATAATACATTTGACTGTAAAAAGTCATAATGATGAGCTTTCTTTTTGTTTTTTTCCAGAAGACTTAGATTTTAAAAAAATCTCTGTTGACTGTTGGCAGTTTTCTTGCATTTACTGGCAACAAAAAAATTTGCAAAATAGCATTTTTGATATATGCTATTTTACACCGAACAGTGTGGGTCCTTTGGTTTGAAAAGTTTAGAAAATGTAATTTTTTTTAATCTTTATATTCTTTAAAGTAAACCCTTACAGAGAGCAGATTTTATGCCAGACTTAAATAACTGTCTAATTTTAGATAAAGTTATTTCTTTTTCCACAATTTTCCATTGTCCTTGTCTTTCAGATGGACTTGACATTTTTGGGAGGATTACGAAACTACGTCGACCCTCACAACTCCAGCTTTGTTTTAGCTGTGATCGCCATTATCTTCAATCCTCTCTTCTGGAACCTGGTAAGAAATTGAGGTTGACTAGTGTTGGTTTTTCAGGGCTGATAACTGATACTTGGAACTGATATGAATTTAGAATATTGAGTGGTACAAATGCCACCACAAAAGGGTCTTCATTTTTCTTCTGCTATTGTTCACTTAAAACTGACCCCATCAACATCACAGTTAATCAGTTACACTCACTGCACAATTGTGTCACAGTTGTGATATAGCTACCTAATCAGATAGTGTTGTAAGCGGGACATAGGTGAGACAAAGGCCTGGTTTATTCTCCTGCTTCAGGTGCAAGCCCTGTGATTGGTCTGCTTGTTGGTGGACACTTGTGATATTGCTACCTTCCCCTGTTTTCTTCCTCAGCAGCTGTATAGTTTATCTCCTCCAACATCCTTCTCCTTTCTTTGTGCACTAATTGCTGCATGATCAGCTGCAGCTCCATCTCAAACATTTTACCCTCTGATTCAGTTGTCGTGGTTTCCTTTACTCAAACAAAGACGGAATGTAGTGGGACTGGAAATTGGTGACAAAATGAGCATAGAGGTCGCACCAGCAACAAGGAATTTATGCAGAGTACTGTTGTAGCTATGGCGTAGGTCTACTGCAGAACCGTAAACCCGGCTACATTGATGCAAGGCAGCAGACACAGAGGGAGATGCACATCTGCTGAAGAGCCAAAGCAACACAATTTCAATTGATTCGTTTTTTTCCGCCATCTTTTAAAAACAGGCCAACAACAGATAATCCGCCAAATGCTAAGTATTGGCCATTATATTCTGCAGTGCTGAAACAGTTTTGTATATTCATTATAACGGCGCAACAACGGCAGATTGACACTGTAGGCTTCAGGCTTGAGTGGATGCTGGCGCGTTTGGCTGCCGCTGCTCACCGGTAAACTTTTAACTTTTTTAGCGCTCTTCCGTGCTCTGGAGACCAGCCCTCAGTAAATGCTGTTCTCCCTGGGACTCTTACCCTATACATTCACCAGACTTTGCTACCAGAGCTCTCACCGCCTTGTGTGTCTAGACGGGTAAGCTAATCTTAGCCTACCTGCTCGACTCACCACCCGGCTCCACGTCTCATCCTCTCCGCCACGCTTCACCATGTGGATCAGTAAGTTCTATGTACCGGCTACTCTGGTTGTCTTGGTGTGGACTGCCCTGTCGCTCCTCCATCTACCCGTGGAAGGTCTCCTCCAGTACTCGGCGGCAGAGGTCCTCAGGCTCAGCTCCCAGAAGCCTGGATCTCCACCGGCAGCTCTACACCTCCACTCGGACGTCGCCCTCCTGCCTCGTCCGAGGTACATCCACGGTGGGTCTCGGCGGGCTTTCCACTCTGGCAGCTCCAAGGGGATTACCTCTTTCTGGTCCTTCACTCGTCGCCCACACAGAAACACTGGCCGGTCTGTGGAGGGTGCTCCCCACAACACCACGAGCGTCAGCTTCGGTCTGCTTAACATCAGATCCTTCTCCGGTAAAGGACATCTCATTCAAGATATCCTCATCGACTGTAAGTTTGACTTTTTATGCCTAAATGAGACGTGGCAAGTCTCTGGTGACTTCTCCCAGCTGAATGACTCCTCTCCGGCGGGGTTTGTTTACATTCGCAAACCTTGTGAGTCGGGTCGTGGGGGAGGTCTCGCGATACTCTATCGCGAGAAGTGGAAGGTCCTGCCTGTTTCTGTGCCTCCTCTCTCCTCACTTGAATGCCTGGTATGTCAGCTACCTGGACCTGTCCCCACAATCATTGCCACAATATACCGTCTTCCCAAACCTCACAGTGACTTTTAAAATGAATTCTCTGTCCTCCTTACTCACCTCGCCACTCTCTCACCCAATATAATTCTGCTCGGAGATTTCAATATCCACATGGACAATGCTACCCTACCCCTTACCATGGATTTCTCTTTACTACTTGACAGCTTTGGTTTTCAACAGTTTGCAGATTTCCCCACACACATCAAAGGCCACACAATAGACTTAATTTGCTGCTCAGGTCTAACCCCCTCCAACTGTACCGCTGACACATTGCACATTACGGACCACTCCCTCCTCTCATTTACCATCACTCTTCAGCTCTCCATCTCAAAAGCCCCCCGCGTCATCTCATACCGCAACATTAAGGATATTAACTTGGACTCCCTTTCCTCCTCCATCACTGCCCTCACCCTGAACCTCACTTCCACCCCTGATGATCTTGTCATACAATATAACAATGGACTGTCCAACATACTCAACTCACTTGCTCCTGTCAAATCCCGCTCTGTCTCCTTCACTAGATCCGCACCTTGGTTTACCCCCCATCTCCGTTCCATGAAATCCAAAAATCGACAACTAAAAAGACTTTTCAGGAAAACCAGTCTCACCATCCACAAAGACATCTTAATAACTCAGCTATCTCTCTACAAGGACTCCATTTCTCATGCCAAATCACAGTACTACTCTGGACTCATCTTCTCTAATGCTGGAAATACCAAGTCTCTTTTCTCTGTTTACAACCGTATCATTCAACCCTCGGACTGCTTTCCTCCCCACATGTATTCATCAGACACCTGCGACTCCCTCCTCAGTTTTTTTTTATAACAAAATCACTAAAATCCAACAGAACCTGGGCTCCACATCCTCACCACTTCCCTCATCTGACCGTCTCCCTCCTTTCCAACCTTTTTCCACCTTTGTACTCCCTAACCCCTCAGAAATCGCCAACCTCATTACCAAATCCAAACCTTCATCCTGCCAGCTGGATCCCCTCCCCACTCCTCTGGTCAAATCCTGTCTGCCCTCTCTACTCCCCCTCATCTCAGTCATCATCCACTCCTCTCTGTCGACTGGAACTGTTCCCACCCCCTTCAAATCTGCAGCCATCAGTCCCACCATGAAAAAACCTGGTTCAGACCCCAACGACTTCAATAACCTCCACCCCATTTCCCACCTCCCCTTCATTTCCAAAATTTTAGAAAAAACTGTTGCCTCTCAACTCCACACCCATCTCACCCACAGTAGCCTCTACGAACAGTTCCAGTCCGGTTTCCGTCCCCTTCATAGCACTGAAACAGCCCTCATCAAGATCATCAACGACCTCCTCATGGCAGCTGACTCTGGTTTAATCTCCATCCTCATTCTCCTTGATCTGAGTGCGGCCTTCGATACCATCTCTCATCCCATCCTCCTCCATAGACTCTCCTCCATAGGCATTAATCACACCTCCCTTCTCTGGTTTCACTCATACCTCACTTGCCGCACTCAGTTCATCCAACTCAAATCCTTCACCTCACAGCCCTCCCCCCGTCACCTCAGGTGTACCCCAGTGTTCGGTCCTGGGGCCCCTCTTCTTCATTATCTATCTCCTTCCCCTTGGCAGCATCTTCCATAAATTTGGTATCCACTTTAATTGCTTCGCGGATGACACCCAGCTTTACCTCTCCAGTAAACCCGATGCCTCTCTTCCACCCTCCTCCCTCACCCACTGCCTCTCAGAAATTAAATCCAGGTTCACGTCACACTTCCTCAAACTCAACTTCGATAAAACAGAACTCCTCCTGGTCGGTACCAAGTCCACTCTTTCCAAAACTGACAGTTTCTCCCTCACCATAGATAACTCCACAGTGTCCCCTTCCCCTCAGGTTAAGAGTCTGGGTGTCATCCTCGACAGCTCACTATCTTTCCACTCTCACATCAGTAACATCACCCGGTCTGCATACTTCCACCTACGTAACATCAACCGTCTCCGCCCGTCACTCACTCCTCACACCACAGCTATCCTGGTCCACAGTCTTGTCACCTCCCGTATTGACTATTGCAACTCACTCCTCCTCGGTGCCCCTCACAAATCCCTCCATAAACTTCAACTTGTCCAAAACTCTGCAGCCCGTATCATCACCAGAACCCCCTCCTTTCACCACATCATCCCTGTCCTTCAGCAGCTTCACTGGCTTCCTGTCAGGTCCAGAATCCATTATAAAATCATACTGTACACTTTCAAGGCCATTCATACCCTTGCCCCCCCTTACCTCTCCGATCTCCTCCACATCGCCACCCCCTCACGCTCCCTCAGATCCTCCTCCTCCTCCCTCCACCTTTCTGTCCCCTCTGCCCGGCTCAGCACCATGGGGAGCAGGGCTTTCAGTCGCTCTGCCCCAAACTCTGGAACTCTCTCCCCCCAGATCTCAGAAACATGGACTCACTACCCCACTTCAAATCAAAACTCAAAACACATCTGTTCCAAATTGCATATTCTCTTTAACTGTCCATCTTCATACCTGTATGTTGTTTTTATTTATTTTAACTGTGTTTTAACTGTGTTTTTAATGCCCTGTACAGTGTCCTTGGGTGTCCAGAAAGGCGCTTTTAAATAAAATGTATTATTATTATTATTATTATTATTATTATTATTATAACAACATACCATATGCACACCTAAAGTGATCATTGATTGTGAACTTAATGATTTGAAAATGAATCAGGCAGAAGTCCTGTTTTCTGCATGCCTGATCTTGATCTCCTGTTTTCTTTTTTTTAATCATTCGTCAGGTGGCAAGATGGGAACATCATACCCGTGGACTGTCCAGGCTCTTTGGCAGCCCCTATCTGGCTTGTTACTGTCTGGGTTTCGTCATCATTCTGCTTAACTTGTATCGCAGCCACAGGTAAGCCACATTCTGTTACTGTTCAGCTGAATTAAAATCATTGGGATCTTATTCATGAACTATAGATTATCTCAGCTGAATGACTCATACTTGATTATTGTGCGGTCACTCAAATCACTTTTGCGTCATTTAGAAATGGTGGATAATGGCTCATGCATGATTAATACAAAGTAAAAACAAATCCAAGGTTTGACTTCTATGAAGTATAAAACCTGTAGTCAGACCAAAACATGTACAACTAAGTGGTCACTGTTATGCCCCAGTCTAGGGGTGCCTAGGACACAACATGATAAGGCCTCATCTTCCCCAAGTCCCAAGTAGCCACAAACAAGAGATTTGTTTCAATCATAAGAAAATGATTTATTTACATAAATAAGTAAATGAACATATAGATATAGAAAAGTAACTAAGACTAAGTTGTTAGGCTTCAGGGTGGACTGAGGCCAAAATAACAACCAAAATGAGCCTGTCTATAGAGTAAGTAATTAACCTAACCAAACAAAGGAAACGAATGACAAAAGACTTACCTCCTTAAGTAAATAAACAGGAGAAAACAAGGTTAACAAATCTGGCAGCCCACCCTAACTACTCAAAAGACTACAAAATATACAAGGGTTTAAGCACAGCAAAACAGTGTGGCCGGTTGGGAGAGGAGGAGGATGAGGAATGCCTGCAGCCCTGCCACCGGTGGCTGCCATCTTGGCTCCTCATATAGCAGGTGGTTGTCGGTTTCAGCCAATCACAGTCCAGGACGTAGAGCCAATCCACCAATGACCATGCGGCTGTGGCACATGCCTATTTGCTTATGAAATTGACACGACAAAAAAAAAACACAGGGCACACACACACAGCAGACAGACTACAAAATATGACCACAGTCATAACAGTCACAATTATCCCACCATGGTTTTGCCACAGTTATGACTAAACAAAAAGGAAATGTCAGATTTTCTTTAGAAGCCACTTGGCATTGAGCATGAGATACGCTAAACAACCATTCAGTTGATAAAACTGGTATTCTCTGAAAGAGTACATTTACAAAGCCTCTTAACAAACTTTGGTCTCATAAAGAACATCAAGATTTTCCTGAAACAGAGCCAGCTTCAATCAGGACCTGGTTAATGGGTACTGAAAAAATCTGAGAACCACTGATTCTACCATGATTACTTTGGTGTTTCTCAGATTTCTTTAAAGCTGCATTTCAAACCAAGTGGTCCAGTACAGTTTGTGACAGTAAGGTATTCAGCTGTTTTGAACCCCAACGCTCTTAAATGACATTTCCTTCATGATCAGCTCTGAAGCACTTTTGGGTCTGACCCTCTTAAAGCTCTTATTACCGCCTAAAGGAGAGAGGATTGAGGAGAGGGAGGAAAAATCAGAGCAGAGATGTGCTATTGAAACACAATAGCAGCTTTTATGGGGGTGATAGCTAACAAACCTGCCCGTGTGTCATTTTTTTGGAAGCTGCATCTTCGGAAGGGAAAAATTTCCCAGTTTGTGCATGTTTCTTTTTGGGATTAGTTGGATTTACAGCATTGATTTGACACATAAGTACAGATCAGGCTTTAGCTCTTTGGGGTTTTAATTTAAAGGACTTCTGTCATCAAAAATGTCTGTATGTTAATTTCATTTTGCAGTATGACGGTGGCGATGAAGACCCAGACCAGGTGGACCGTGTTAGAAGGGACTGAAATTTTCTATGCTGGAGTAGCTCTCATGGTCTTTGGCACCCTTCTGGTGGTCAGCAGCTTCTTGGCTCTGGGATTCACCGGAACTTTTCTTGGTAAGTGTGGAGGACCCATTGTAAAAGCTTAAACTAAACACTGAGAATATTTGGGATTTTTGCATCTTAGATGTTTCTTTTAGATCCAGTCAGGTGGCTCAGTCCACCTAATAAACACATTTGTGAGAGCAGGAAGCCCGAGGAGTTCTTCCTAGAAGGGTTGTTAGCCTAAATAACCACCAGGTGAAAAGTTTAATGCCTGGTTCACACAGGAAGCGCGCGGAACGGAAGAGCCGCGCACAGAGTTTCGGATCGGCACCTGTGTTAACCTATGAGACTGTTCACACAGCTCGCGCTCTGGAGTGCGGCCGCTCCGCTTCTCTCTATTTAAGGCGCGAGCCGCGCGCGCCAATTGTAAAGCTGGACAGAGCAGATCGGACCAGACAGGAAGTCGGAACAGGAGACCCAAGAGAATCCGGTCAATTTTCAAAATAAAATAAATTTCAATAAATTAGAAAAAAAGGATTTACGGTGTTGCTTGTCGGTCTATTTTTTACCGATGAACTTGCATGCACACACACACGGAGGGAGAGCTGCAGCTGGAGGGAGTCAACAGACTCCCCAAGTTATTCGTTGTTTACCCCTATATAATAATTTAAAACAATACTTGAAGATGCTGCCAATATTTAATTTATGTATGACGAAATAAAAATGTAAATAAATATTGATTTACCCATTTTTAAAGCGCTCGTAAGTGTGGAAAACTGAAGGCAGACGGAAACGGCCGAGCACTGCCGGGCTCAATCGATGTCTGACCGGCGTGTCAGAGCGCAGCAGAAAACGCTTTATGTGTGAACAGCCAAGCGCACTGCGCGCCGGCGCTGCGCTTCCTGTGTGAACCAGGCATAAGACAGTTTGACTTATTTTTAGCTTTTTATAGACCTAATTGGTTGTGCTGATGTTTAGCATTTATTTGTCACTGTGGTCATAAAATAACTTTAATTGAAAATGAATTAAATTTTCAGTGCCTCTATACTTTTAAAGACCATGTGCTGTAAAATTGAAGAATATCTAATATCCATTGCGGATGTGATAGTATTTCAAACCAATATAGTCAATGAAAAAGAAATCCAATTTTGTATCTTGTTATGTTATCCCCCCTTCCTCTCAGACCATATTTTTTTCATTTTCAGTGACTTAGCTGACTCTGCACTTATTGCTGCCTGAATTGTTGTTGTTTCACTGAGACTGAATGTGGTGTTTTTTAACTGTTAATTTTTATTGTCCATGATCACAGGCTAGTCTTTAACATAGATTTATCACACATTATTTGCTGTTGCAAAGAAAGAGAAAACATAGAAATTCATAAACACATCAACAAGTAGGTCAAGTAATAAAAACAGAAGAATACATATATATATATATATATGTGTATGTATATATATGTATGTATGTATGTATGTATGTATGTATACATACATACATTCGTTCAGACAGGGATAACACTGTGTCACATTTTTTGACTAATTTTTGTTTACCTTCCATTTGTGTTTCGATGTTTTTGACTCATGAAATTAAAAGAAAAGGGGCAGGGCAGTGATTTTAAAAGGGTGTCGTGAGCTTACAAAAGTTACCACAGTGTCAGTCATATGACCAGACACAGACATGAAAATATGGACCCAAAACTCTCTCACCCCAGTTTGAATCTTCTGTGTCTGTTTTCCAGGTGATTATTTTGGCATCCTTATGGATGAGAAGGTGACAGGCTTCCCATTCAATATCACAGAGAATCCAATGTACTGGGGGAGCACCGCCAACTACCTCGGCCTGGCACTTATGTAGGTTTGCCTGTATCTGTGTATAAGTCTATGCTGTGGTGCTGCATAGGAAACAGATGCACATGTGAAAATGTGTGTACGTACACTATTGGAGTAGTGCATGCAGCCAGACATCCAGATGCATGTTTGTACACTTGTGCAATTAAGTTTTCCTTTAAACTTCAGATGCTGCTGTTGTCTTTCTTCTAAGTGTGTTTCTCTCATTAAACTCAGATCTATTAGAGGTAGAGGTGCAACAATTGATCGTGTAGTCAAAAAAATGCATAACAAAAAAATCAGTAGTAGACAAATCAACAAATTGCTTAGTTGCTGATGACATACTTGCACATATTTCATGCTGTGGGAGAACATAAGATCACTTTCTGGAGTTGACTTAATGAGAGGTGAGACATCTTGCATCCTTACTATCTTTGACAGCGACTGATAATCTTTAGCTAGTAACATTGCAAAACACTGGTCAGGTCAGTTACCCTGTGGGCTGAGTCAGCAGATCTCCTGATTTGTGCACACATCAGAAAAGAGTGCCTTGGTGTGACAAAGTGGGTGGGATCTTGTCTGTATTTATCATTTGTCACTTAAAAATTTGTTTACATATTACATCTCATCACCTCTGAATTATTATTTCATTTGCTCTAATTTACTTTTACCTTATGTAACTTTTGTAACACATTCTATCTTGGGTTTGTTTGTGTTATCATTGAGTTTCAGTTCACAACAAAGTCAAAGTAAGTTCAAGCAAACACATAGGCTTCAGTTTCACTTAGTTTGATCAGGTTTCTGGATCTAGCACTGTAATTGTTTCTTTAGCCATACTTATGTTTGTTGTTTATTCAGCTCACCATGGCTATTTCCTGGGTTTATAAGGAATTGGTGTCGTCAGAGCTGACATCACGGGAGTACACCAACTTTGGGGTTTTTCTTTTTGTGAAATGTTTTTCTTTGTTCATACTTACCATTTGTTTGGTAGTGTAAGTATATGATTTATTTGGTTGGACTATAGTTTAGATAAGTGAAGTACAAACAGTTAGTGTAGGAGTTTTATTTGATTTCTTCTAATAAAGAGAGAGATCCTAAGCTCCCCTTGAGGTACTTTGGTACACTCACTGGCAGGTGGGTTGTTGATTGAGCAGTCTATAAAAGCAGAGGAGCCTCGCTCCCATGGGAAGAAGGTGAGTCCTAGTTTGGTCTCTTTTGAGATTAGTCTTATTTGATTTTGGGAAAGGTTTTTTGGTTTTAATGGAGTCTGCATGTATTGAACTCACCCCCGGAAAATCTGAGGTCTGTTGATTTGCCTCCCTACCACCTTCCTAGAGGCTTGAGCCAAACTACTTTACACTCAGGCAAAACTCATTACTCCAACATGACTACTACACTTTGCAAGAGACTGCACCATTAGCTGTATCATTGAGTGGCCAGCTCCAGCAGTCCCAGCAGTGTGTCTGAAACCTCCTCCTTCCTCTGCTCTCTTATCATATTCCCCCTCACTTTCCCTCCACTCTTCTGGAAGTTTTCTCGTCTTTCCTTGGCTCACTTTCCAAGACTGTCATACAATAAAATCTGATGGCAGCAATCATGATCACTGCCCCCCCCCCCCGGCTGCAGTTCCTTTCTCACATCACCTGATCCTTGTATGACCTAATTTATCCTGGTGCCAAAAGGAAATATCTGTACAGTTTTGTAAGAAGTCATAATGAAGTGCAACACATACATTTTTCTTTTGTGTTTATTAACTTACCACCAAACTGATGAGTATTTGATGTATCTAATCCAAAGTTGCACACATACAACATCCTTTCTGTTGTTTTTTCTGTTTGCAGTGGAGCCAGTCCTGTTGGCCTAGTCCTCACTGCTATAGTAGCCATGGTCTACAGTGTGGCAATAAGTTTTGAGGGGTAGGTTTTTCTTTGTCTTCTTTGTCTCAGGCGTTTGGAAAGTCATTGTTTCCCTCCTCATATGTTAGTACATATGAGGGAGGAAAAACATGATTTCCTCAGGCCAAAGACTGAAATGTGTATTTGGTGAATGCAGAGTTCTCTCAGACCCTGCTGTTAGTTGAACAATCCAGTATTTTTGTAAGTACTAACAAAAACCACATCTGCTTTTTATTCATATTGGGTCCTTTTATGTTCAAAATAGACAGATACCTAAAACTTGTAATTTATACATGACAACAAAAAAAAAAAATAGAAATAAAACACAGAAGTTAAATTAGTCAGAATTTAGCTGGTTTGACCTTCACATTAGGTTTAATAATGTGAATGGGTTTTACAAAACAACTAAATACATGTTTTTTTTCTGCATGTTATATCATAACAAAAATAAAAAATCACAGAGAAGTGGTAAACATTGTGTTTTTTGCTTAAAAAGGGGGTATTATGCCTTTTTTGAGACTCTATACTTCCTCTCTGAATCCTCTTTAATATCTGTAAATAATTTTCATATAAAAAAACCCTCTGTTTCTTACTCTGGTGTGTCAAAATATCTGTATTTTAGCCTCTGTCTGAAACACTTTGTTGTAGCTGCTGTCTGTTTTTCATCCTGGGTAACAGTCCAGTTGGTGCTTGTCTGGAGAACAGAGCAGTGACTGACAGCTGGTTTATAATAACATATTTGATCCATACTGCTTTAGAGGAAGCGAAAAAGAGAAAATCAGTATTATGTGTTTGGGGTTCGAGTCTCTAATGTCTGTTGCTTTTAATTTACAGACCATTCACTGAACAAATCTATGAGGAGAGGAAACATCACAACAAGCAGGAATAAAACCTGAGTGGACACCTTCACCTTCTCATCCTGTAAAAAGCGTGGACGGACTAAACAGCTGATAGACTTGTTCTACCCCCTTGGCCATTATTCCACGTTTAGCCTACATTCATGTGTGTTATCACACACTGTAACTTATTTTTTAGTTGTGGGTAAAGTTGTTTAAAAAGTTGTCAAAAAGCCATTTTTATATCTGATTCTTCTAAACCATGAAGCTGTGACAAACTTTATTTCTCTTGACCGGATGACAGTACTTTTAATTTTAAGAGTATTAAAACTTCTTAACTACCTCTATGCAAGAAAAAAGGGTTTTTATACAGGAGTATGATAAAAATGATATTAAATAACTGCATTATTTAATGGCTATTGAGAGCCCAAATCTGGTGGCCAGTGAGGCAAAGAAATAAATCAAAAATTTTCATTAGCAACATAACGTTTTCAAAAATTAAAGTTCCAATGGGACTCTGAGACCAGGATGAGAAACTGTCCAAATAATCAAACATTTCATAGTACTTTTGTAGCGGGGATCTTTGGTGCAGTTCTCCTGATGATAAAAAGCGCTCTGACCAGCTTAAAGCTAAATTCTTTTTATTATTATTATTTTTATCTAACACCCCTGAATGGTACCAGGTTTTGTAATCAATAAATACACCTCAAAAGTGATGACCTGACTCAAGTGAAACTGTTGAAACACACACATGAATGATGTGATAGCCAGTCGATAGATGAAGTCGTTTGTCTAGTTTAATGGAGGCAAACTGAGAAAACACTCAGGGGGACTCTGAAACAGTTTTCTAATGTCAGCTGATCAAAAAGTCTCAATGGCCATTAAAAGATACAGTTTTCATGGAGTTCACATTTACCTCTGCACATTCAGACAAACTACTCTCACCCAAAAGGAGGCATGGTCAGTTTCAAGTTTGACTGCTCTAAAATAAGTGTGCTGAACGTCATACCTTTGAATAGCAGGTCAAAATTGCTAAGTGTGGTAAAATCCTGCAATCCTAAAACTTTTTTAATTCATTCCTGTTGATCTTTACACCTTCTACTTTTATCTTCTTTCATTTTTAGAAAATGTTTATGTACATTTATTATTAAAGCTGTCACTGTATTTGATCTAACAAAAACAAAACTGTTTTCAAACAAAAAAAAGTCAGTGACACAGTTTTCCCATCATGTGCATAATAACTGAAGAAATCAGATGCAGTTTTTCTGCTGTGATGCAAAACAGTACACATACCAAGAAGTAAACACAGGCAGTATGTGGTATCTGATAATATTACTTATGTTTATTTAGTTATAAAAATAATATTTCAAGTACAATATGAAATCAAGCAAAAGTTGATGTTTGGATTAAACTGGACAAAAAGTTATGTAGTAACTATAATAATGATAAATAAATTGAACTGAGTCGAAACTGTGTTTCAAATAAACAAGTTGATTAGATCACATGGGGCCCACATTGAGTGTGATTATAAGAGAAGCAGCACAGTCTGATTTCATGCATGAAAGTGAGAATTATTTAATTTTCAAAAGAACAGAAACACATTTAACATCTGTCAGGAAAGGAAACATAAATCAGGACTAATTAGAGTTAAATGTTGTTTTTTCATGTATTAAACAATCACAATTCCTTATGACATGAAAATGGCCTTCAACTCTGTTTTTACTGAGCTTTTTGTTTTCATCTTTCTTTTTCTATGTGCTCTATGACTATATGTCAAAGCACTGTAAACTTGTAAATAAAAAGTAATTACAGTGTTACAACCTGACCTAGCAGGCATAAGATATTCAATAGTTAGTTCAACTAAAGTTAGCATGGATAAATCATGTTAATATTTTCACTAATAGACTATAGACTAGGACTGAAATGATATAGAGTTTCAGATCACACAAGGGTGTGAAACAAAGCCGTAGTGTGGATTATTCTGCTCATGCTGTCCTAACTCAGCCATAAGATATGTCCCATTCACCTGAAAATTACAAAATGAAGGGTTCACATCTTCGATGTGACAGAAATATGTCACGTGTCCCAATCATCCCAACATCTTCCTGGTGGTCTGGTTTGTAAGTTTCATAACCAGGTAAAAATCCTCACAGGTGCGTACATGTTCTGGAGGTTCATGACTTCTATAATCTGAGAAGAATATATCTATCCCTGTATCTAAAGACTGCTGTGGTACTGAGTCTCTGTACCAGTGTAGACATCCTGCGATTCACACAAAACTGTCTGCTGATGTGGTTAAAGTCAACAGAGGGCTATGGGATACTTTTATGTTTTCAATAATAGCTGTCTGTCTGTAGGCTACCAGGCTTATAAAAGTTTGGAAATGTCATAGTTCTTGGTTGAGATCAAAGATGATGAAAGGAAATGCTGCAGATCAAAGTAAACTGAACATGAACATATCCAAATATGCTTGCTTTTTAAAAGGAAATTTCCTTATATTTAAATACGGTTGTATGAGTTACAGCTTTTTTTCTAGCCACAATGGATGTCAGCCAGCTCTGCCCCTTTACTGAGGAACTGCGGGTGGAAACAGGACGCTGATAATAATATGGTTTCAGCTAATTTTGTGGGACTCTGAGCCAAATGCTCTCTACTAGGAGGGTTTCCAGCACTTCACTTTGTCATCTGAGAGCCCATTTGTTTTATTAGACATAGTTTTAATAAAACACAAAAACAGTCTTCATTTTTAATGGAATTAATAAAGTCAGTTGGTTATGACAACACCTCTCGAGGTCAAAAGAGTCTCTAGTTTTGAGGTCTGTTTAAAGATTTATTTTTCTATTCTGGTACAGAATAGAAAATGGTTTAAACTGTAGTTTTGATGTTTATTTTAATGAGGATTTTTTTAAGTTCTTTAAAAAGAAAGTGAGGTAAGTATTTGTTACAGAATAGGATAAAAGTAGAAGTACAGGGCTTTACATTACAGCTAGAAATCCTGATTCAGTCCAAGCACCATCATCATCATATACACCCTTAAAAACCTTGAGGTCAGACTGTATATCATGTGAGTGTTCATGTACATGACACTACCACTTGTGACACAAACACATTGAAACATATTAACAGAGTCCAGATTTACAGTACATGTAAACGGATGTATACAGGTAGATTTAAGTTTGACTTAGCGTCACAGTGTTTGCTGTGTATTGATGAATTGCACTTCTTTGCCCGTGCTAATGACTCGAGGAGACTATTCTGTACTTTTCAGAGAGTGGTGGAGTGCCATGCTGTTGTGAGTTACTTATCACATACAAGTCTTTGATTGGGACGACCATTCACTCCAGCTGTTGTGTCTGAGCCAATGAAAATACTGGAGATTTAAACATCAACTTCACTCTTTTGACTCTCCCCCCCCCACACACACACACCCACGTCAAACAGTGTAACATGCTCTCCTTGCAGAGTCCATCAGAGGTCTGTTCTGTGTAAAGTGTCTCTCCTCCATGAGGCTTTTTTGTTTGTGTTCTCTTGTTTCTGAGCATCAATACTGGTGTTGCATCTGTGAGATACTGATCCCTCTGACCCTCTGCGCCCACAGGAGTTGCTGACATTGTTAGGCAGGTGGGTGAAAGGGCCTCTCACTTCCTCTTGCTGTCCAGAATGGACCTCCAGTCATCGTACCAGGACAGGAGTCGTCTCTGTGAGGGGCTGACGGAAAGATGCTTATTGTGGCAGGCGGTAAACAGCACATGTTCCCAGGTTGGTTTGGGCTCCACCCCTGATTAGGACACAACAACAGAAAATTAAGTATTACCTTCATCAGCTGTCTGCTGGATAAGCAAACCCTGATATGCACCCACAATTAGTGAGCACATGGAAGATAGGGTCTGTTTATTGCCACTTGCAGGTTTAATCTGAGTTGTTTTGGTGTTTTGGATAATCTTGCATTTGGGTCCACGACAACAGAGTGCAGCAAGGTCTCACCAAGAATGTCAGGCTTGTCATCTATAAGGACGTCTCCAGTGATTAATGTCTTGTCTCTTGTCAAGATGACCTGCTCCAGAAAGTCATGGCCAAAATACTTCTCTATCCAGGCATACTGGAGACACACACACACACACACACACACACACACACACACACACACACACACACACACACATCAGATCAGATCAGATCAGATCAAATCCAAATGAAACGGTCATAGAAATAGCTGGATGAGCAGTGAGTTTACCTTCTCATATGGACAGTGTTTGTAGTGTTTGATGGGGCTGGTACAAATGAAGACTTCTGTACTGTGAAGAAACAAAACAACAGAGTCTTCAGCAAAGTTTAAAAATAAAACTTTTCTGTGGCTCACCTGACTGACACACTAGATCTGCAGTTAATGATTAATAAGAAGCTGGGAGGGCTCCTGAGACAAAAAGTAAAGATAAACTATGCACTCACATGTGGCAAATTTCTCTGATTAGATAAATGGTTCACTGAGGCACCAGTGGTTTAAAAAACATGCATGTCCAATTGGAGAGCATGTGTGAACACAGTGTTGATTTTTAATTATATTTTATGGCATTAGCTGGAGCTGAATTCAGTTGAAACACTGCCAAAAACAGTCATAAAAATGCAGATGTTACAGACTGCAATAAAAACAACAAAAAGTTTCTCAATGGATCTGTAGGTCTTTTTGTTGGAGATTTATGACAGGCTTAAACGTCTGAAACCTACATAACCAAGCATGAAGAGCATGAAGCTCAACATCCTCACAGACAGAATTCATTCTCTGTAATCTGACTACACACTGCCGTCAGAGAAACGGCCTCACAACACCAAGCCCTTCTGTCAGTTACATTGAACACATCTGTCTTAGATCCTGCAGGTGAATCAGCAGCAGACAGACCAGCTGAAGAAACTGCATACTGCATCAGACTCACTTATCCATCTTGGCCATCTCCTTAACAGCCTCTACTCCTCCTGGTAGAGGGTCCAGCTCCATAAAGAAGTCCTTGGACTCCCAGATACTGATGGCTTTTTCCTGGAGTTGATAAAGAACATAAACGTTAGGTTGGGTCAGCATCACCACTGTAGTGGGACTCTGGATGTCAAAACCCTACTTCAGAAACTTACAGACTACATCCATGTTTTAGACTCTCTGGTCCCTCCTGAGTTCCAATCCAACATGGAGTAGACTCTAATATTTTCATTGTGCTGTTTACAACCTGATAACTTACTGTAAACAGCCTACTTGTGAAACTAAAAACATCATTATCTAAAAGCCTGAAATTTTTTAGGACCCAGAACAGATCGTGAGTATGTTAAAATAAAAAACTTTTCAATTTTGGGTTTCTGTGATTGAGTAATTGTATTTTCTGTCAGTGCAAATGGAGGGGGAGTGTAAAGAGTGTAGGGGAGTGTGTCGGGTGGGGCTGAGCATGTCTATTTTTACTGCATTTGTGTGGGGGCTTTCTGGGCAGACTTACATCTCTGGCTGTCCTCAAAGTTTGATGTTAATTTTCTTCCTCAAAGATAATGCATTAGACCTGGTTATCAAAATATAAATAACTATAAGCAATCTTTTATCACAAAGTAACATGTTTTTAAGAGCTTAACCAAACCTAAACATTAATCACAATGAGATAAAAACATTCATCACCACAGTATATACAGAAAATTAAAGCTTGTCTTACAGATAGCCTAGCTGATTCAAGACCTTTTGACTTAATCTGTAAGACATCAGCACAAAACGTACAGAACTAGCTACATGGAGAACATATTCTCCCATCCCCAGAGACAGCAAACCACATCTAAACCTGCCGACTAATGCTGGACATGAATTATGTCATGATGTATAAGACCCGTAATTTTTTTGTCTGTTTAATAAGATATTTGATCAAATTCAACAGTTTTGTTTCTCATTTGTTAGTGTCATTATAGTGCCTTATGATGCCAAATGAAAAACATCATTATACTTATTAGACATCAACTGACCTGCTCTCTCATATCAGCATGGCAAAAATCTAAAAATAAATAAATAATACAATTCAGTCTGCCTCCTTCTTGCTTTCTATTTTCTACCTTTCCCTTATAATCTCAATCTTCTGCCATCTCTTTAAATCCTGTACATCAAGACTGTTTACCATGCCTGTGTTTTTCTGTAAATGTTAGTGCTTTGGTTGTGCATGTTTTTATACTTTTGTTTCTTCTATCAGTTCGAAATAATAGAAAAAACAATCACAAAAGTTCAAGAGTACCCAGATGCAGCGCCAAGATGGCGGACCCAAAGATAAAAAACCACATTTACAAAACGCAATAAGTTTCCGCATTACCTCCGATTGGCGGACCCAAAACATGAACTTTGAACTTCTGCTTTGCGATGCCAGAACAGTAGGTGGCGGTATGTACCTACACTTTCTGACGGCAAAATTTACAGAAGAAGAAGAACTCTCAGGAAGTTTGAAAAGAAGCAAGCCGTCCGCATTCATTCAATCTCACCTCCGACCACTCAAACTAACCCTAACCCTGCATTCCATTGTTTCCATCATGGGAAATCTAAGTGACGCTCTCAAATTAACAGGAACATTGCGCAGAAGATATGTCCTGGGCAATGGACTGAGAAAACGGGCAGAGATTTGGAGGTATTTGTGCATGCTCTATATTACAGTTGAAAAGTGTATAACAGCTTTCCAATGCTGTTACTTGTGGCGAACACCTTTTTGCTTGAGTTGATGTGTGCCCGCAGGTGGAATAATGTCACATGTCACACACATTTTCTGTTGTTTTGATTTATTTACTCATTCATCATTTTATGTGCGCACCTCTCCTAATCAACCCACCCATTAAATAGACGGGCACAATAGCACCATCTGCTGGCACAAAAAATACATAACAATAAACTGCAAAACCCCAATCTGGCTCCTACAAAGTGTATGTGACAAGATGATTAACGTTTGCTTTTGTTAAATCAGGGCTTCCCCAGCCAGGACTTCGGCTCAGACTGTGGCATATTCATGTTGATGGTAGGTCATAACGAGCTGTAATGCACAAATATTGTATCTAGAATAACTTTCCAACATGGACTTTTTTAAAGTTATCTCACATGTTGTCTCATAATTTTTTTTTTAAAGTCTGCCATGTACATCGTTATGGAGTCACAGTTTGACTACTCAGTTGTAAGTACTTTTCAACACGCAGTGTCATCCTCAAGATTGTATTTTGTATTGTGCACTAAAATGAAATACAAACAACAATTTCAGCATGACATGCCTGTTTGGCGGCGATGGTGGTGCCTGTTGCTCCTGGAGAACAATTCTTTGAACAGGTAGACAGTTTAAGTAAACTAGATGTCCTAATTAACTGGAAGACAATCAATATATTGTACTTAAAGACATATTGTCATTACAGTTGTGGGAAAATCTTCGCCCACTGGACCAAAGAATGTCAAGAGCTCATTGCTGGAAAGCATACTCCGGTCTTCAGTCTAAAGAGGAAGGCAGAGCAGCAGGACACAGAGGTTAGGAAATTGCCTTGTAAAAACAGTATTATCTCAGTGGGAGTCCTTCAAAATGCACACAGTTGTATGGATCAACATTGTCTCGATGTATTTGGTAATTGATGTTACTTTTCAAATTGCCTTGTCAAGGAAACCATGACGCAGACGGTATCGGATGTCCAAAGAATGTGCATGGCAGATTCAATGCAATTCTGTGTCTACCAGACATCGAACAACACAGGAGAGAGGTGTGTTGCAGACTCAATTTAATGAATGCAATTATCGGGGCCTATTCAGTGATTTTCCATGAAGTGACCACTTTTACATATAGTTTAAATGCACGAATCATGCAGGAAAATTATTTATACATTCAAATGTGCTGCAGAGGTATAATCAATTGGACAGCGTGTTTGTTTGATATTATGTTTGTCTCTCATTTGATCAGATTGCTTTACCCTGAGGTAAACGTCATAAAATGGGTCCAGTGCAAGACGTGCAGGGGCTGGCTGCATCAGGATTGTGCTGGGATTGAAATGGAGCCGTTTGACTGCGGGTGCGAGGACTCCATTGAGCATCCTCGGTATAACATAATTTATCAAGGAAACATAGTATCAGTCAAAAATACGAGGCTCAAAGGATGAAAAAATGAGGGCTTGCTCTTTTCTTATTTCTCTGCAGGATCAAGGATGCTGTTGACAGTTGAGGAATTCATGCTGTCTTTTCTAAGACACAGATCAAGGTTGCTTTTGAATGCACTATCAGTTGTTAAAGCCACCGTTTCTTTTTCAGATGATTACATTTTTGTCTCTTGCTCTTTGGTTTCAGACATTACACGATGATCTACTGTCTGGAAAGATCCGCTCCAACAGAATGTTCCTTTGGAGGAATCCCGCCACCTCACTCCGACTAAAGCAGCATCTTAAGATAAGGACACTAAGTTGGAGTGAGCAGCGCGTAAGTAAAAATGCCATCCATCATGAGTATTTTTACTCTCAGGGGTGTTACATTTGAAAGGTGTTTACTTTCTGTGTTTTTCTTCAATAGATGTTCGAGCTCCTGCGGTTCATTGAGGTGGCAACAAACATTTCTAAAAAAATAAAGAGAGGCGAGATTCATCTGCTTGATTTCGTTTTTGACGTCATGCTCCCAGAGGTGAGTAGATCAAACTATATAGCTTGCTTTGAAAAATGATGATATTGTTAAGAGGTTGTTCTTATTCATTTGGAAAGCTCAAGAACAACAATTAACCCATACTGCATAACTTCAATTGTTCACATTATTTGACTGTTTTTCAGCTTTTGATCAAAGCACTGAAGGAGCATGGCATCAACCGGTTCAGAGCAGAGCTGATGATGGCCTGTGGCAACGTGTTTTAAGCCCCCCACCACACCGACGGCAGTGCTGAATTTTGTATATATATATTTTTTTTTACTGTTCACAATTTTGTTTGGAAAAAATTAAAGAAATCTTCAAAGCAGTTGTATGACAATTTCCCATTTCTTTACACAGTCTGTAATGATATCGCTATTCAATTGTTTTTGCTATATGGCTCTTCTGAACCTTAAAGAGATCATGTGACTTGTGTCTCTACAACTATTGTATACTTGGATTTTGCACAGTCAAGCAATCCTGAAGAGGTTCACCAGGAAGCACACCATTTCATAAATTATGTCCCTGGTTACACAATGTTACTAAAGGATGGGGGGAGTAAATTTGTGCAGCAACATAAGCACTCTCATAAAACATAATTATGAACAACAGAAAATATGTGAGGGTCAGGGCAACATTGTTGACATTAAACGAGGTCCTAATAGGAGTGGAGAAACAAGGTCACAGAGAAGTTAAGAAACATTGATGTGCTGTGTAATAAAGCTATTGGAGAGAAAAGTTAGAAAACACTGTTATATGATGTGTAACGAGAGGTTAAAACAGTCCATACTTGTAGCAAACTCTTACAAAAGAATTTGAGTAAGATGATAACTTCTACATACATTTACCTATTCTGACAAATTATCAGAATATGAGGACATCAGGCTATATATACATATTACTGTAAACTTCAGAATTAAATCAGAACAAAACAGTAGTCATAATTAATACATAAACGTTTTATTTTGATTTTTAGCTCAATAATAAATTTAATTCGATTCTTATGGAATGAACGGAGCAAAAAAAAAAGGATCCGGCGACTAAATCCGACTACCTGAAGTATTTCGGCGCCGGAAGTCCGCCAACGAGAAAGCCTTTCCACCGGAAGTAATTGTTTTGGGTCCGCCAATCGGAGGAACTTATTGCGTTTTGTAAATGTGGTTTTCTATCTTTGGGTCCGCCATCTTGCGCTGCATCTGGTCACCTCTCCAAAAGTTTGGGGAGACGCTGAGGCACACCGGAACTTTTCACAATAAAGCACGATGTATGTGGAGAACAAAAAAGAAATACAACTCTGGTTACTGAAACCTACTAAGAACACTTTGGAAGTGGCTCTAAAACCGCTTGCTGTCAGATGTCAATACCCCTTTGGACTGACAGATGAAACTTAATATTTAGTTTAAACTTGACCTTTTTTCAGCATAAAAGTGAAGGCCTTGAAGTTACATTTCTTTGTTTCATTTTTTAAATTTATCCAAATAGAGCTCGTCCCTTTCTTCACACCCCACACCTCCCAAACAAACCGCGTTTTGGTGCCGATAAAGCCAGTCTTTGTCACTCACACAGAGGTCACTCCTCAGCTGTCCGTACTGCGTTGACACCCAGAACCCCCTCCTGTCATTCAGAGTGATGTAGGGCTCCTCTGGGTACCTGGTCCGGTACTTCTTCAGAAACCCTCCCTCGAAGTCCGCCAGGACCCCATCCATGTCCACCAAAACTCGCAGACTCTTATCCGAAGTGGACGACATTTTCAGGCAAATCCTCTTAATAGGATCACGGAGCGAAGTTTCGCCTCTTCCGATGTGACGAGATGCGCTGGACAGTAAGAACATAGTTACTGGACTCTTGAAGAGACTGTTTCCTCAGATACAACATCCAGTCCACGGCTAAAGACAGCGGCTCCTCTTCATAAGGAAATCCGTTTTCAGGACACAGCGTTATTGTAGTCGTAGTTTTCCTCTACCAAAGGTTATCTCATGTTTTTAGGAGGTCGTCTGGTCTGTTTGACAGGTTCTGTTGAGCAAACGGTCTTCAGCAGAAGCAGAGAAGTGGATCCACTGCTCTGAGCAGAACCAAAGGTCTCAGACCATGAGTGCAACAGCTACCGGGTCAAATGAGACAGGCATATGACTGCAGTATTTCGGATACATCCGTATCGTTATTCGGGGTATATTCTCTGCCCCACTCCTTTGGTATGAACGATTACACTGACACGACTTCGATCGTGACAGAAACGGCCCTGCAGCACGGCTGGGAAAGGACCTGCTTACAAAATAGGAACAGTCTGTGCTACAGGCATGTGCGCGACAAAGATATTGTACATAAACGAGATGAGTTACTCCTGCAACATCATTGAACAGCGAGAACTGAAACTCGCCGTTGTACGTTAGCCCCATTTTTTTTGTAAAGGCACATTATTATTATTATTATTATTATTATTATTATTATTATTATTATTATTATTATTATTCGTAGTAGTAGAAGAAGTATTTGTTTAGGTACTGTAACAGGTAAAAGTTACGGTGTAATACAGCACACTTTCATCAAATTCTTCAACATTACAACTAAAAGGAAAGATACATGTTGCCCACTAACCCAGGTTTAGTAAGTTTCATCAATAGTCGTCTCTTTTTAAAAGCATTCCGTAAAGCACTTTGAATTGCCTTGTGAATGAATGGTGCTATACGAATAAACTTGCCTTGCCTTTAAAAGAAATTGAAAGAACAACATTGTACAAAATGTCAGGGGTGTGTTCTTAAGTAAAGATATGTAGTTCATGTCTGGACAGCCTTTTTGTGGAAGCGTATTGCTGCCACTTGGTAATATAAAAAATGGATCAGTACAACGATACTCTGTCCCATATTTCTATATTTCTGAGTTGCAGCAATACGCTCCCTCGTTATCAAATCTGTGTTATATTTTTGCATATTGTTCAAGATGCAAAAGGAAAGAAAACTAAATGAACATTTGTGAACAATAAAAGTAACATATAACCACATGATTTCATTTTTCAGACAAATCAGTGTGGATATGAGCTCCTACAACTCACCGTCATCTATGTTGAATAGAGTTGAACTTTGCGTCGTGTCGTTTTACGTCTTAAAGGTCAAGTAACAGTTGAGCGGAAAAAAAGCCAACTAACGGGATTAAATATTATAAAGCAAGTACAGAATATCACCTCGATATATAACACACACACACACACACACACACACACACACACACACACACACACAATATATATATATATATATATATATATATATATATATATATATATATATATATATATATATATATATATATATATATATATATATATATATATATATATATATAAAATCTTACCCATGATACAGAATTTTTATAATTTTTGAAGTTAAAAGACAAATACTTTCTACATAACCGTGTGACTGTCTCTTTAAAAATCCGGAGGTCTTCTCGAAAATGTCGTTCAGTTTGCCGTTTTATTAAAATCTCGCGATAGCTACACATCAGTAGCGGATGTGTGGCCCCCTGTCTTGGTCCGGACGGAGTAGTTGATGACGTTTGAATGAAAAATTGTGTAATTTCCTCCACTTTGGACCACAGAAATAATGGCTTCAGCATTGGAGCAATTTGTGAACAATGTGCGGCAGCTCTCCGCTCAAGGTAGGAAAGTTTGTCTCAGGGTAGAGGGAGGAATTAGCGGGTTAGCTCTCATTAGCTCATCAGTTCTGCCGATGGGCCGAACTAAACCCTCTTTCTGCTTTATCATGTAAACACACCCGAAAAAACACCACTCTCTGCCGTCAGAACTCTTGAAATTACCAGTGGGATATGTGGCAGTGTACAGTGACGCTGAGGGTTACTGCGAACCAGCTAACCCATTGAAAATTGAAGAAAAACACACTTTCTGTTGTTTGAAAGTAGAAAAATAATTCCTGAGGAATGACTGCCGGAGGTCCCGCCTTAGCCTATGGTGATTGGCAAATGTACTGAATGACTAAATATGATTGGTTTGAGTCATCCGTCAGTATGGGTGCGTTTCCTCTGTCGCAAGGCCTCGACAGACGATATGACCGGTACCTATTCCTGATCAAAAAAGTCCGCTTACCTGGTATAACCTGATCTCACCTGACCCTGACCCAGAACTCCTAATGAGGAATACCATAACACATGAATGCAGGGTCACACCTGTTATCAACGGGAAATGAACCCGATCGTAAAATACTTTAATATACAGACAGGTATGACATCAACATGTTTTCATAATAATAATAATAATGATAATGATGATGATGATGATGATGATGATAATAATAATAATAGGTACTTTTCAGTGCTCATTGCAATCTAGTGTGCATGGCTACTTTAGTCAGAACTATGTTTCAGATGGGTTATGAATTAGTTTGATACACCATGGGATGAATAAGGGTTTATCTTATCTTGCACATTAAATCAATTTATGCTGCAGGTTTAAAATTGACTTAAATGTCAGAACCAGTATCAAATCCCATCATTCTGTACATCACAAAAGAATGCAAATCAAATCCATGTCGTTTTCAGTTTGGACTTTATCTCCTGTCATTAAGGATGGGGAGAGAAATTCACAAAGAGGACATACACATAGCATCCTCACTGACAAAGCTGCCTGCAGTGTCTGCAGACATTATGTATTTTTTAAAATTTGTCTATTTTTTTTTTTTGCCAAGTGAGCCCAGATATTGACCAGTATAGATTATTTCTAAATACCATGAATGGCTTGATTAATTGCTTTAAATAGCTTATTGTTCATTAACTTCTCTGTGCAACAGGTCAAATGACTCAGCTTTGTGAGTTGATCAACAAGAGTGGAGAGCTGCTTGCCAAAAATCTCTCCCACCTGGACACTGTGCTGGGGGCGTTGGACATCCAGGAGCACTCCCTGGGTGTATTGGCTGTGCTGTAAGTTCCTTTTTCTGCCCTTTTTTGACCACTGTTTGTTGCTGTTACTTTTGTATCTAGCATAGTCCAAGAACTTGTACTTGTCGGAGAGTCTCTTAACTTTAGAGGCTTGGGGCTCTGAAGGGTTCATGGTGCTTGTTTTGCTGCATATTTCAAAGCTGAAACTTGATGACAAATGTGCAATGCTGTAAAAACATCAGGCAGCTTTATCTGTTACAATGGCACAAAAATAGGGTTTTTCATAACAGTGAATACATTAGTGTGGCATTAAACACTGTTGCAAAAAAGTAACAATTTCTCATAGTTTATAAATTAATGAAACCCACCCCGCATTGAACATTAAAATGTTTTGGAAATTGTTGTTTTAACAGGTATGTAGTTTTGCATTCTGTATGAAACTCAAATGTGCAGAATTAAGTGGGGTTTTGTTAAACAATGCAAATCGTTCACTTGCATTACAAAGCTTAAGTCTTCTGTTTTACTGTCTGATAGAAAAGCCTGCACTTACATTTCAAATTGATCCAAAAACTGTGCCTCCTTACTTTGTAGTTAGATTTTTCACCAAGTTTCCCAACCAGGTTTAATTTTTCCTGTTTGCTGTTCTCTATTTTCCAGATTTGTGAAGTTCTCCATGCCAAACATCCCTGACTTTGAGACACTCTTCTCTCAAGTCCAGCTCTTTATTAGCACTTGCAACGGGGAACACATTAGATATGCAACAGACACTTGTAAGTGGAGAGCCTCTGTATCAGTTACTCCTAAATGACTAGAAGGCATGCTTGTAAGGTACTTGTTGTGGCACAGCCTTTTAGATAAAAATTTACCAGATTTCCTCAGTTATCCAAAGGGGTAGGTAACACAACCCAAATCAAAATAAAAAGTTATTGTTATCAGGGGCAGGGATGGGTATTTTATAATTTACCTGAGCAGAACAATTCAGAAGCAGTAATGTGACTGGCTGTATAATATTAATTTTTTTTAAATGACCATAAATCTTTAAAGCAGAGGGTGATGAAAACATGATGATTACTCTCTATGTCTGCCAGCTCAACCCCTTTTTCAGTAGATGCAGCCACTCTCATGTTCCAGTCTGCTCAGCTGTCGTCCGATATATTTTAATCTACTATCATGAAATCATCATGGTATGCTGGAATTTTATCATTTGAAAATAAGCCGGGTGCATACTTTAATATTCTGTGCCTGTGTAGAAATGTTTATAATCATTCTTTTTAACAACTTTGATGTCAAAGTCATTGAACACTTAAAAACAGCAGAACATGGGTGATGTAGTCCTATTTGCTGTTTTCAGACATGCACTTCAGAAAATGTTTGGCTAATTTCATGGGCTCTGACCCGGTAATTGACCTAGTTGTACTGTTCACCTATACACCCTCACAGTGTGAAGGAGGTGCATGGCGGAGTTCCAGGAGGCTAATTCTGAATAAGCATACAGTGCTGTAGTCATGATGTAATGTTTCTCACATGGAGATCAACAGGGACGCTTGGACAAATTTCCTTCTATCAACATGATGAGTAGCTGAATGTATCCACAGTGTAAACAGATAAGTGAAATGAACATACTGGAGAAGAGGTGTGAATAAAAGTCCACCTCACTACCTTTGACATCATTTTTATCCTGTTACATGCCCCTCTGTCAGTGTTATAGTAGCTGTAGTACTTATTATACCTACTTCATATAGCAGTGTGTAGGTTCACTTCTCTGTAAATCTTCAGAGTGGATTGTGTAATAGAGGCTTAAACGCACTCTTTCATCAGTGTAGAGAGTTATGGTGTGATATCAAGTGATTCTGCACTGAGAGTGTTATTTGATATGGGATAGTGGAACTCTGAAATACACCTTTCCCAAAATCTTAGAAGTTTCATATTAAGGAACAAAAACACTGCCTTAACCTTAGGGCAAAGGTTTCCTGTTTACCACCGGAATACATAAATAAACTGTGCAAACTGACCACCTTTTATAGTGATAGTGATGAGAAACATCAACACCCCACTACTCTCAGAGGTTTACTCAGAAGATTTGTTGCTGGGTTCTCACATAAACTAACCCAGACTTTATCCTGACATTACATTTTCAGGAACTTTGTGCATGTCTGAACAAAGCTTAAGAGAGCATCTACTCTCAGTTGTTATTAGCTTTGTCAAAGTTTGTCTACATTTGTTCTATTTTGGTGAAATAGCTGTCACCAACTGTAGTCAGACATAACATCCCTTTCTAGTGTTGTCTGAATGGCTTTGAATTTTGTAAATGTCCAACATTAGAGGTTCAAAAACTTATCTGTTAATGTCTCTGAATGTCTCAATATTTTGCTTTATCATGGGAATGACTTTTATGACATTATAGGTTCTGAAAATATAAGTCAGAGAGTTGACACACTTCTCAGTTAAAGTTTGAGGAAACACAACATTTACAGTTGTAGTTGTTTTTCTGTGGATTTATCCTACACACTTGTTGTTGAACAAAATGAGACGATCATCAGTGAGCATTTAAACACTCACCCTTTTCTTGTTTCCCTCTGCAGTTGCTGGTCTCTGTCACCAGCTGACAAATGCCCTGGTAGAGCGTAAACAGGTAAAACTACTGATGGAGACTGTTTAGGGGTGAAATGCCTGAAGTCAGACGTTTATTTCTAAATTCTTTGCTTGAACTGTTAATCAGTTTTCCAATATATTTTTACATAATCTTTTTTTAAATACTTAAATTAGATGAAGGTTCAAATGAGTCACTTGCTGCGGGTGATTCATCATCTAGGATTAGCCTGTTATTCTTGTCTGTTTTGATCAGGATATTTTGATGTGTGAGGAGCGTAGGCATGTACTGTTTTTAATGCTGTCTCTGAAGCTGCAGCTGAGTGCTCAAAATCTTCTTTCTTGTGTCACAGCCGTTGAGAGGTGTCGTTGTCCTAAAACAGGCAATAGACAAAATGCAGATGAACACAAACCAACTTACCTCAGTTCATGCAGACCTGTGTCAGGTGAGTAACTTGCCCTGCTTTTCATGTCCCAGTTGTCATTTAACTGAAAATTTCCATTCAATGTAACTTTTTTAGCTTCAAACTTTTATACTTCCTTAAAACTTCCCTAAGATTTTCCTAAATTATTTCTGACTTTTTCCTCCTTAATACCACCTGTCAACGCTGTTTCAAGGTTTGTGACGAAAGCAAAACTCAGGCTGCGGCTGTCTGGTGTAACCTTCTTAGTCTTTTTTTTATGACGTACCCTTTTTCTCTTTTAGCTTTGCTTGTTGGCAAAGTGCTTTAAGCCCGCCCTGCCATTCTTGGAGTTGGACATGATGGATATCTGCAAAGAGAATGGAGCCTATGACGCAAAGCACTTTTTATGTTACTACTACTACGGAGGGATGATCTACACAGGACTCAAAAACTTTGAAAGAGCACTGTATTTTTATGAACAGGTACTTAACACATCTGAAAGAGCTGCAAATGTGTTTGACCACAAGTGACAGTTTTTGGACTTGTTCTCATGTCCTCATCTTGTAATTTCTCTCTTCTCAGGCAATAACCACTCCAGCTATGGCTGTTAGCCACATCATGTTGGAAGCCTACAAGAAATACATCTTGGTGTCACTTATTCTCCACGGCAAAGTGCAGCCACTGCCCAAATACACCTCACAAATAGTTGGGAGGTTCATCAAGGTATGGACAAAAGCTGTGTGTGGATGAATGGGTTGTAGTGGAGTCTGGAAGTATGCATAGGTTCACAGACACTGACTTTCAAGTAACAGGTTTGGGGCAATGTCCAGTCTAATCCTGTAGAACAGTCGACCAATTTTCTACTGATGCAAAACAAGAGAAAATTATAAAGTCATCCTTATTTCATATCATGGTTTCCCAAAATTAGTGGCATTGTCATCTGAATGGCCGCACTTATGTTAGGGATCATATCAAACAGTGGCTGTAGTTTATTGACTGTAATATTCAGACTACACGCAGTAAACACCTGCAAATCATATCACAGAGCAGCTGCAGCACAGGGTGTCAGCAGGGCCTCAAAAGTATCAAAAGTCATCAGAAGTATCTGGAAAAGTTAAAGCCATGAAAAAAAGTCTTTGTAACTTTTGTAAGGCATTACATTTTGTTATGAATCCAGTTTGTTGGAAATTAGTCAAGAGTTTTAATTGAAGTTTGGGTAACACTTTATTTGACGCCTATCTCTATAACACATCATAAATATATGTATAATGCATTATAATCACTTTATAGCACTGTACAACTACAGTTATAAACACTCATAAATGATCATAATGCTTTATAGCAATAATCACAACACATTATAAAACATTTTATCATGACTTACACAGTCAGGTATTATAATGTGTTATAACTGTTAACAACTCACTGACAGTGCCCACATAGATAATGCAATGCAACTGAGAAGGGAGAAGGCATTTCTTGTTTGGTCTTTTGTTTGATGCAAAAATAAGACATAACATTTTGAATCTGTTTTAATCAGTGCAACTAGTAATTCTTAGAATGACAAGCTTGAAGTTATGAATATTTAGTAGCTTTATTATTAATGTGCTAGTTTTTGTTGTGAAGTGGTTTATTGTATAATATGACATTGAGGTTGCATATTCCGAACTAGACAAAAACCTTGTTTCCACCTATAGAGATCCTTGCATGTGTTTTAAACATCCCTCTTAACAGAAGTGTCTGCTAAAGGAAAATTGTAGAATTGTTTCAAAAAGTATCAGTAGGAATTACATTTCTATTAAAAGTCATAGTTACATCTGGATCATTATTCTGCTATATAGAGATACATCTGCTTGTGTCAGCCATTTTTTTACTCAAATATTCTGTGTATTTGTTCTTTGTATGCAAGGATTTATAATTTAGGTGAATAGTTTTTAATTTTCCTTTCGCATTTTTGTTTCTTTTTTTCTTTTTTTGCTGCTTTAGCCCCTGAGTAACCCATACCATGAGTTAGCTCAGGTTTACGCTACCAACAACCCAACTGAGCTGCGAAACCTGGTCAACAAACACAGCGAGACCTTCACACGAGAGAATAACACGGGCCTTGTCAAACAATGCCTCTCCTCCCTCTACAAGAAAAACATCCAGAGGCTAACAAAGGTGGGGCTGTTGGGCTGTTTTTCATTTCATGTTCTGGATTTGAAAGCTGGATGCTGAGTTTGAATCCAAAGTATAAGATTCTAAATTAATTGTTACGATCTTACATATTTGAGTCTGCGCATTATTTGTCACAGAAATATGTCTTGTGCTGGAGTTTAGCTATTGACTTGCATTGGTGGTCTCTCTGTATCTTCATGCATGAGTGTGGTTCAGTGGTGGGATCTAACATTACACTCAGCTGTTAACTGGGTCCTCTTCGATACTCTTTGTCTGGTAAAAATCACATTTATTGAGCAGTGAAGTGAATTGGGTTATGCTACAGGTTTCATCCCATGGCAGGTATTTATGTCAGAAACAGCACAACATTGTAGTTATACTTCATAACTAAATTTACACCAAACACTAGCCAGTGACTATTTTTAAACTGATTTGCTGTTGTTGGGATTCCAAAGAATATGCTTTCAAAGATCTTTGTGAGACCAGCCTTGTGAGGGCTTATGCTGAAGTGATACTGATAAATCAGATGAATTAATCAGTCTTATCTGTGGATTGCTGCTCATCAGCCAACTGGCTGGAGGGTATTGGCCTTAAAGAATAGACAGGCAGGGCTAATCCCCCTAAACAGGGTGGACAACCAAATGCTGACAATGCTGTTTCTGCTTCTGTTTTTGTCACCAAACAATCAGGTGTTATGGACTTGCTTATGGTTAGTAAGATTAGCATGAGAGACATGAATAGGTTTAGGCTTGGTTTTAGCCATCACATAGTCAGGCAGTGGAAGTCTGTGTTAGCTAGCTCTCATCAATGTTGCAGCTGAGCCGTCACCTGGGTCTTGAATAATAGAATAATCAGAGTGTGTGTTGGGTGCTTTGACAATTAGCATTATTATCTTACAGTAGGAGTCTATTTTGATTCAACATCAGACCCATAGCTTTCAAAATTGGTCCCTCGATGATTAAACAGCCCTTTGGTGGTTCAAATTAAAGGGTCATCTAAAGTAAATTCATTCTTAAAAGGTGATGGGCCTGTGTTGTTTCCTGTGCTAAAGGGTACATTAGAAACAACATAAACAATACAAATAAACATACAGTACTCTGCCATTATTGAAGATGGTGAAGTCAGCCCAAAAACAACTGTTAAACTTTTTGCCCTGGGTAGAGCACATTATGACCTCCTGTCACACAAACACAATTTATATAATGCCTCTAAATCCAAGTTACTGTTTTCCTTTACTTCTGCAGACATTTCTGACACTGTCCCTGCAAGACATGGCCAGTCGAGTGCAACTTTCAGGCCCCCAGGAAGCTGAGAAATATGTCTTGCACATGGTGAGTAGTATCATAATCAGGACCCGTATGCCATACACACGCCCAGTTTTTAAATCAATCAGTCTTCATTACAGAGCCCCACTTAACATCAAATGTTATCTCCAGATGCCTTACAAAAAGACCAAACTCCTCTATTATATTCAGAAAGACCAACATAAGGATATGGTAATATTAATCCCTTAATAAAGTATTCTGGTTGGATTTTGTCTATACTACTTCTATACTACTGCAGAGAATATCCACCATGATGAGGAGTCTTACCGTTGAGATGTACTGATACTGCATATTTAAACCAGGCAAAAGGCCTGGTTAGGGAGCTGGAATCAGTCCTCTTAGTTAATGAGACTTCTGACTGAAGTCATCTCTCCAGTTAAGAGACAACTGCTTTTAGTATGGAAAGTGTGGGTAGCACACGGTGTGAGGGAATATGTGGACTTGATCTGTGACTACAGCTCATTAAAAAAGATACTGAAACTGAGGATACAACATCTGTAACAGTCCTGGAGGTGTATTTGGGATGGCCCTATTCCCCTCTGCTTGGTTTTGCCTGGGTTTTTTTTTGTCTGTGCTGGTGTGTGTGGGTGTGTGTTTCCGGTTGGAAAAAATTAAAAATAAAATAATTCATGTAATAGCCGGTAATATTATTATGTCTTCTGATCATGCTCCTCTGTGTGCTCCTGTGCAGATTGAAGATGGTGAGATCTATGCTAGTATTAACCAAAAGGACGGCATGGTTTGCTTTCACGACAACCCAGAAAAATACAACAACCCGGCAATGCTTCACAAAATTGACCAAGAGGTGAGCATTTCAAACGTTCGTTTTTCTAAAGCTTCATTCCTTTTCTTTAGCCTCCTTCCACCACATCTCACCTATCCTACAACAGCTCCACTGGCTCCCCGGATCACATACCGGATCAACTATAAAAAACTACTCCTCGTCTTCAAATCCATACACAACCTCGCCCCTCCTTATCTCTCAGACCTTCTCCATACTGCCACACCGGTCTGCACCCTCAGATCCTCCTCCCCCCTCCATCTCACTGTCCCCCCACTTAGCTCTGGAACTCTCTCCCACCTTACCTCCATAATACTGACTCACTCCAACATTTTAAATCCATACTCTGTCTGACCACAACTCTACTGCCCATTCTTTAAAAACTTTTAAACTATGTTTTATCATTGTTTATTTCAGTTCTGTTTGTTTTAATTATGTAATTATAATAGTTTTTGTTGATATATGTCAAGAAAGGTGGCTATAAATAAAATGCATTATCATTATTATTATTATCATCATTATAGTTATTGTTATCATTGTTCTTTTTATTAGTTTAATTAGTATTGGGGTTATTATATCGAAATATAAAAATCTCTATCAATTTTGTTTTCTATTTCCTTTTTAATCTGTGTCATTCTCCTTTAGATGCTGAAGTGTATAGAGCTGGATGAGAAACTTAAGTCTATGGATCAAGAAATCACAGTAAACCCCCAATTTGTGCAAAAGGTAAGATCATTTAAATAACTTCGGTGGGGTCTCTGTTAAATGTGGGCTTGGGGGGTGGGTGTGTGGGTGGGGTTTTGCAATTTGTATTTTATTTGGTATCCCCTGATCTTCTCCTTCTTGTGTTCTTTAATGTACAGCACTTTGTGATACAGTCCATGTATGAAAAGTGCTTTATAAATAAATTGATTGATTGAATAAATTGATTGATTGATTGATTGATTGATTGATCATCTCATATTAGGGTTTTTGTATTGAAGGTCTTTCACAAAAAGTGCTTAGACATTTTAGTTCTCAAGACAGTCTAGCTGCAGACCTCTGCTGAGAGGATCCACTCAGTGGAGATGGGTCCTCTCAGTGGAGGTCTGCAGCCGGACCCCTCTTAAAGTCTTGGGTTGTGTATGCACATCAGACCAATGACATCCAGGGATGGTATTCAGAAATGAAGTAACAGCGCTTCATTTGAACTGGGCTTTATTTTGAACTTTTGTACTAAAAGCTTGGCAGCAGCTAAACTGTATTAAGTTTTGAATAACATCAGGTTATAGGAAATATTATCTCTATCCTATTGCTTCAACCAGTTTATCCTTCCTTCTGCTCAGCTGGTATCTGTGTGTTAATTGAACATCAATTTATAATGTAAACAAGATTGTTACCAAATAATACTAACCCACTAAAACTTTCCAACGCCCAAGGGCATCTTGACATGGAAAAATTATGTCATAATTCATGAATACACCGAGTTTTACTGATCAAGTAACATTACCTTATGTAGGATATAATCCACCATCTCTATACCCCCCCCCCCCCCCCCATGGTGTTACAATGTTGCAGGACTACAAGAGGCACAGCTCATCAACACACAATGGAAGCTCTGCATACATACACACACACATGCACATACACACAGTGCTATCCTGCACTACAGACTCTAATGCTGTACAACGCCTCCTCCCTCCCCCATTCTGCTTCTGTTATTACTTTTGATGGAGTATTGGAGGTGAAACAACCTCAACCAAGCATTATGCCCTTGGTCATTATGCATCACAGCTGAGCCAAAATGAGGTTCTTAATATCCCGCTGTAAATTGGACGTAAGTTAGTGCCTTATGTGTCTGTGTGCACATGTAAGTTAAGAACCAGTTTCTTTTTAATGTAAATGAGATTGTTTACAGACCCCGATGCTTCCTGATGCCCCAGTTAACATTACAGTCTCCCAAAAAAGACAATTTTCACTTTTTTTTCTTTAATAAGCCACAACAAACTGCAAGGGGGGGTAATTCCAGCTGCAGTAACCCTGCCTCCAGCCCCTCACACTTGTGGTTTTGTCAGTCCAGTAAGGAGCTGGTGCTACCCCGGAGCCGGTCCTTTGTCAGTCGAAACCATAGACTGTATATAGAATGGACAACTTGGCTCCGCCTTCCGCCAGTATACGGATTTGAAGCCAAAAACCTCTCAGTAATTCTGCGTTTGTTCTCCATTTCCTGAAACCAAAATTGCGCAGTAGCGTTGTACGCATTCGGCGGGAGAGTCACTGTGATGACGCTCAGCTCAAACAGCGTATCCCCTGGGTGAGCTACGCAATCCTTGTGCGCCCATAGGCTGTATCAGGTGTCAATCATAGAAAACATGAACCCCCTAGTAACTTTTAAAAACAGAGCTGTCCGGAAAAAGAGGACTTGAGCACAAACCAGTCTGTCCATTCTATATACTGTGTCTATGGTCGAAACACAAACTAACACTGGAACTGATTTGGGAGAAAAGCGGGAACTGTTGCACTGCTTCTGTGTATTTAGGTTTAAATGAGCCATTGTGCATCCATGTCTGGAAAAGGTCCTTTCTGGGTCCTATAATAAAATTACAAAGCATTTAGCCTTGTTTCATGGACTTGCAGGATGAAGTCTTAACTGATTGTGTGGAAGATAACTAACGACTGTTTCCTATTTCCCTACAGAGTATGGGATCGCAGGAGGATGATGTTGGTAGCAAAACATCAAGTTATTCCTGAGGGGCCGTGGACAGGGAAAGAATGGTGCAGCCACAGACAGCCATCCAATACATTCTTCCCATGAGTAGGATTTTTTTAAAGAAGAGGAAAAACATTATACTGCAAAAGGACTTTGGTCAAGGAAATCTAATAGTCTGGAATCATCACACTTTTGTTTATTATTGACAAAAGATCTGAGCAGAAAAGGAAAAAAAAAGAAGTTTAAATTTTGTCAGTGTTTTATTTATCAATGTTCAGGTTGGAGCGCCACTGCTACATTCACAAAAAAATAAATAAAAACTGTACTTATTTGTTCCAATCATTTGTGTGAATAAGTTCAGTGTTTGTTTTGGATCCGCTGCATGATTGGCAATAAAATGTGGGCATTACTCAAGAAAAGACAAAAGACACAACTCTGGTATTTTCTACATATGTAAAGCCTGCAGATATAGTTTCCCTCTCTCTTCTTCTGGTTTCAGTGTAAAAATCAGGTTTAGAAAAACCTGAACTGATCTGGATGCCTCCTTGATCGATCTCGGCACATTGGAGGAGTCGCTCAAAGCTGGTGCACTGTTTAATTTTTGATTTTTTCTTTTTATCTTTAGGTTTTTGTTTGTTTTTGTGTTATAGGAAAGGTCTAACAAATGCCTCTGGAGCATTGTATTAAACATTTGGTGGCAACAGATAGAGCCATCAACTGTCATGTCAAATGGGAGCTTAAGCTTTTCAACTTTGAATCTGTTTGTTGATAATAAATTGTTTACCAATATAGCTTTGGGTCTTTCTGGAAACATGTTCACATATATATTTATTTTGTGTTTTTTATGCATTTCAGTTGGGATTTGCATTGTGCATTTGTTGTTTGCCAAGATGAACTCCGGTTTGGCCAATGAACGCCTTTGTACAGGCGGATGTTGTCTGCAGGAAATTTACACCAATCAGGATGCTGCGCTGTATTCTAGAAGGCGGGCCTTAGCCGGATAAGGAAGATTGGCACACGTCAATCTCGCCCGATACTGGATTTTCATTGGTCGAACGTCAGGGTGGAGGTGGATCCAAATGACACCGTGTAAACTGCTGTTGAAATTCCAGTGCTAACCAACTTGAGCCAGCCTGGTAATGTAGTAAACGCTTATAAATGTGAAAAAAGCTCAAACAACGCAGCTGATTTAATGAAATGCTGATGAAATGTACAATAGATAAATCACATTGATGGTTCCTACTGCTGTTCCGGCACTGCTGCTGGGTCATGTTCAGTTAACCAGAGCCCAGGACTCAGTGGATAACGAACCTGATCAGCTAGCCTGCCTGCCTGGTCCCGGTTCCGGTTCTGAGTGAGACATTTGGCGGGTGTACGTTCCGGAGGACAGCCGAATGCTGTGACTACGATGAGCCCCGCAGGCTGCCCCCATGTCAGCGGCTTCAAAGTGGAGAACTGGAAGCAGAACCTGAGGCTCATCTATCAGTGCTTCGTGTGGACCGGTTCGACTGAGACCAGAAAACGAAAGGTAACACGAGACAGAAGCGACAACAAAGAAATCCTGGAGAGAAAATCCCGACCCCTGTTAGAGAAACAACTCCACCTTTCAAATAAACACTGCACAATCCGACTACACACAAAAACAAGGGTGTACAGTCCAGACAAAACCAGACAGGCGCAGATCAGACATATTCAGATTACCGACGATGTCAATCCAGTTTAAGAGCATAACAAACCGCCAGCATGTCACCTAGCTGGACCGACACAGTCCAGCATCAGCCCTATTCAGGGCAGCTAGACCACCTCACCCCACAGAGAGCGGTGCATCTGTTTACATCAGCACCAGACTGCAGGGGTGTCCCCCTTTACAAAACCAGACTGTCCGTGCACATCTATCTCAGTGGTGCTATCTCCTCACTTAGGGACCATGGGCTGATTTCTAATAAAGCTCCAGTTATAAATAATATCTGACACGAAATGACCCGCCCAGAATGGCTGTCTTTGACCTGCATCGTCGGCTCTGCAAGGTTTAGGTTATAAAGCAATATAATGTGCCTGATCTCACAGTTTATGTTGGTTTGTTGTACAGAACTATATAATGATGATTTTGAGCACATCTGCACATCAGCTTAGCAGATTTTGCAGCTCATGGTCAGATGTGGCAGAATCTGCTGCTTTATTTGTGTCCTGTAGGACTGAAACACCACATGGTTCCTGTGCTCTACCTGAAAGTCCAAACTGTTCTATTAGATAAAAATCTGTCCACGAATCAGCCTACAACTATTACCATCGAACCTGAGATAAAGGGTCCCAGGTTTTAGTAAGGTCAGACAGAAGCAATTTTTTATTCACCTGTCAGTCCTCAGATTGAATATGGAGTCTGATTAAAAAAAAATGTTGATGGCCTCTGAATTAGCTCTGTGCTTTTTGAAATGCTGTTTCTGTATTCATTTATGTTTATTGTGTTGTATGTGCTAAATGAATCTGCAGCAAAGAAAGCTGGATTCAAGACGATGTCCAATCAAAATTAATCTCTAAGATTAGATGAGATTGGATTGGCAAGAATCTCTGATCTGTAACATCATAAGAACATATTGCAGGTACGATGAGATCAACTTTTGCTGTCCCACAAGTTTAAAATTGGTTGTAGGCTGTTCGCTCAAGCTCTAGCATATAACATACAGCATGCAGCATGATACAATACAATTAATGTCAAAATGGCCCTGATGGTGTGTTAAATGCAACATAAGAACAGTATCATTAATAATAAGAGTAATACATTTATGTGCCTTTCAAAGGATCCGAGGTTGCGAGTGGGATGACACAGTAATAATAATCATAATTATTATTATGATTATTATTATTATAATAATTAAGACTGTCTTAGTGACTCTAATGTAACGTGATGATTTAAAGTTAATGACACAGAAAGATAGAGGACAGAGAAGAAGGGAAAGGTGCTCTATGAGCCAGCACCCTGGTGGTCTTAACCTATAGCAGTATAGCTAAGCGCTGGTCCAGACCTAAACCAGGACTAACTATTAGCTTTGTCACACAGGAAATCTATAAGCCCACTGTTATAGGTAGAGGGGGTGTCTGCCCCTCACACCTGGACTGGTAGATGATTCCAGTGGAGAGGTGCCTGATAACTGAAAACTCTCCCACCCAGACCACTTTCGAGGAGCAGACCTGCGTGTCTGACCTGCTCTAATGGCACATTAATATACTGAATGTTGTTACTCTCAAACTAGACAAGCAGAACGGGGTTCAGATGTTGAAGATGCTGGCCTTGTGTTTTGAAATTGACTTCCTGATATTTCGTAACCATCCTGTCAGATTTTGAATTGTATTCCCTTTTTTTACTTGGTTTTAGATTGCATACATATGTACACTATTTAGTAAAGGTAAACCATTGCTACCGTCTCAACCTCAAGTTTAAAATGTCAATTTCTCAAGGAAATCAAAGTATTGTGAACCTGATCCCTTTGTGAGAGATCTACTCAAATTAGCCCCTGACCCTGCTGTCACTGTCTCTGTCTGTCACTGAAGGAGCTGTTGATGTTGTGAACATGTGTCTATTGGTGCAGTAACATCTCCTTTGTCTGCCTGTTAAAGACACTTTTTTCTTGTTTTCCCTCTCTTCCAGGCTAAGTCATGTGTCTGCCACATGTGTGGTGCACACCTGAACCGGCTGCACTCCTGCCTGTACTGTGTCTTCTTTGCCTGCTTTGCCAAAAAACACATCCACGAACATGCCAGGAACAAGAGGCATAACCTAGGTACAGGTTACACACTAAACCTTGTACACTAATGTGCTGCAGATTTGTATTTATGATTCTGCACAGGGTATTCACAGGACATCTAGACCTGAAATGGGGAGAGTGTGTGGAACTACTCTATGATAAATGAATATCAGACTTTTCACAAGCTAGACTACTGCACAGCATGTAATCAAGGAGCTCGAAATGACCTCAGGAACCCTGTTACAGGGAATTTATTATGCATGCATTGGTGAACTTACTTGTTACACTGTAAACCCAGATAAGTTGATTCTACTTAAAAATTTTGAGGCAAGTGATTGCACTTAAGTGATTTAAGTAATGAGTGCATTAATTAAGTAATTAAGTAAAATAAACGCAAATACCATAAGGAATGGAATAGATTACTTGAGTTAAATACACTGATAGAAAAGTTATTTGAACTCATAATCTGGAATAAAATTCATACCTATTCAATTCACTTTTTTAAGTGACCATAACTAATTTTCTTATGTGCATTTAGCTGTATTTGGCTTTCACTAAACTCAAAATTTTAAGTTATGCTAACTCAAAAATACATAACACCAAAAGTTGTCATTAAAGTTAATTGACATTTGCCAAAAACAGGACATAACAACAGCCACAATAAACATAAAATAGAAATAATGTAACATTAAACTATTATATGATTACACGATTTTGGGTCCCACTTTCTTCAAAGCAGAGGATGGCTACTGAAATGTCCAAGGAGTCTGCATCATGAAGATCCTATGAGTAACAAGAAAATAAAATGAGATTTTCATGACAATTAGACTTTTTAAAGTAGGTCACTGAGTTTTTTGAGAAAATGCTGTTGCTCTTTTGCAAAAAAAGTGAAAAGAATAGGCTGTATTGACTAAATGAGATCGTGTTGGTTCGTTCCACTGTAGTGGTGCAACATAAACTGTGATTTATAAAATAGCTCTATTGATAGTAAGTACTAAAAAGAAATATCTACTCATGTCATCCAGCTGATTTTTAGTAGTCAGTGTTTCGGTGTCGAACTATTTCCTTTCTGCGGCGTAGTGATACTTGCACACGCGCAATCGAATATGCAAAGGGGTGAAGCAATTTTTGTCACGTGGACCACGAGCCGAGTCTCGTTGCCATAGTATCAGAACAACACAAACATAGTGACAAGCGCATCTAGCAGCGATACAAGCGAAGAGCAAGAAAAGAAAAGGAAAAAAAAGAAAACAGCCTTCAAAAGTGCATAAAAACGAACGAAACGATGCTGTATGCATCTATCATCTGTCCAGAGTGAAGACGTTCTCGGCTTTGCAAGGACACGTTGTGAAACTTACAGAACTTGTATTAGAAAGTGGCTTTCTCTACAGGGTGAGACAAAGGACCTTGCAGAAACTTATAAACATTGCGTTGATATCGACTTTGACAATGTTCCTGATGACGCTGGGTTTCACTTAACATGCTACCAGCGATTTATTTGCAAAAGGCGTTTGAGAAACAAGAACGTGATGCAGCCGAGGGTCAGTCAAACCCTTCAGGCAGCATCGCCGATGCATCCACGTCCACGGCACCTGATACTCCCCAAAAGAAACTTCCCTCGAGGTCATAGGCTGTATTGAGACAAAGGAAAAAGTGCCTAGAAAGTGAATTTCGTTCCACTACGCTGGTGCTACTTGTTCAATGCATTTTTGCATAGACAATACCATTCTGGACCTTGGGTTAAAATGTCTACTCAGACTAGGTCCGACTTTTGTCACCAGCCAGAAATGTATGAGTAGCACAAAAAGCAATTATATGGTGCTGCTGTTGTTGCTTGTAGAAACTGCTATGTTGATTCTGGCAAGACAAAATCTTTCTCAAATGTCATAAATACATCTACCTATCATCTGAAACAGTTACTGGTGCCTTAGTATACGCATAAGTGAATTCAGATTATGAAATGTAGCAAATTTCTTGAGAAAAACGTCTCAACTCAAGTGATTTGCACCCAGCACAATGAAATATATACAGTAAATTTAGCTAAAAGCTTATGTTTCATACATAAAAATGACACAATCTACTGTGTAATAAAGGCAATAAAATATAAATAGCACACCATGGCCATAAATGGCTGAAAGTCAATCAAATTGCTACCACACCCCTAAAAATTGGAATAATGGAAAAAATGTAACAAAATGCCACCCATTGTGCATCCATACATTCACAGGTTGTGACTCGACCAGTGCCTTTCATGGCAAGGGCAAAAGAAAAACATTTTCTGTTTCTAGAGAGCAAACTGCATGAGAGCAAACTACCAAGCATCGGTGATGAAACGTTCTCTGACTGGTAAAATGTGTGCCCCTTCACCCATTGGCAATGGGTGGCACATTGAGGATGGGGAGTTGGCAGTGACATGGATGACTACAAATCCTGCCCCTGATAGTGTTTTGCAGATTGTCCACTGTAGTTGCAAGACAACTAAATGTGAGACTGAACGATGTTGTTGTATGTCTGCAAGACTATCTTGTACAGATTTATGTCGGTGCCAAGCATGTGGGACTGCTTCAAAGGAAACAGAAGAAAGAGCTGTATGGGATAATGACTCTGATGAAAGTGATAGTGATGCTTAATATATGCACCATGTCACCATGTACAATTTGTTTTGTTTAAAGGATTGCTACACCGAGATTTGAGATTTTTATTATTTTTATATTTGTTTTATAAAGAAATGCACTTCTGGAGACAGTGACTACTGTGAATAGGGCAGTTGGCGTCCAGGGAAGACTGGAGGACAAGACTGGTGGCGGTAGGGAAGACTGCACAGGGAGAAGGGCGTTGGTAACCCTACCTTCTAGTTTCCCGAACAGGAAGACACCCAAACCAACCACGAAAACGAGAGAGAAGAAACAGCCCGAAGGCCCTCCGAGAGGCGGGATGGAAGAAGGACCTGCCAGGACAGATCACATGGTTACAGACACTAGCAAGACGACAAAAGAGACCAAGCCCCTTAGGAAGTGCGGGTGCGGATGGGAAAGAGTAACAACACTTAGGGGCCTGCATATCCATATGGGGAAGAAGAAGTGCAGAGGAGAGAGCCTCAAGCGACATTGCACTGCTCAGGCAGGTCAGACAAGTGGGATCCAAGGCCAGGTTGAAAACCACAGCGCTGTCGCGCCCAGGGTCATAGAGGAAGGGCTTGGCGAGAGGAGGCAGGAGGAAGAGAGGGAATGCAGTGACCCCCAAGAAACTATCCCAGCAGCACCCCCAAGCAACCCAGGAACAAGGCCATCCCCACAAGCCAGAAGCCTGAAAACCCTAGTGCAGAGGAACAGAATCAAATGGCCAAAGTCCAACGAGACAGAGGAGTGGAGTAGGCTAGATGAACATCTGAGCGAGCTACTCCAAAATGCTCTGCATGGATCAGTGGAGTCAAGGCTGAACCTGTTTGGCGAGATTCTGTACAAGGAATGCAGCAGCAGACTTGGCGAAATTGTCAGCCGGACAGCTGGAATAAGGGCCAAGGGAAGGAGGGAGAAGGAAATTGAGGACCTGGTGGCAGAAAGAAGGCGTCTCCGAAAGCTTTGGAGGAAAGCAGAAGAGGCCGAGAAAGAGGGTCTAAAAGCCCTCTGGGGAGACATCAGAAGAAGGCTGGCTGCCCTACGAAGGGCCGACCGCATCTGTCGATGGAGAAAAAGAAAGGAGAAGGAGAGGGCGAACTAATTCAAAACTCCTTTCAGGCATGCACGAAGCCTTCTGGAGGAAAAAACCAGTGGAGTATTAGAGATCTCCAAGGATGACCTAGAGAAACACATCCAAGCCCAGTATAGCGACCCAGCCAGGAGCAAATGACTGGGTCCGCCAGGCTACATACCCAAGCCAGCTGAACCAACTACAGAGTTCGACGTAACACCCCCCAAACTCAGCGAGATAAGGCAAGTTGTCCACAAGGCAAGGTCATCATCAGCACCAGGGCCAAATGGAGTACCATACAAGCTGTAGAAGAACTGCCCAAAAGCACTGAAACTCCTGTGGACACTCATGAAAACTGCCTGGGCTGAACAGTCCATCCCCGCTGAGTGGCAGAGGGCGGTAGCAGTCCCAATCCACAAAGAGCGAAACTCAAAAACTCTCGACCAGTTCAGAAGTATAGCCTTGCTGAATGTTGAGGGGAAGATCTTCTTTTCAGTAATGGCGAGAAGAATGACCGCATACCTCATGGCCAACGGATATATAGATACCAAATGTCAGAAGGCAGGGATTCCCGGCTTCCCAGGGTGTGTGGAGCACGCCTCAATGATTTGGGATCACATCCAGACAGCAAAGAGGGAGAAGAAGGACTTGCATGTAGTGTGGCTAGACCTAGCAAATGCATACGGCTCAGTGCCCCACCAACTCATCGCATTCGCATTGGACTTCTTTTTATATCCCTAGCAACATCAAGGCCATGATAGCAAGCTACTTCCAGGACATGCACATGTGCTTCAGGCTGCAAAACATCACCACCAAGTGGCAGCAGCAGGAAGTAGGCATTGCCATGGGGTGTTCCATCTCCCCCATCCTCTTTGTGGCTGCTTTTGAGGTCATTCTAACAGGAGCAAGGCAGGTGGTGGGGGGGGTCCAACTACCACAGGGCCAATGACTTCCCCCATTGCGGAGTTACATGGATGACATCACATGCCCGCTACAAACAGCTCCATGCATGTCGAGACTGCTCAGGAGATTGGATAAACTGATCGGCTGGGCCAGGATGAAGTTCAAACCGGGCAAGTCTAGGAGCCTCTCGATGCGCAAGGGAGAATGTAACAACAGGGCTTTGTTCACCATAGGAGGAGAAAACATTCCCCTCATTGCAATCCGGAGCCCTGGGAGACAATACACAGCCAGTCTCTCAGACAAGGCGATGGGGAGGACCATTCTGCAGCAGCTATCAGCAGGCTTGGAGAAGATCGATTCCAGCCAGTTGCCCGGAAAGTACAAGGTGTGGTGTTACAACTTCACCTTGTACCCAAGAGTAATGTGGCTGCTGAAGCTCTGCGAAGTCACCTCCTCAGCTGTGACTCAGATGGAGGCAAAAGCCAATGCCTTCATCCGTAAATGGCCGGGTCTCCCAAGGTGCTTCTCAGCAACAGGCCTGTATGGATGGAACGCGCTCCAACTACCATTAAAATCCGTCACCCTTGGGTACAGGCAGGAGAAGGCCAGACTAGTCATGGAGCTGGGGGAGTCTTCTGATGTGGCGGTGAAAGATCAGTGCGCACAGGTCAAGACAGGAAGGAAGTGGAAGGCGGAGGAGGAGGTGCAGAGGTGCAGCAAGTAGGCTACAACACCAGGAAGTGGTCGGCATGGTCCAGCTAGGGAGGGCAGGCTTTGGATGGAAGGAGCAACCCCGCATGTGGTCCAGAGCAGGCAGAAAGGAGAGGAAGGACCTGGTGGCTGCTGAGATGGCCAGGATGGAGCAGGAGGAGCTCAGAGTCAGAGCCATCGCTCAGGGCTAGCAAGGCCGCTGGACAACATGGGAGGGAATGGCAAGAAGAACAGTCAGCTGGGCGGATTTCTGGAAGATTCCGCAGGCCCGCCTCAGTTTCCTCATCCGTGGCTGGGGACAGAACAAGCCTGCAACCTATGTGGAGCCAGCAATGCCTCACTACAACATGTCCTGTCAGGATGCAGGACAGCTCTGACACAGGGGAGGTTGAGATGGCCCACGACCAGATCCTCCGAAAGCTGGCCAAGATCGTGGAAACATCAAGGCATGAGGCGAGCAGAGGAAAGACGGCAGGAGCCCAACTATACATCCACTTCCTCAGGCAGGGAGAAGCTCCAGCAGCACCAGGAAGGATGCCACCTGCACCTGCGACAACTGCAATTTCCCCATGAGATCTGCAGCACCACCCTGCGGCCTGACATGGTTCTGTGGACCACAGCGGAGAGGAAGGCACTGTTAGTCGAGCTAACGGTGCCATGGGAAGAGGGGTTGGCGGCTGCCCATGAGAGGAAGAGGGCAAAGTACTCAGACCTACTGGCAGAGTGCAGGGAGGCCGTGTGAAGTATGAGATTATACCCTGTGGAGGTAGGGGCAAGAGGCTTTGTGGCAGACTCGACAACCCGACTGCTGAGAGACCTCGGTCTGCGTGGCACCAGTCTGCAGAGAGCGATTAGGGGGCTATCTGAGGAGGGAGAGAAGGCAAGCTTTTGGCTCTGGCTGAGACGGCGGGACGTAGCGTGGGGAGCAGGCACAACCTAAGAATGCTAGCTGCAGGGGGTGACAGGGAGACGTCCCTGAGACTGCCCTGCCACCGGGAGATGTTCTGGGCTAAGGGGCGAAACATCCAAGAATGGTGGTCCCCAGCTGATGACCCTGCAGCTAGCAAACAAGGCACCGTTGGAGGTGCTGCATGCCAATGGCATAGCAGGAGAACACCTACCTGTATAAAGAAAAGTTCTACGTTTGTCTGCATTTGTGTTTTGATCTTTCTTTTCATATTCTGGAGGGATTGATAAATGTCAGATGTTTTGCCACTGTGATATTTTAATAAATGTTTTATACCATATTTTGAATTAATTCAGACCTTTTGTGCATTTATTTTTGTCTTATTACATTTTTTCCATTATTTCAATTTTGGGGGCGTGGTAGCAATTTGATTGATTTTCAGCCATTTATGGCCATGGTGTGCTGTTTATATTTTATTGCTTTTATTACACAGTAGGTTTTGTCATTTTTATGTATGAAACATAAGCTTTTAGCTAAATTTACTGTATATATATATATATATATATATATATTTCATTGTGCTGGGTGCAAATCACTTGAGTTGAGACGTTTTCTTCAAGAAATTTGCTACATTTCACAATCTGAATTCACTTATGTGTATACTAAGGCACCAATAACGGTTTCAGGTGTTAGGTAGATGTATTTATGAAATTTGAGAAAGATTTTGTCTTGCCAGAATCAACATAGCAGTTTTTACAAGCAAAAACAGCAGCACCATAATTGTTTTTTGTGTTACTCACATATGTACATTTCTGGCTGGTGACAAAAGTCAGACAGATAGCCAGAGTAGATATTTTAACCCAAAGTCCAGAATGGTATTGTCTATGCAAAAATGCATTGAACAAGTAGCACCAGCGTAGTGGAACAAAATTCACTTTCTAAGCACTTTTTCCTTTGTCCCAATACAGCCTAGAAGTCATTTGTATCAACTTATGTTAGCTACCTCTGCCAAATAGCAATGTGAAACAGCAAAAATTGAGAGGACAAGCTAAGTACATGGACTACACAGATTCTCAGATGTTGTTTACACACCAACATTTTAACACCTTACAAATTTTTAAGCCTCAGGGATCATGAAATAATGTCTTTCAAACCAAATGAATATGGAAAATGACTCACCAAGTTGAATAACGTAAAAAGCTCCATGAGGGTCAAAACAGGAACTCATCTACTGCATTTGATTTATTCTGCTCTACATGCAAATCAGATTAACTGAGAAACATTCATTTTGTTCCATGCATAAGCACTTCAGATCAGTCCTATAGTCCATATTTGTCGAAAATAAAGGACTGTTTAATGAGGTGCAGAGAACAGGAAGGCCAACTCTGTGACAACAAGACAAAGACCAATGGTCCTCCTTCCAGCAAGCCCAGACAAGTCTTGACACAATTGGCCAATCAGATTAAAGTGCAGGCTATAAATTAATTTTGAAGTTTATTGAACTCAAAACTATAAGTGCATCTAAATTGTTGAGGCTCAACACAATTTTTTGAGTTGAATCAACTTAAAACTGCTAGTGCACATATTAATCAAATAATGCCAGTACAACATACATACACCATTTAAGTAATGCAACAAATCTCTTTTTTTTTTTCAACTGATGTATACTTAAACTATTTGCACAGAAACTAATCTGGGTTTACAGTGTACAAGAGGTTGAGATCTGAAATGCCCTTGTTGAGAAATAAGTATGATCTGATTGTAGAACAGGTGGCACTGAACATGTAACATCAATCAAATTCAGTCAATCCAATTTTATTTATACAGCACCAATTCACAACAGTCGTCATCCCAAGACGCTTTTCAAAAAAAGAGCAGGTCTAGACCATGCTCATTGTTTGATGAATTACCAAGACCCAACCTAAGATGTGACAGAGTGGCCTATCTCATCTAACATGAGTGACAGTGGCAAGGAAAAACTTCCTTTTAACAGGCAGAAACCTCGGGAAGGACCACACTCATATTAGACAGCCACCAAGCCGCTGCTGAGTTGGGGAGAAATACAGAGAGATAGTGAGGGAGAGGAGTAGGAGAGAGGGCAGGGGGAGAGAAAGGGAACAAGGGGGTAGGAAGGAGAGAGAGAATGAGTAAGGGAGAAGGATGGAGAGAGAATAGAGAACAAGGGTGAGAGAGAGAGAGAGAGAGGACAGCAGCAACATTAAAAACAACAGCAACAACAGCTCATGCAGAGTTGTGGTTGCAGAGGAAGTAATGATAAAACAATATGAATTTAGTTTACAGGATTAGGATCTTTATGTCATTAATGTTGGTGAGGCTGATGTTCATGTCTGCAGCAACAGTCCAGAGGACCTAAGAGAAGAAGGAGTGGACAATTATAAATGATGCAGCTGGAGTCAGGCAGGTTCACAGCAGCCGACCGTCTGTAGCATCAGTCCAGAGGAACCTAGGAGACTGGGGGACTCAGGGACATTCAGAGAGATCTGGTTAGTAATTTGAAGGGAGAAAATGACTTCAGTGTACAGGATAAAGAAATAAGTAATTATGGACTATGAGAAATTCATTTAGGTGATTAAAGTTGGCAGGTCCAATGGCAGTTTACTCTAGTTTTATGTTATTGATGTCAGTTAGGCTGACGTACATGACTGCGGCAACGGTCCAGAGGAGCCTAAGAGATGGAGGAGCTCAGGGTCTGAGGTGGACAATCATAGACGATGCAGCTGGGGTCAGGCAGTTCCACAGCAGACTGTCTGCAGCATCAGTCCAGAGGAACCTCAGAGACACTCAGAGAGAGAGAGATTTGGTTAGTAACTTAAATGGGACATAAAGATCTGAGGGAGAGAGAGGGACAGACAGGAGCTCAGTGTGCCAGATAACCCCTGCAGTCTAAACCTATAGCAGCATAACTAAGAGCTGGTTCAAATCAGCCCTAACTATAAGCTCTATCAAAGAGGAATGTTTTAAGTCTACTCTTGAAAGTTGAGAGGGTGTCTGCCCCCCGAACCTCAAGTGGAAAATGATTCCAGAGGAGAGGTGCCTGGTAGCTGAAAGCTCTTCCTCCAATACTACTTTTAGAGACATTTGGTACAATGAGCAGACCTGCAGACTGTGAGCGTAACGGTCTAGATGGAAAGTAAGGTATTACAAGCTCTTTGAGATATGATGGAGCCTGGCCATTAAGCGCTTTATATGTCATAAGGAGGATTTTAAACTCAATTCTAGATTTAATAGGGAGCCAATGAAGAGAGGCTAACACCAGTCATCTACATCAGTAGATTGTTGCTTTGAAAGGAACAATGCCAACTCTGAACACTTTTAAAAATGCTTTTCAGTTGAATTGATTTAAAGCATGCTGCATGTTGATAAACATGCAAAGTGAAAAACACCTCCATGTGGTTGTCTCCAGGCCTATAGGGAGAGTTTAAGTGTTTTGCACAAAAGCACCAAAACAGCTTTGATCTGATATTTGTGTCTTTCTTTCCCTTGTCTTCACATGTCTCTGCAGCTATTGACCTGCTGTATGGAGGGGTTTACTGCTTCATGTGCCAAGACTACATTTATGACAAAGACATGGAGCAGATTGCTAAAGAGGAACAGAATAAAGCTTGGAAAATGCAAGGTATGACTGGATGAAACCCACTCTGTGGCATAAGCATGAATACAAAGCTGATAAATGTCTCTTATGAACATTACAGTGAATGTTAAAGCCCTTATTCAAAGCTTTAACAGAAACTGCACTGTAAGAGAGGATGTAGTTGTTGTTTGAATGTGTGACCCTGAGCTGTGTGTCCCAGGGATGGGAGAAAGGTACTCCACGTGGGAGCCAACTAAAAGGGAGCTAGAGCTGCTCCGCCACAACCCCAAGAGGAGGAGGATCACGGCCAACTGTACCATTGGTTAGTTTTTTATTGACTATTGACTACCTAACTTTTAGTAGACGTAATATTCAAGGTCCAAAACTTACCAAATTCCACACACACACATCAGGCTTTGTGAAAAAAAAAAAAGTATTTTATGGGTTTCACTGAATCACTGGCTCGATAGTGCTCCCTAAATCACTTGAAAACAGCATTTTCAACCTGCCATGAACCCATTTATTATCTTTAACCCGGTAGGTTAAACTTGCCCTGCATGTTTTATGGTAAGGACCACAGAATAATTTTTAACTCATCCTATAAAAACAACAGTAAGTCTAGAAATTTGGGTTGAATGTCCCATTTCAGCAGTTTACAGGGTGCAAATGACCTGCAAAATGCACACTAAAAACATGTGCAAGTTGTTGGGGTGTGCATGCAATTTAGCACTTGTTACATGGAATCTGTGTAAACCAGGTTCTAAGTATTTTAGTTCTGATATCGTTGCTGCTCGATGTCCCCACTCCAGCAGCCATCATTTACATGCTGGCTTCTCTACATCTGTGTCTGTGATCCCTCTTCCTCACCTTCACCTGTCTTTTCTCTTTATTCTATTTTGTTCCTGACCTTCATTTATGTTCTCCTCCTCTTCACCATTAGGTCTGAGAGGTCTGATAAACCTGGGTAACACGTGCTTCATGAACTGTATCGTCCAGGCATTGACACACACCCCTCTGCTTAGAGACTTCTTCCTGTCAGACCGACACAAATGTGAGATGCAGAGCATTTCCTGTTTGGTCTGTGAGATGTCTCAGCTCTTCCAGGAGGTATTTGAGTCCTGATGTATACACTTCATTTATAATTGGTTATTTTAAAAATATAGCAGGATGAGTAGAAGTCAGTGTTGTCTCATATGTGTGTTTATGTTGTTTTTCTCCAGTTCTACTCAGGCCATCAGTCCCCACACATTCCCTTTCGTCTTCTTCACCTGGTGTGGACTCATGCCCGTCACCTGGCGGGTTACGAGCAGCAGGACGCTCATGAGTTCCTCATAGCTGCCCTGGATGTCCTTCACAGACACTGCAAAGGTTGGATCTGCCCGCAGATGCACATTATATAATAAACATGCATTTAAAACCAGAGACTAAGAATTATGGTGAGACAAAGGTAGAGGAGGAATACATCAAGACTTTTTAGCTGCCTCTATGTGAGACAGAAATAGACCTGTGAGAAATGGAGTCTACTGTATGTAGAGAAAAGGAAGGAGACTGCACTTACCTGTCCTGGATTCCTTTCCCTGTTTGCAGTGAGTAAAGTGAGGAGCTGTGAAGTTCGACACTATCGGTGTGTCAGTGTCGGTGTCTCTGTGTGTGTCTATTAATGTGTGTTTATATCCACACAGATGACAATGGGAAGAAAGCCAACAACCCTAACCACTGTAACTGCATTATTGACCAAATCTTCACAGGAGGCCTGCAGTCTGACGTCACTTGTCAAGTCTGCCAGTAAGTTTGCTGGTTTTGAATTTACGCCAATAACATAAAACCCTTTAAGCCTCAGTACAGACACAGGGTGACCTTAAAAAGTCTTGAAAAGTCTTCAATACATTTTTACAAATAAAAGGCCTTAAAAAGTATTAAAATGTCTTAAAATCAGATCAGATAAGTCTTAAATGTGCTTTAGTCACTTCACTATAAGAATTCCTGGTAAGCACGGAACAAACGCTTTTCTCATCTCATCTCGCTCCGGAATTTAGATCACATGACACAATGAGACTGTGTTGCATCCTTGCAAGCCATCTTTGCTTTCTTAGTTGCACAAAATGGGAAAATACCAGTTTAATGACAAGTGGCTTGAAAACTCAGCTCATAGATAAAGAAAGGCAAGATGACACGAGGCGGAGTCACTGGCGTCCCTATACAGCGGCCCTCTTTCCACAGTATACCATACTGGTATGCTCTATGGTAGCTGCCGGAAGGTTAGTAGTCTGCATGATCAAATATACTCCTAACTTGCTGAAATCTTGACAGATTTACCAATGGGTTTGTTTCTTACGAACCTTGATAACGTGGCTATGAGACAGGATGCTTGGACAGGTTAAAATTAAAGCTTTTCTTAGAGAAAAAAAGACTAAATCGTGCAGCACAGTTGATTCATGGCCATTTGCACATGCAAGGGATAACTTTGAGTCGCTTTGCGGGAGTTGTCAAGGCCAAGACTGCGATGGAGATTCCAATTTCTTGTATGACAGCCTTTTTTGTCTAAGTGACAGTCTTTGTGGATGTGCTTGTGTTTGTTAGCTGTCTAACTTGGCAAACAGACTGACGCCTGGTTCACACAGGAAGCGCCGCGCGCGGAACGGAAGCGCCGTGCACAGAGTTTCGGATCGGCGCCCATGTTAACCTATGAGACTGTTCACACAGCTCGTGCGCGGAAGCGCCGCGCGCGGAGCGGCTCGCGCTCTGGAGTGCGGCCGCTCCGCTTCTCTCTATTTTTGGCGCGAGCCGCGCACGCCAATTGTAAAGCTGGACAGAGCAGATCGGACCAGACAGGAAGTCGGAACAGGAGATGCGAGAGAAATAAAATAAATTTCAATAAATTAGAAAACAAGGATTTACGGTGTTGCTTGTCAGTCTATTTTTTACCGATGAACACGCGCACACACACACACACACACACACACACACACACACACACACACACACGGAGGGAGAGCTGCAGAGATTCAGTGATGTTATTGAGACAAAGGAGGGGGACTTTATTACGATACAGTCAATAGCCTCGAGCTAACAAGGCTATACATACAACGGAGTCAACAGACTCCCCAATTTATTCGTTGTTTACCCCTATATAATAATTTAAAACAATACTTGAAGATGCTGCCAATATTTAATTTATGTATGACGAAATAAAAACGTAAATAAATATTGATTTACCCATGTTTAAAGCGCTCCTAAGTGTGGAAAACTGAGGGCAGACGGAAACGGCCGAGCACTGCCGGGCTCAATCAATGTCTGACCGGCGTGTCAGAGCGCAGCAGAAAACGCTTTATCTGTGAACAGCCAAGCGCGATACGACGCTGTGCGCGCGGTGCTTCCTGTGTGAACCAGGCGTGACTGTGAGTGAGACCAAGTACGTATTACAAAGTTGACCCAGCAATTTTACATCAGTAAGAGAGGCAGAAATGCTCTTTCGTTAATAAACACATTTGAAGAATGTTCTTGAAAAACTGATTATTTTCCTTTGTCCTTATTGTACATTTTTGACTTAAACCAATGCTTTTAATTGTAAAATAATATATTTTCACTTTGGTCTGTATTTCCATCACAAGTTTGGTCTTAAATTTTCTTTAATGTGGTATTAAAAAGGTCTTACAAAGTCTTAACTTCTTCATACCTGTAGTCATCTTGAGACAGTATGACACATCTGAGACATAAATCCCATAAGAAATGTTCTTCACACAAGTCTCAAACTTTGACCCTGTCTTTTTCCTGCCTCAAATTGATCCCTCTGCCTGACCTCTTCTTTAGAGTTTACAGTAAATCTCACACACAGTCACACTCATCAACAACAGAAGAGAGTTCTCCATAAAATTGGTATCTGGTTCCATCTGTTGGCAGCATCATGTCTTCTATACTTCTTTTTTAAAACTTGACATGCTGCCCTCATGTTGACTTTCACAGTCATTTGTAAACGAATCACATCAAAGTTGTGGATGAATACACCCCCAGGGGGCGCCATTGTTAGATAAACGGCATCAGATAAAACATTTACTCTTACTCTGTGATCTATGTGGCAGACTTGACCCTATCTGCGGAAAACTGTGGCTTGAACACTAACTAGTGATAGGAACTCATACAATCCCACTTTAAAAACACTGAAATATCCCTTCAACCAGACTAGCCTGAAAGTAAATTCAGCTTTGTTCAAACTTCGACTCTTCAAAGGGTGTCTGTGTTTCTCTCTCCTACTCATAGAGGTGTCTCCACAACTATAGACCCATTCTGGGACATCAGTCTGGACCTTCCAGGCCCCTCAACCCCATTCTGGCCCCTCAGTCCTGGAGGAGACGGCTCGGGACTCAACGGAGAGAGTCACATCAATGGAGCCACAACACTTACAGACTGTCTGCGAAGGTAACAACATTACAGATCTGTCCTTTGCCTGTCAAGATACTCCATGTAAGAAAACCAGTGCAGCTGCACGTCCCTCAGAGTGAGAGTCAAACAAAACGTGACAAACACACCCTCACAAACAGTGAACCAGGATTATACACTCTTCCTCTTAAACTCATGTAGTATCAAGTTTCATCTTCTCTACTGTGCAGGTTTACCAGGCCAGAACATCTTGGCAGCAGCGCTAAGATCAAGTGCAGCGGTTGCCATAGTTACCAGGAGTCCACTAAGCAGCTGACCATGAAGAAGCTGCCCATTGTGGCCTGCTTTCACCTCAAAGTAAGAGTGTGTGTGTTTGCTGGTTTTAGAGGTTATTTGATATGAGAGGAGTGCTGTGAAGCTGAGAGATCACCTTTGGTTTGTTTGCAGAGGTTTGAACATTCAGCTAAACTGCGGCAGAAGATCACAACCTATGTCTCCTTTCCACTGGAGCTGGACATGACCCCCTTCATGTCCTCCAGGTCAGCACAGTCAACAATGAAAAAACAACAATATAAACAAATTAGGAGGTGTAAGTTAGGTGTATTTTTTGTTGTATCTGTAAAACAGACAGACTTTTTTTTGGACTCTCTGACTCTTGACATTTTTAGGAAGAAAGAACAACAGTGGTGATCAAGTTGGTTCTGCTTTGTGTTTCAGTAAAGATTGCAGGCTGAACGGGCAGTACCAACAGACTGTGGATCCCTTCAACAATGACAACAAGTAAGAAAAAAAATGTTTTTAAACCCAATCCTGAATTTTCTGATTCCAAACAACCAGCACACTCATGTTAGCAGCCCCAGCTCAACACTTTTTGGGTCTGTGGTGCAGTGAACTCATAAAAAAATATCTTCATCTCTTTTTTTTCCCCTTCTCCCCCTTTGAATGAATCATATTTGTAAACCTCTGTTTACAGAGAGAAGCCTCCAACATCTCAGGACTTTTCAAATGACATAAACAAATGCTGGTTTTGTCACTATAAACTACAGCAAAGTCAAATCTATATGTTCTGTTATTTACTTGTGTATATCAGTACTGTAGATCCTTTAAATACAAGCCCAGTCATTTCTTTGCTTTTACTGCCTATTGTACCAGGCCTTTATATGAAGAAGGCTTGTATTAGAGGCAGACTTCTGTTATTCTCTGAGTCACAGAGGTTCATAATCTTTCATATTCTAGTACAGAGTGAGGGCCTATTCACTAAACCTAACCACAAAGCATAAAGGTTCTAATGCCCCCCACAAAACTGCACTGCTTATGAAATAACATCCTGCACCAGTAGTATTTGCCAAATACCACCCTCTCATTCTGTACAAATGAGTTGCAAAAACCAAAACAAATGAGAACTTATCAGCATTATTACACTCAACTCTTGGTGATTAAAATATTTTCTCTTTTGAATGAGGCAAAAAGAATATATCCATGCAGAAGTCTTTTCATGTGAGTTTGACTCTGCCTTATTTATAACCATCAAAAGATATATCAGACTGGGTCTTTCTGTGACTCAGCCCCTACATCAGGGGTGGGCAGTTAATTTTTACATGGGGCCACATGAGAAACATGAACTGTGTAGGTGGGCAGAATCAACAATAACTTCAACCTTTTTCTGCTCTATATTCATTATCTCCCGTTGTAAAAGCAGTAATTTAAACCCACAGACATAAACGCCATATTACTTGCTGGAGCGTAATCCAGTGTTGCCGCCATATTGGATGGTGTCCTCACTCCGGGCTCGCACAAGAGCCAAACGGAGTCAATTGAGAACGAACAACTGTGCCTGTATCTGTGCACTCTACAGTTGAAAAAAAACAAATCAGTATTGAAACCAGATCATGTATGATTACATTTCACAAGTAAGATGGAAAAATAATTTTGGTTATTTTTAATGTGTGACGGTGTCCTGTAGTATAGCTACATCTCTGTCATTTGTAACAAACCAAACCGTGTGAAAATCAGGCAGAAACTCTGAAAGTAATGGGGGGGGGGGGTGACCTACTGAGTCCTAGGTTGCGCCACATAAAAACAAATCAAATCATCGTAGTGTGGCTGTGCACCACAAATCATCATTGTTGTGGCTGTGCACCACAATTAATTACATGTAAGGGAAACCCTGTACATCTATTATTACATTATGCATTAGCAATGGCAAAATTATGATTAACACAGTTAACACATAAAAACTATGAATAACTTAAATTTTTAAACTTTGATTAAAAGAAATGGGTTGGGTTGAAAAATTTAATTTTTGAAATATTTTCCCCACTTACCGCCACTCATTCTTACTCTGTCTCCTCACTCATTTCTCTGTCACTCTGTGCTCTGGCGTACATGAGGATGATGTGCCGTGTGTCAGGGGGCATGCCAAGTACACAATTCAGGAAACAGTGGTCTGGAAAGAACAAACTACCTACCGCACTCGCGTTTTGCTTTGCTTTTGTGGGGAGCTGTGAGATAATTGGGGGAATTCATCACACAGACAAAAGAAAGCCCCCAAAAAAACGCAACGCATGACTCACAAGTTTTACAAGCCCAAAGTCGCTTGTAATAACCGGACTTGACAACTACAAGGCGTCTACATATACGAATGCAGATCAAGGATGTACGCAAGTGTGTCCAAACGGAAATAAAACAACGGCTAGGTTTTCAAAATAAAAGCAAAACACTTGTATTGCATGTTCATGTTCTGATTGGCAAACCTCAGGAAGGGCCAGGCAGGGACATCCAAAGATTTCTTATTAACCCTATCCCAGATTGCTTAGTTACAGTGCCTTTCTAACGATGGATTATTTTTGAAGAAGAGGAAGAGGACGCTATTAATTCACTCACTGCGGAGACAGAAAGCTGGTCATAAACTGTGAAGTTTGTCTTTTCTGTCATGAATCAACTCCACAATAAAATAATGAGAACTTCTCCTTTTCATCCAACTCATCACATGCTGTAAAAGGATGGAATTTATCACTGTCAGGACTACAGAGTGAATAGATGGTGTCAATATTTCAAGATGGCCTTGAATCACTTGTCAAGGTCATGGTCCCAGATCACTAAAGAGGCCTTGATAGGATTGGATAGCTTTTTTTATTTAAGGGATTTACAGGGTATAATAGAAACATTTTTGTATAAGTGTAATTGGATGAAGATGGATGAATCTTGGATGAAGACAGCAAGGAAGCAGTTAAGCAGATAGCACCGAGACCCCCCCCCCACCACCACCACCCACACACACACAGAAACACAGAAACACCATCTGCTCCATTTGAAGGTCCAGTTTACTTTTACTTTATTTCTCCGAATCCAGGTGAGCTTTCAATCCTTGCAGTTCAGTTTCTGCACCAACTCTACATGCATCAGCTGCTCCATGCACCTTCTTTTCAAATCTTGATGAAGCTTCATCACATTTAGAAAAGGGGCAGTTTTTTCCCTTATCAATGTAAACTGGCCAATATCAGCACAGAGACTGGACTTGTTCTGCAACGCAGTTTTGGTTGCATGTTACCCTTTGGTGGGTGGCTTTGTGTAGTGGTCTCTCTTAATCTCATTTGCAGTGGTTTACTGATTGCAAAAGTCATGCAAACCTTGGGTGAATCAGGTCCTGAATGTTATTTATGTCTGTTATTTCACATAGGTCAACTCAAGGACCTCAAGAGTTTGCAAACTTGTGCCTTTGTTTATCAGTTAGAATTAGTGTCTGTGAAGAAATCCACCTTTTCCCTCTCTTCCTGTGTTTTAGGTATAGTTTGTTTGCAGTCGTCAACCACCAAGGCACATTAGAGAGTGGTCATTACACAACCTTCATCCGCCAGCACAAAGACCAGTGGTTCAAATGTGATGATGCCATCATCACCAAGGCCAGCATCAAGGATGTCCTCGATAGTGAAGGGTGAGCAAGTCTGTATTTAGTGAGAAGTAACCTAAAAGTGTTTTTAAATCCCCTTGGTAGAGAACTTGTATTATGATGTCCTGTTTGTTTTTCAAACCTCTGCAGGTACCTGCTGTTTTACCACAAGCAGTTTCTGGAGTATGAGTAATTTCTGTAATCAGTACACCCTGACAGATGAGGATTTGTTGGACCAGACAGAGTGAAGAGAGAGGGACCCAAACAGAAGCACAATTTCTACCAGGCTAGTTCCACTGTGCAACAGGAACACAACACTGTCTGCGATCCAAGACTGAACAGAAGTGCAGAAACAAGATTAAATGCAAAGACTGGCACCAGCACTGAAGAACTGTTTCACACTTAAATTTGGGCGATGAAGGAGAAAAAAGCTGCTTATCCTCTATTAGCCCTAAGGGGAGAACCAGCTTTCCTACTTTTCAAAGACAGAGACAGAGTCTGTTGTAAACCTCCAAAGATATGTGAAACTGTTCTGATGGAAAAGGTTTACCTGACAACATATGCTGTTCACCAATGCCAAACTTTGAAGCTGCATTCAGTCTGGAAGTGTCCATTTCCTCGACAAAGACTTCAGGCTCTGCCAGAGTGTAAGAAAGGAACTTTTTTCACCCACTGAACTGGACACAAGCACGCAGACCAAATATCTGAGGGATTAAGTTGTCTCCCTATGCAATTTTTTGGGAGCTGGAATGAACAGAAAACAGCAGGACTGTACAGGGTTAAAGAAAGACTCTACCACACTCATATGAATTTTGTGGTATACGGATGCAGATAATTGGCCCCTAATTTAGCTCTCAGCTGTCATGGAGGTCTACATGTTTACAGTTTTTCATCCTCCCTCACTCATACATAATGTTACGTTGTACGATCAGTCATGTCTATTGCATAAAAAAAGCAAACCACTGCCGATGTCTTTCAAATCTGCTTCCATTGCAGCAAAGTTATTTTTTTACGTATAAGCCGGGCCACTTTTGTAAAGTCTGTTCTCCTTCTGAAGACGTCTTCACAACACAATCGGTGATGCTTTCTGAGATAATGGTTAAAAGGAGATCAATTAAAGTCTAAGTATTTATCCAGTGTATCATGGCTCAGAGGTGTTACCCTTAAGTATTTACTGTCACTGTATGTTGTGTGAGTGCGGGAGAAAGAGGCGGTAAAAGCAGAGTTCAAATGTGGGGGGGGTGTTAAAGGGGCACTTGTGTGATGCCTTTTGTAGCACTTTTTCAATGCTCCGGAGGGGCTGTAGTCCTTGTTGCAGTAGTGAAGTTATCAGCCTTTCTGGATTGTGTTGAAAGTTTCCTCTTTACATTGTTGTTTCCACCTGCATTTGTGGCAAACTGTGGTCACATAAAGTGGTTTTTGAGGTGACTTTGAGCCTGTGCAGTGATTCCCATCACAGAGCCATGTCTGGTTTTGCCACCAGAGGGCCCCTGGACCATTGCCTTTGAGTTCTAGAGTTCAACAGGGTTTTTTGAGAATAACTCTCAACATTTTTTCCCTGTTTGGATGATATAGTTTTCAGAAAATATAGTTTTTGTCTTTGTTAAAGCCTATTATGATTAAAAACAAACAATGATCTATCAGGACAGTATCTGGATTGAGAGTGAACTCTTTCACACAGCTGCAGCTCAGGGGTGAAGAAGACTGAAAAGAACAGTAAATCATAAATATTTGTTCCTTATTTGAACGGCCCCCTGATTATGAATTCATATTACTAACATAAACAAATAATGGAAGAACAATAATAACATGTAACTGTACTTCATGAAGTCTTCAACATTTTCAGATCAACTAAAAACATTCATATAAGAAAAATATAGTCTTTTTCTTTAAGAGATCACATTCATATCCTCCTCTCTCCTGTCTTGTTCTTTCCTCTTTTTTTCTTCCATTTTCTTTTCACTTTTCTCACAAAAACACATCACGACAGGATTAGGGGGGATTAGAGATGTTTTTGGATCCTTGGAAGCTTTAGGTGGTCTGGTGGAACCATCTTGTGGAGACTCCCTGGGTACTACTTGGGCTCTGTGGAAGAACAATGCAGCCATCTTATAGAGCCCAAATGGTAGTTTAGAGGGAGTCAATTGAGGCTCACTTGGAGCAGGAGGTTGGCTGAAGGAGCCAAGAGAGCAAGGGCAGGAGGAGGAAGAGAGGCAAGGAGCAGAAGCATGAAAAAGACCAGATGCCGAAATCCTGAGGTGGATGAGCCATGGGATGATAACTAATGTCCAGATGTACGCCAGCTCGTAGTAAAAAGAATAACCTCCAGACAACTGTTCCACTTCTTACTGACAAACAGGGAGCATTTACTGCATCATACTGTTTTAGGTAAATGTCAGTGAACATATTTTAATGATGGAGGCAGAGACAGAATAAAAGTCATTCAAAATAAATGCCATGGGTTAGATTTAAAGTCTGCTGTCATCAAAGTGTTTCAGTTGTAGCTAAAATAGTTTGATATACACTACAGGCCAAAAGTTTGGAAGCAACATCAGAGTTGTACAAAAAAAGATCATAGTTTCATATATATAATTTGCAACACAATGAACATGACTATTGTGTAAAGAGTAACTTATCAGAAGACATTTTGACTATAATTATTAGGTATTTGAGTTATTGTTGCTTAGACTTTGCTTTCTTTAAAGTAACCTCCTCTGGCTTTAACAACAGCTTGAAGTATACCAGGCATTCGTTCCACAAGTTTTTTAAGGTATGTTCCAGGGATTGTATTCCAAGCGTTCATTAAAAAGAGACTGCTGATTCTTGGGACGTGTTTTTCTGACCGACCGATCGATCCAATTCATCCCGCACAAGCTCAGTTGGAGAAAGGTCTGGAGACTGAGGGGGCCAAACCATCTTTTGAAGAACACCTTCCTCTTCTTTTTTGTCTAGGTAACCCTGACAGAGCTTGGCAGAATGCTTTGGGTCATTGTCTTACTGCAAAACAAACTTATGAGCCACAAGTCTGAGTCCAGGTAGAACAGCATGGTGCTGGAGGATGGAGTGGTACTGTTCCTTCTTCATGATACCCTTTACTTCAAACAAATCTCCTACTCCATCACCTGCAAAACATCCCCATACCATGGAACTACCACCTCCATGCTGAATTGTGGGTGTAACACATGGTGCTTTCAGACGTTCACCAGTTTGTCTGCGGACATAGACTCTGTGTTTTTAACCAAACAGTGCAAACTTGTTTCTAGTCATCATAAGTCCAATTTTTGTGAGCTTTTGCCCATTCATATCTCTTTTTCTTGTTCTGTGGATGAAGTAGTGTTTTTTTGCAGATATACAATCCCTCAGACCAGCCTTTTTTCAAACGTCATTTCACGGTTGTCAGAGATATGGGTTTCGACCTTGTCATGTTGATTTCCTCCCTTATTTGTGGTGCTGTCTTTTGCCAATCTCTCTTACTGATGACAATGCTATGTTTATCCTCTGCTTTTGTAGTAACTCTCTTTCGTCCAGGTCTTTTTCTATCATCATAACTTCCAGGTTCCTCTAGTCTCTTCAGAGTGTAGTGGACTCCTTTGTATAACAACTTTAGGCGTTTTGCAATTTCTTTTTTCTTATTATCTTTTGCTGACATATATTTAGCAATGGTCTGTTAACATCAGTGTATATCTAAAGGTAAATGGAGTAAAATGGTGCATTTCCATGAAAGCAACATCTGATCATGGAGTAAATACATCCCAAAATACATAAAACTCATGGTGGATTTTAAAAAAAAGCATCGTGAACAAAAACTTGAAGTTACTCCCAACTGTACGGCCTGTAATGGCCTTGCTTCCAAACGTTTGGCCTGTAGCGTAGTTTATAAAGACATTGACCAAGACAAGGAGGCTCTGAGGAATGACTTCAACCAAATTCATCTAAAGAAATGCCGTCATTGTTATTTCAGCTTTACAAATGGATAAAACGGAGATAATCTCAGCTCTGTTTTTGGACTGTTCAATTATCTAACAACAGAGCCATTAAAAACTCTGAACATTTTCACTTCAGTGGTGCTTATACATTCATCGACAATAAACACAGTTGGGCTGTCACTTAAAGAAACACAAATGAAATGTTTAATCAGGTCATTTTATAGTTTTATTAACAGTAGTTCAACATCATATTTTTACTAGCCCAATGAGACTAAATTAAAATGGTTCATTGTAAAGAAATGGGTAAATTATGGGATAACGGGAGAGTTGGTTTAAGCCAGAACAAATTTAGCTTTAAACCTGTTGACAATCCCAACAGTCCAACAACTCAATGTTTAATATTATTGCCAGAATTGTACAAGTTTTTTAATCAATCCAGACTGAGTACAGCTCTCCTTTTGAAATGACATTCACACACTCAGCTGAGCCCACAGGTTACTTATCATTGAAGAGTCAGACAGCTGCACCAACCAGTGGTCAGGTTAGGATAAGAGAGACTTCTGCTGGATCAAACCACAAGCTCCTTCAGACAGCCAGATGTGCTGATAAACGGTGTAGTTCCTATCTAAGCAGATCACTGAAGATGAAATACAAACTTTTCTCCTATCTTAAACAACGAGTGACAGCCAACTGTGTTCGCATATTTTCTTTAGCTACTAAAGACAAGCATGAAGCTGAGTGTGATTTATATGTTCAAAAAAGACTTGGCAAGAAATACAACATCTTTAAAGCACATCATTTGACAAGTAACAAAAGGGCTCTGTACAATGACAGTTATAGTAGCTACATAAATAGTTTATATCACAAATTTCCCAAAGGTCATTTCAGCGTTGACTTTAACGCATGACAATCTTTAAAAGAATCAATGTAATACTACAGCATCTTCATGAAACATTAAACATCATCTAAAAAAACTGCATCTTCGTCAGTGTTTGGAGTTCTGAACAGAGCTTCACCTCAGAGACTAACAGAAGATCAACTATGCCAGTCATGAACCAGAGCACAGGAACCAACATAATAATCTGGAGATTATTAAAGAAGACCTATTATGCTTGTCTGCACTGTTACACATACATTTAATGTCCTTGATGAACTGAGGCTTAGTTTCATAACATCAGATACATGGACAGCATCACAATTCCTGACGGCTTTTCCAGGTTCACTGAACAACTTATTTTTAGATATGACCACAACCTGACGTCAGGTTATGGCGTTTCATTAGGAAAAAAGCTGAAGATTTAAGACCCCCACTCCCAACCCCCCCCCACCCCCCACCCCCAATTATTGTTTCCCCTTGAAAACTGCTGAAATCTTAAGGCTGTACAACCTTATTATAAAAAAAACTCCATATAGCTGCAAAAACAAAAAAAAGTCATTGAATGGACATCAAATCAAGTGACTGTCAATGAAATCTCCCACAAAACAGTCTTACACCTCTACATGGCTCTTTTTGCTGCAGGGCATGCCAGTGTTCCCAGCATATAGGACTTTGTATACAGCCTGATATATCATGAAAGTGTACATGACTTTCTATAATAGGTTTTTGTTGATCCAGTCTGTCTCAGACAATATCTCGAAGTTCTTTTTTTTTTTTGTGAAGCTATTTTCTCTCCCAAAAAATTATGGCTCCAGAAAACAATGGAGGGTTTGGATGTTTTCAGGACAACAACAGCCACAATGTAGCAGTTTGTGTTCACCACTTCCCTGATAATCCCTTTGTAAACAAAAGACCAGTACAGGCTGGATTTGAGTCTCAGCTGAATTGAAAACCTGAAGCTGTTCATCCAGAAAGACCTTGTTGAAGCTCAGAGACACAAGCTCTCACAGTTAACTTTTTAACAGCAGCTAACAGAAAATATCTGTGAGTTAGAGATCCACATTTTTATCAGCATTGTGTCAGTAACAGCAGATAAATCCTATGACGTAAATCATCAGTATCAGCATGTATGAAAACTCCTGCAGGTAGTGATGCATTAGTTATGTGCATATGACAGATTATACATGTTGGCTGCTTTGACTTTTGAAGGGTTGGAACAAGCAGCAGATTTCTTGCTAGATGTCTACAAACACACACACACACACACACACACATATATATATATATACATATAAAACTATGAGGGTAGAATGAAATACTTGGCTCTTGCTTTAAGTTAACCTACTCTGTAGGTGTCCCAGCCTGACAGAATGAAAGGTGAATATGAGTGTAATAGGTCTCCTCTAAAGAGTTTCAAATTCAGATCAGTTCCCTCTGCAGTGAAACATGTTGAAGAAAGAAAAGAGTGTCCTTTGTCTTTCAGGAGAAATTGGATTAACCTTTTGGAGAGCTTTGCCATGTTGACCAGGCAAACCTCCCTTTGTTTTGACACCTAGAGTTAGAAAGTATGTTTATTTTCAGGTATTTGTTTGATTTCAACATCATTGGGCTCTGCATTGTTGGCATTTCTTAAAAAAAATGTTTGTTTTATGTTTTTGTATTTATCAATAACTTAAATCTGTTTTCACAGCCATTTGAAAACACTTTAGAAATTGTTTTTTTTCTTTCACTGACACTTTGTTCATGTGTCTATAAGCAGCAGTTTTTACATCATGCTCCAGGGGTCTCTCACAATGTAAGGCAGCCATATTAGTCTGAAAGCTGTCAGCGCAATGTCCTCTCTGGTTTGACCCCCTACAGTCAGATGCTGGTCTGGAGCTCCCCATTGAGTAAGGCAGCATTGTGAGTCTCCAAGTTGACATTGATGATGGCTGCATCATTCACCATCCTGCTTCTATCTGCCCTGCTGTCGCTTCGCTCCATCTCGTCCAGACCTGCCACCTTTTTCAGAGACAGGACGTTCTGAAAGCTCTTCTTGAAGTTATCTGACAGGAAGGCATACAGGATCGGGTTGGCACAGCTGTTAGCGTAGCCAAGCACCACAACAAAATCGAAGGTGCTCTTCACAGCAGAGGTGGGTTTAATGGAGCTGGTGACGGAGGTGACGTTGAAGATATAGAAAGGCAGCCAGCAGAGGACAAACACCACCACCACGATGGAAACCATCCTTGTAACCTTACGCTCAGAGCGCTTTCGTTTGGTGGAGCCAACTCGCAGACTGGATGACTTCACCTGTCAAACAAATACGACAGTCATCAGCATAGATAGACACGTGAACATGCATTTTCACATTTAGATCGAATCCATAATCTAGTATCAAATCTGTTTTAAACATGGAGTTACACAAAGTTCTCTGAATTCACATAAATGCCACAAGCTAGCTCCTTCCGAGACATCCATGATAACATAAACTACATTTTTACTTTAAGCAGAATGGAGATGCAGAAGTACGCTATTCACAATTTATTCATTAGGAAATTTAAATCCAAGTAGAAACACATGACGCAGTTTCCTTTCATAAATGAAATATGGGCATGAGTCACTTTGTGAAAGTCCAAGTCAAGTCTTTAAGGTGTCAAGAAATAACCAAATGTAACCTCAAATGTAACCAAACCTGTATAGTCAAAAAACGGGGAGTTCCAGAGGCTGAAAAAACATGACCTCCTTTATTTCATATCATGTCATGAACCATATTACATACTTATATTAGTTTAAAAGTAACATAACACAGCAGCAAATATATGAGCCAAATTTCCCCAGTTGAAATCTTAATGAATTAAAAAAGAAGACATTTGTTCAAAGTCAGAATTTAAAGACTCGCTGGATTGCAAATTCAAACTGGGGACTCAATGTTTTTGCAATCATTCAAAGCTGTTTCCATTCTCAATTCTGAAAGCACTCTTACTCTGTTTGAAATAGAGTTGTTATCTCAAACAGGTTTGTTTTTTATGTGGTAACCTCAAGACTAAATTTGTTGAAGATTTATGAAAACTCGGTCAGTGTTGTACTTGATGACCCCTTCATGAACATGCTCATATTTGGGTGATGACGCTCTGCTAAAACAGCATATCCCCCAGGTCAGCTACGCAATCTTCGTACGCCCATAGGCTGTATCAAGTGTTAATCATAGAAAACATGAACCCCCTAATAACTTTTAAAAACAGAGCTGCACAGAAAATAATAGGACTTGTGCACAAAACCAGTCTTACAGTAACTACATGTCAACATCACAAGCAGGGGAAAAAAATTATATTCTGTGTAATTAATTTCTAAAGTTTGTCAACAGCTCCATAGGGATTACTGAAGGAGGCAGGATTTATGACCTATATGATTTATAACCCATCACCAGATGGTGCTGTTCTCTCGAGGTGACTTTACCCAGTGAGGAGGCAGACAGCGTCCATTCTATATACAGTCTATGATTTTAATGGACATGGACACCATCTTTTCCACACTCTCAGTTGCATGTTGGGCATATCCCCCAAGTCTTAAATTCAGGATTATTAGAGAAGTTGCCGAAGAAAGTGTAAGTGTCTCTGCGTCTTGGCTGGTTCTAGTGTGTCGGTGCCAACAGCCAGAGCTGGCATTAATTGCCTTAATACTTATGCTTCATTGACAAATGAACCAAAAATCCCTCTGATGCCAAGATCTCATCGACAGTTGGATGTTAGTTCAGTTCTTTGGTCATGTATGTGGGAAAAGTAAAGGACAACAGAGACCACTTATTGAGCTACATCAGGCACAGTGAGGCCAGCTCTCACCTTGACTACAATCAGAAGGTAGCACATGCAGATGACTGTCAGAGGGAGGAAGAACCCCACCAAGAAGGTGCAGAAAATGAAGGCTTTTTGATAGACGTCCTGGGGCTCAGGCCACACAATCCCACATGATCCTTTGTTGAGGCCACTGAAGATCATTGTAGGGAGGATGACTAACAGAGACACCCCCCACACTGTCAGGTTAATCAGCTTGGCTATGCGAGGCTTCCTCCATTTAGTGGATTTGATGGGGTGAACCACAGCCAAGTACCGATCAATGCTCATCACCATCAGACAGAAGATGCTGGTGAACTGGTTGAGAGAGTCTGGGAGGGATGGAGAGAAAGCTGCTGTGAGGATATGTGATTCATGACAGCAACAAAAACTAGCAGTGATCCTTTTTTTCTTAAAAAACATAAAACAAATTATGACAAAAAAACCCTCAAAATATCTGTATTCAACCTGAGGATCAGCACTCATCATGCATCTGTGCAGTTACAATTAAACTGGCAGCATAACATAGTGGAAACATTCACAAGAGGTAAAGTGGGTGCTCCTTCAGAAGTTCAAATCCATTAATGGTCACTTTTTTTGGATTCATTTAAGCAGTTTGATTCAGTGCTGGAAGCTTTATCACGTTTCTATTTTAATAGAAATCTAAAAGTCTATGTTAAACTAGGAGGAGAGTAGGAGGAGGAACAGTAAGAGGCAGGGGGGGAGAGAGGAGAACAGTTAGAGGATCAGGAGGAGAAGAGAGCAGAAAGGAGCAGGAGGAGGAGAGAGCAGAGAGGAGCAGGGGGAGGAGAAAGCTGAGGGAGGAGGAAGAGGAGAGCAGGAGGAGGAGAGAGGAGCAGGAGGAGGAGGAGGAGAGCAGGGAGAGGAGCAGGGAGAGGAGCAGGAGGAGAGAGGAGGTCATTTTTTAGTAGTTAAAGATGGCATCTTTGGAGATGACCTTCTTGGTTTGGGAAGAGCTGTTAACCATTTTTGTGCTCCTGTTTGGACACCCAAGTCTAAAATATCTGGATTCACCACTGCTTAGAATTAAAAGCTTGCAAGACCTTTAAACTTGGGATCTATAGTTCTACAATATGAACATTTCCCATCAAAAGTAGTTTCAATTAGACATGCCTGTGTAAATTGCTATTATTCGTCCATAATTTGTGTCTGTTTCTTTCTAACATTTGATTTTAAAAAGTGGGCAGATAGTCAGGCTATGTTTAAAATTCATGAGGGTGAAATGTCAAAACTGCTTCCAGCTGATCTCTTCTGTGCAGACTGCAGCTCCAAATAATGTCATCAGCACAAAATGTCATTTCAGAGATGCATGTCGAGAAGCTAGTGTACTGAATACTTTATGTAAAGGGCGGTAAAGAGGCTGGAGAAATATTTCAGTGTGAAATTTCATTGTATTATCTTCATAATGATATAAAGGAAATTAAATCCAGCATAACATTATTCTTTATTTGCATTGTATTTTGAACTAAATGCACCAAGATGTTAGGAAGCTTCATTTGCTCACACCATGTTAAAGTATTATTTCTTTACATTACAAACAACCCCGCTAAAACTGCTGCTGCTGGATTTTGAAGTTTACCTTCATCCTTCAGATCTATACCCACCTACACCCATGATCACCCTGCACAGCACCTCTCCAAAAGGCCAGTGCACCAGAGCCAGCTGCAGGGCGATGAATGGCAGGCTCATCATGCACAGAACATCTGCCACTGCCAGGTTCAGGATGTAGATGTTCGTCACTGTCTTCATTTTGGCGTAACGCAGAATAACATATATCACTAAAGTGTTACCACAAAGCCCCACTGCACACACAGCAAAGTAGATAAGGGTGATGACCACTGAGCTGGTCTTGTCCTGGGGAGGCATCTTGGTCCCATTTATGTTCAGGCTCAGGTCAGACTCAACACTGTCATACAGGAGAGGCTCGGGGATGGAGACGTTGGTGGGTCTAAGAATGTTAGACCACTGATCCATGGCTGTGATAACTTTGGTGGGTTTAGGGTATCAAATGGCTCAGAGGGTGACGATAGTACAGGACCAAGAGCAGGTTTTATCTGTAAAGAGAGGAGAGGACAGGGAGGGGACAGTGTTGATGGCTGAACAAAATGAGAGTATGTACTTTGATGAAACATATCAGAGCTTGAAGATCCATGACAACAAATGTAGGCTTTGACACTTTGAATATCTAAAGAACTTAAGGCATGTTTCAGTGTTTTTGAAATAGAAGTGGGGCTGTATGAGTAACATGTCAGTGGTAAGTGTTTTAGCCACAGTGGATGTGGAGCAGTGGAGCTCTGCCCTGCAGGTAGAACTGACTCCAAGGTGACAGTTTCCTGCAGACGGGGTCGACTACCAGTAAAATGAGCTAATATCGAGACTCCAGCAATTTTCCATCAAAAAGCCCATCTGTTTTTGCAAGACGGACAGATGTACTTTTCAGTGAACAGTGTACTGATCAGCTGTCTGGGTCTGCAGGCTTAGAAGAGACAAACATATCACCAAATTAAAGAGGAGTGATTCAGACATGCTGATAGACAGGCATGTACGTTTTTTTTCTAGTCCAGACTTTACAGAGGAAAAAGGTGACACAATGCACAGAAGGAGGAAGGCTTAACACTTCTGAGCACACTGGAGAGCAGGGGAGATCCCAGGTTACCTGGTGGTTCAGGTGTGTAAGCTGTGAGCTAATGTCCACAAACAGAGAAAACTCCTGTCTGTCAAGATGGAGACTTGGTACAAGAGGGTCTTCAGAGTCAGAGTTCAGCTCTCAGTGTTTTTACAGCATAATGACAAAGCCCATGGACCACATGATCTGTTTACCTGATCAGGATACACTGAGTTAGCTGTTGAAACTGGAATAACAAACTCTACACACATCACTGAGTCCAGAGGCTGAGCTGAGACCTTTGGTGATGAACATCTTTAAAAAAAAATCTGAATTCCCATCATATCAGTGACTTAAACATTGTAGATTTGATTTGCTGATTCTGCTGCATTCGTAGGGTGTTGCAAACAGAACCAAGCAAATGGACTTTCTGATGGCTGAAAAAAAAGTCTAAACTTTAACTGAGATGTCGGAGAGTTGGCCCTGTCTGCAGAAAACACGAGCACACCCAAGCTGACTGGCATCCACTGTGTCAAAAACACTTGAAGTGACATGCAACTCAAACAATCTCACTTCAAGTATTAAGTGATTTCACTGAACTCTTTGAGAGCTTTGCAAAAACATGTTACCATCGTCTTCATGGTTCAGACCCCAGCAGAGACAGAACTCAGAAACTGGGAACTGGAACCATCTTTTTAGTTATTTCTTTGTGTTTACAGTCTAAAGTTCAGCAGGACCTCAGATCCGGGTTAAACTTTGAATCCTCTGATTGCTGCCCTGACCTCTGTAGTATGGGTCAGGACTCTGCATACATGTGTACAGCTCTGTTTGTGTGTGTGTGTGTTTGTGTGTGTGTGTGTGTGTGTGTGTGTGTGTGTGTGTGTGTGTGTGTGTGTGTGTGTGTGCGCGCGTGTGTGTTTGCCTGCATACATGCAAAAAATACACCTGAGCGGGGGAACAATGAGGGCACTGCACCACTGACAGCTAATGTTTATTCAATTGATCTTGGTGACAAACAGCTTGTGGTGCACTGTGGCAGGATCGCTCCATCTTTACCTGGAGCCAGCTCAACAGGAAGAACTGACTTTCATTTCTCAGGAACCACAGCTGATTAGTATCAATTAGGCCACTGTTTACCATCTGTCTGGGCAATCACTATGCCATCATTATACTGGTTTGGTCACCTATGCCTTTGGTTTAGAGGCTATACAGTTTTATCATATGTCTGCTGTGTTTGTGTTTCACTCAGAGGATACATTCATCTGCACAATTAGAAAATCAACTTTTCTCAACATAACTATTGATTTACAACATGAAGGCATCTTATTAAGAGCAAAATATCTGCAAATTATATCATTCATGTTTCCCTGATATTTCCCCTGTTGTCAGTGCACAGCAGCAGATCACCAGTCTACTAAATAGAACATCAATCTAACAGAAACTGGGGTCTGATCTCAGGACAGTTTTGAGGATTTCTGTTGACAAATCTGGATAATGAACTTCACTGGCCTTTGCAAACAGGTAAAAGCTCAGCTACACAGACTTTGCCTCTCACTGTGTGTGTGTGTGTGTGTGTGTGTGTGTGTGTGTGTGTGTGTGTGTGTGTGTGTGTGTGTGTGTGAGAGCGTGCGCGCGTGTGCAAAGAGCAAAGGTTGAGCTACAGAAAAGCAAATCTACACAACGAGCACATCCTGTAATGGCCTGATTTGAGATGCTCTTGCACTAAAAATCAACAAAATGTGAGGTGAAATAAGCAACTGTATAAAATTAGAAGATTAAATCATAAAAATAAAATAAACTGAGGGACTCTAAGAAATTAAGAAGAGAGGGATGCGAGTCACAGGCTAGATTTCAGCTCAGCACTGATACCAGAAAAGCTGTTAAGCTCAACACTCAAACCATAAACTTTCTGATTCAGTCACATAGTAATAACTCTAGTCTAATAACGCTCAGGTTGTAGAGCTATTGTCAGTGAAGAACATTTTCTAATAATAATTTAAAAAAACATTTATTTATGATAGGATTTGCATCACAGTGCGAAGGACAAGACATAGATGTCTGTGGTCTTGTACACGTGACATGAGCATGGGCAACAAAGAATAAAAAAGAACCATTTTATCAATTCTTCTTTAAAGTGTCACTTACATTCAAACGGTGAACTGCATCCTCATATAATTTCAAACCCGGCAGCATATCATCCAGTATGGCACAGAGTCCAGGCGTGCGAACAAGGTACTAACCTGCTGGAAGGCTGCATCCCTCCAGCTCTACATCCACCTGCTCTCCGAGAGTTCGCGTTACGCACGACCTGGTGTTTAACTGCACACTCCCTCACCGTCGCAGGATGAGGTTTCCGAACGTCTCTCGGGTCATTTTATCGCCTTAAACGTGTATTAAAGGAAATGTTACATGTATAACGTCGATAACTTTAGCTCATGCATGCAGTAGGCCCGATCGCTCAGTCTTGACAGATTTCTCCGTGACAGTCAGATCAGCAGGACGCACGAGTGAGAAAGAGAGAGAGTGAGAGAGAAAAGACGGGGGGGCTGAGAGAGAAAAGACGGGGGGCAGAGAGAGACAGAGTGCGCGGGCTTTTCTTGTTAATAACTGATTTTGACATAAATTGTCTTATTTCAGGGTATTTAATAATAATAATAATGGAACAGGGAGGTACAGAGATAAAAAAAAAGATATCAATAAAAAGAAAAAATAATCAAATGGAGTAAAAAAACATGATGATGGATGAGATAAAGCAATAAAAAGAGATAGACCTTAAACATGGACAAAAGAATCATAACCATAGACTGTAGTTTTTGATGATAACATTAAGGCATTTTTAAACAGAATAAATATATGCTAAACTTTTGGTGGCCGAGAACCGCCACTGCTGCAAATAAAAAAAGAATGCAAAAAAAAAGAGTCACAACGGAAGTTACTGATGCAAAAAAAACAAAAAAAACAAACCGACGCCCGCGGCAAATCAAAAAAGAAATGGTGCAGATTCAAAAAGAGCCACAACACAAGTTAACGACATAAAAAAAAGTGGCGATGGGAAAAAAAGAGTTACTTACTGCAAAATAAAAGGATGCAAAACAAACAAACAAAACGACGACGGAAGAGAGCTGCTGAGGACCAATAATGATGATGCACCGGTGTTTACGATCTTTAGTCACAGAAGACGACGGCGAGAAGATGAGCAAAGAAGGAAGTGGAAAAGTTATTGTTTGATTTCGCTTTGTGTGCTTTTCAATGTGTTATTTGGTTCGGTCATGTAGCGCCTGAGTGGATATGAAGTTGAACTGGAGGATGCCAGTGCAGTGTTAGCTTTAGTTCAAAATATTGAAATAAAGAAGGATTTCAAATGAATAAACAGATTTCGTATAGGGTAAATAGGAAAATAACAACAAGACAATAAAAGCAACAAATACAAAGCACTAAGATGACAGCGTAAGTTTAAAGAAGGAATTTCAAACACAGCTCTGATGCAGTGAGCCTTCTCTCTTCAGACAGGTTGTTCCAAAGTGAAGAGCTCTGCTGGCAAAGTTTTGACTTTGGAACTACCTAGAGATTCCTACCTGAAGAGGACCTAAGGATGCTGCAGGTTGGTTCAGACAGAATCAGCTGCTCTATTCTACATTCTCTGTGTACTGTGTGGAAATGTAGTTTTTGAATATCACCCAAAGAGACCAGCTATACAAATTTGCATTCTGTCAGTCCAGTTACCTCAGGATAGCTTTACAAAAACTTGTTATCTTTTACTGCTGTCAGTAAAATCGTGATCAATCACACCAATGTTCACCCTTAAAGAGCAGAATCACTTTTTAGACCAACACTGAATCTCAACATTCTCCACTCCACTGTCTTCTCTGTCTTCTCAAAGTGGCTTTCCAAAGCTCTTGTGGCTCAAATGAGAGAAGAAAAAACAGAATCAAGAGGAGGAAAGAGAAGCGAAAGGAGAGAAGAGAAGGAAAAAGAAAGAAGAGAGGGGAGAGATGTGGAGAGGAGAGAAGAGAAAACAGAATAAAGAGGAGGACGGAGAAGGGTGAGGAGAGAAGAGAGGGAAGAGGAAAGAAGAAAGGGGAGAGAAGAGAGAACAGAAGAAAGAGGAGAGAAGAGAAGAGAGAGGAGAGCAGAGAGAGGGAAGAGAAAAGAAAAGAAAAGAGAGAGGAGAGAAGAGAAAACAGAAGAAAGAGGAGAAAAGAGACATGAGAAGAGAGGGGGAAGGAGAGAGGAGAAAAAGTAGAGGATATAAGAGAGCAGCTTTCACAGAGGTATTTTCGCATACAGACACACAGACATACCCGTGTATTGAATATCACTCAAGAGTTGACATTACCAGAGTTAAACAAAGAGGACAGCTTTGAGACAGACCTTAAGACAGTTCTTAAGACAGTTCTTAAGAGAGCCCTGAAACAGTCATCAATTTTCGTCATGATGAGCTAAAATTCAGAGTGTCTGACGGAAGTATTAAACACCTAATACTGAGCATAACTGTCATCAAATTAAAAAACAAGCAAAAAATAAAAAATAAAAAAAATAACAGAGGAAACCTCCTAACCTTTACAAATGTATTTATATTTTCAAATTCACTGCATGAGAAAATAGTCAGAGTCTAATTTCAAAGATTGGTTAAACAATAATATTCATGATCAGAAAAATTTTCAGGTAATTCTCCTTTAGTTAATTCTCCTCTTCTTTCTGACTACTCCTTTCAGTCAGTAGTCAGAAAGAAGAGTTTGTCTGTTGATCGATATTTTGGCTACATTCAGGCTGCTGTGGTGTACATTTCTCCACAGATCATCAGTATGTAAAAATTTGAAAGTGTTGCCTATCATGTATTTTCCCTGAAATTTTAGATCTCGTCTTCTATAACACATTCCCTCATTTACTCTCTCCCAAGAGCTGAGAAACAAGTGAACAAGTCAGGGAAGTGAGGCTGAAGTGTGAAACTTCAGGGCTTTGAAGAAAAAAACAGACTTAAGATCTCAGAGAACAGTAAAAAAAACTGTTGCTTGAGGCTTTCACAGTTTGAAGTTTGGCTGAATGGAAGTCACACAAATTTTGGAAAAAGGCTTAGTTGTGAACAAATTAGTGAAGTTTCTGTGACTTTCGATGTCCATCAATCAATAATAAAAGATTATGAGAGTAAAAATCATCTTGGCACTCAGGATGGTTGTTTTCAGGTCATGTTGAAGCAGGCTAAGATAAACTTTTGTTTTTAAAGGTGCTACAGAAATAATAATAAAAAAAGACATGAGAGTAAATAAAAAGGAGTGAACACCAAAAGATGATTATAAAAACCAAAAACTGGAAATGTAATCCTCATAAAAAGAATATCTGGGTCACCGGGACAGGACAGAAAGGATGTGTAGGTTCAGTGATACTGAACTTCAACTGTTTGACTAAGTCTGAGTGACTTCAAAAGCTCAATTATTGCTAAGGTATTGATTGACTGGAGGAGGTCAAGCTGATGGCAGGGATCAGTTTGTGAAATTTAACCTGACTGCTCTGTTCTGATACAAAGAAAAACAAGTGTTCACTTTTGACTCACCTGCCTCAGAGAAAAAGAAACTAGTCTGGAGAAAACTTTCAGATACTCCAGAAAACCTTAAAAAAAATAAAGAAAAAATGCAAACATAGAACCCAAATCCAGATAGGATTGTGTTGTGAAATATTCAAAAAGCATGTCCGGTGGTTTGTGGACATTTTAAACCCTTTAGTTGACCAAAAACCTACATAAATTCATGTTTGAACTGCATACAATTCCTGCTTATCAGAGAGGTATACATACCTAACTTGCTTGGGTGCTTTATGCTTTCAAATCAGGCAAAGGTGACTCAGGGGAAGTTTGTAACTGTTCATTTTGGGAGGACAGACACACCAGAGAACACAGAAACATCAACTGAGGCTAACAGGTCAGGCTGTGACAGCATATCTGTTTTCTTTTATTTATATCTATTTGTAATGTCTGATGTCAAACATTACTGGCCAGTGTCGCATCCACCGGCCAGCTCTACCATGTTGTGAGGCAGGTTCGTGGTGAGGACCCAGATGCAGACACAGAGACTGAGATCAACTTAAAGAGACTTTTAATGTCCAAAAAAAGGGGAGATAGTGCAAACAGAGGAAGTCCGAAGGGCTGGTTGGCTGGCTGTCGTGTGGGCTGGAGACACTGCAGGAAAAAAACAGAGGAGACGGGAGTTAATGAACATGAAAATAGTCACTGGGAGCAAAGTTCTGAAGGTTATACCACGAGGAAGGCCAGGAGACACGTCTGTACCGCTAGGAAGGGTAGACAATACTCAGGCCCTGAGGCTGAGGGCTGCAGGCTTCTTAAAGTGCCTTGATTGGAGATGTGGAGCAGGTGTGTAGTCTCACTCAGCCTCAGCGCCGGGGGAGGGGAGGAAGCTCTGGAAAAGAGTGAAGCCAGACCAGACAAACAAGGAAACACAGGAAGTCCAGCCAAAATAAAACAAGATGGAGGCGTCTCACCACAGTACCCCCCTTAACGAACGCCTCTTGGCGTTCTGCTGGGCTTGTTGGGGTGAGCGACGTAGAAATCCTCAAGGAGTTGGTGGTCCAGGATGAGGGAGCGGGAGATCCAGGAACGCTCCTCCGGACCGCACCCCTCCCAGTACGCAAGACACCGGAAGCCTCGCCCCTGAGGCCGCACATCCAGGATTTTCCGTACGGTGAGGGCAGGGTGGTCGTCAATCAACCGGGGGGGTGGAGGGGCAACGGAAGGAGGGCTCAGGGTGCACGAGGCAACAGGCTTTAACAAGGAGACAGGGAAGATGGTGTCGATCTCCCAAGAGGTGGAGCCGACGACACAGGAGGCAGGGAGGATGGGGTCCGGGGTAACCAAGGAGTGGGTCCGAGAGAGGGTGTCTGGTTTGAGGTCGCGGGAGCCGGGACGACAGGAGACGGGGAAGGTGAATCTATGAAGGAAAAGGGACCAGCGGGCTTGCCTGGAGTTGAGGCGACGACCAGAGCGGAGGTATTGCAGGTTTCTGTTGTTGGTCCAAATGAGGAATGGTTGTTGTTCTCCTCCCAGCCAGTGTCTCCATCTTTGGAGTGCCCACACAACAGCCAGCAACTCCCGGTTTCCCACGTCCTGCTTTCGTTTGGTGGGTGAGAATTTTCGGAAGTAGTAGGCGCAAGGATGGAGCTTTGGCTGGTATGCAGGCTGCTGGGGCTTGGGACGGTACGCAGGCTGCTGGGGCTGCGGTTTGGCCTGAAAACTGGGAGCCTGGGGCTGCTGCTTGGCCTGAACACTGGGAGCCTGGGGCTGCTGCTTGGCCTGAACACTGGGAGCCTGGGGCTGCTGCTTGGCCTGAACACTGGGAGCCTGGGGCTGCTGCTTGGCCTGAACACTGGGAGCCTGGGGCTGCTGCTTGGCCTGAACACTGGGAGCCTGGGGCTGCTGCTTGGCCTGAACACTGGGAGCCTGGGGCTGCTGCTTGGCCTGAACACTGGGAGCCTGGGGCTGCTGCTTGGCCTGAACACTGGGAGCCTGGGGCTGCTGCTTGGCCTGAACACTGGGAGCCTGGGGCTGCTGCTTGGCCTGAACACTGGGAGCCTGGGGCTGCTGCTTGGCCTGAACACTGGGAGCCTGGGGCTGCTGCTTGGCCTGAACACTGGGAGCCTGGGGCTGCTGCTTGGCCTGAAAACTGGGAGCCTGGGGCTGCTGCTTGGGCTGCAAACTGGGAGCCTGGGGCTTGTACACGGGAAGCTGGGGCCTAGGCTCGGGCTGGTACACGGGAAGCTGGGGCCTAGGCTCGGGCTGGTACACGGGAAGCTGGGGCCTAGGCTCGGGCTGGTACACGGGAAGCTGGGGCCTAGGCTCGGGCTGGTACACGGGAAGCTGGGGCCTAGGCTCGGGCTGGTACACGGGAAGCTGGGGCCTAGGCTCGGGCTGGTACACGGGAAGCTGGGGCCTAGGCTCGGGCTGGTACACGGGAAGCTGGGGCCTAGGCTCGGGCTGGTACACGGGAAGCTGGGGCCTAGGCTCGGGCTGGTACTCGGGAAGCTGGGGCCTAGGCTTGGGCTGGTACACGGGAAGCTGGGGCCTAGGCTTGGGTTGGTACACGGGAAGCTGGGGCTTATGGTCAAAGACTAGTGCGCAGCGGAGCAGGAAACCTCTGCAGCCCCCACTCTCCCCAGCATATGGCTCAGGAGGAGGGACATAGGGCTCTTTGAGGATAAAGGGTGGTGGAGGAGGTGAAGAGGGGACTGTACTCACTGAGGGGGAGAGCCAGATTGCTGCGGGGGTAGCCGGGAGAGGAGTTGATCCGCCAGTTGCGCTATTTGAACGGTGAGGCCCTGACAGGCTTGGTTGAGGCCCTGGAGCATGTCCTCACGCCGATCGAGGCGAAGTTCGAGCTCTTGGAAGGCTTGATGAACTCTGTCTGGGTCTGCTGGGTCCATTTTCCTGGCCTGAGTATTCTGTTGTGAGGCAGGTTCGTGGTGAGGACCCAGATGCAGACACAGAGACTGAGATCAACTTAAAGAGACTTTTAATGTCCAAAAAAAGGGGAGATAGTGCAAACAGAGGAAGTCCGAAGGGCTGGTTGGCTGGCTGTCGTGTGGGCTGGAGACACTGCAGGAAAAAAACAGAGGAGACGGGATTTAATGAACATGAAAATAGTCACTGGGAGCAAAGTTCTGAAGGTTATACCACGAGGAAGGCCAGGAGACACGTCTGTACCGCTAGGAAGGGTAGACAATACTCAGGCCCTGAGGCTGAGGGCTGCAGGCTTCTTAAAGTGCCTTGATTGGAGATGTGGAGCAGGTGTGTAGTCTCACTCAGCCTCAGCGCCGGGGGAGGGGAGGAAGCTCTGGAAAAGAGTGAAGCCAGACCAGACAAACAAGGAAACACAGGAAGTCCAGCCAAAATAAAACAAGATGGAGGCGTCTCACCACAGTACCCCCCCTTAACGAACGCCTCTTGGCGTTCTGCTGGGCTTGTTGGGGTGAGCGACGTAGAAATCCTCAAGGAGTTGGTGGTCCAGGATGAGGGAGCGGGAGATCCAGGAACGCTCCTCCGGACCGCACCCCTCCCAGTACGCAAGACACCGGAAGCCTCGCCCCTGAGGCCGCACATCCAGGATTTTCCGTACGGTGAGGGCAGGGTGGTCGTCAATCAACCGGGGGGGTGGAGGGGCAACGGAAGGAGGGCTCAGGGTGCACGAGGCAACAGGCTTTAACAAGGAGACAGGGAAGATGGTGTCGATCTCCCAAGAGGTGGAGCCGACGACACAGGAGGCAGGGAGGATGGGGTCCGGGGTAACCAAGGAGTGGGTCCGAGAGAGGGTGTCTGGTTTGAGGTCGCGGGAGCCGGGACGACAGGAGACGGGGAAGGTGAATCTATGAAGGAAAAGGGACCAGCGGGCTTGCCTGGAGTTGAGGCGACGACCAGAGCGGAGGTATTGCAGGTTTCTGTTGTTGGTCCAAATGAGGAATGGTTGTTGTTCTCCTCCCAGCCAGTGTCTCCATCTTTGGAGTGCCCACACAACAGCCAGCAACTCCCGGTTTCCCACGTCCTGCTTTCGTTTGGTGGGTGAGAATTTTCGGAAGTAGTAGGCGCAAGGATGGAGCTTTGGCTGGTATGCAGGCTGCTGGGGCTTGGGACGGTACGCAGGCTGCTGGGGCTGCGGTTTGGCCTGAAAACTGGGAGCCTGGGGCTGCTGCTTGGCCTGAACACTGGGAGCCTGGGGCTGCTGCTTGGCCTGAACACTGGGAGCCTGGGGCTGCTGCTTGGCCTGAACACTGGGAGCCTGGGGCTGCTGCTTGGCCTGAACACTGGGAGCCTGGGGCTGCTGCTTGGCCTGAACACTGGGAGCCTGGGGCTGCTGCTTGGCCTGAACACTGGGAGCCTGGGGCTGCTGCTTGGCCTGAACACTGGGAGCCTGGGGCTGCTGCTTGGCCTGAACACTGGGAGCCTGGGGCTGCTGCTTGGCCTGAACACTGGGAGCCTGGGGCTGCTGCTTGGCCTGAACACTGGGAGCCTGGGGCTGCTGCTTGGCCTGAACACTGGGAGCCTGGGGCTGCTGCTTGGCCTGAACACTGGGAGCCTGGGGCTGCTGCTTGGCCTGAACACTGGGAGCCTGGGGCTGCTGCTTGGCCTGAACACTGGGAGCCTGGGGCTGCTGCTTGGCCTGAACACTGGGAGCCTGGGGCTGCTGCTTGGCCTGAACACTGGGAGCCTGGGGCTGCTGCTTGGCCTGAACACTGGGAGCCTGGGGCTGCTGCTTGGCCTGAAAACTGGGAGCCTGGGGCTGCTGCTTGGGCTGCAAACTGGGAGCCTGGGGCTTGTACACGGGAAGCTGGGGCCTAGGCTCGGGCTTGTACACGGGAAGCTGGGGCCTAGGCTCGGGCTGGTACACGGGAAGCTGGGGCCTAGGCTCGGGCTGGTACACGGGAAGCTGGGGCCTAGGCTCGGGCTGGTACACGGGAAGCTGGGGCCTAGGCTCGGGCTGGTACACGGGAAGCTGGGGCCTAGGCTCGGGCTGGTACACGGGAAGCTGGGGCCTAGGCTCGGGCTGGTACACGGGAAGCTGGGGCCTAGGCTCGGGCTGGTACACGGGAAGCTGGGGCCTAGGCTCGGGCTGGTACTCGGGAAGCTGGGGCCTAGGCTTGGGCTGGTACACGGGAAGCTGGGGCCTAGGCTTGGGTTGGTACACGGGAAGCTGGGGCTTATGGTCAAAGACTAGTGCGCAGCGGAGCAGGAAACCTCTGCAGCCCCCACTCTCCCCAGCATATGGCTCAGGAGGAGGGACATAGGGCTCTTTGAGGATAAAGGGTGGTGGAGGAGGTGAAGAGGGGACTGTACTCACTGAGGGGGAGAGCCAGATTGCTGCGGGGGTAGCCGGGAGAGGAGTTGATCCGCCAGTTGCGCTATTTGAACGGTGAGGCCCTGACAGGCTTGGTTGAGGCCCTGGAGCATGTCCTCACGCCGATCGAGGCGAAGTTCGAGCTCTTGGAAGGCTTGATGAACTCTGTCTGGGTCTGCTGGGTCCATTTTCCTGGCCTGAGTATTCTGTTGTGAGGCAGGTTCGTGGTGAGGACCCAGATGCAGACACAGAGACTGAGATCAACTTAAAGAGACTTTTAATGTCCAAAAAAGGGGAGATAGTGCAAACAGAGGAAGTCCGAAGGGCTGGTTGGCTGGCTGTCGTGTGGGCTGGAGACACTGCAGGAAAAAAACAGAGGAGACGGGATTTAATGAACATGAAAATAGTCACTGGGAGCAAAGTTCTGAAGGTTATACCACGAGGAAGGCCAGGAGACACGTCTGTACCGCTAGGAAGGGTAGACAATACTCAGGCCCTGAGGCTGAGGGCTGCAGGCTTCTTAAAGTGCCTTGATTGGAGATGTGGAGCAGGTGTGTAGTCTCACTCAGCCTCAGCGCCGGGGGAGGGGAGGAAGCTCTGGAAAAGAGTGAAGCCAGACCAGACAAACAAGGAAACACAGGAAGTCCAGCCAAAATAAAACAAGATGGAGGCGTCTCACCACAGTACCCCCCTTAACGAACGCCTCTTGGCGTTCTGCTGGGCTTGTTGGGGTGAGCGACGTAGAAATCCTCAAGGAGTTGGTGGTCCAGGATGAGGGAGCGGGAGATCCAGGAACGCTCCTCTCCGGACCGCACCCCTCCCAGTACGCAAGACACCGGAAGCCTCGCCCCTGAGGCCGCACATCCAGGATTTTCCGTACGGTGAGGGCAGGGTGGTCGTCAATCAACCGGGGGGTGGAGGGGCAACGGAAGGAGGGCTCAGGGTGCACGAGGCAACAGGCTTTAACAAGGAGACAGGGAAGATGGTGTCGATCTCCCAAGAGGTGGAGCCGACGACACAGGAGGCAGGGAGGATGGGGTCCGGGGTAACCAAGGAGTGGGTCCGAGAGAGGGTGTCTGGTTTGAGGTCGCGGGAGCCGGGACGACAGGAGACGGGGAAGGTGAATCTATGAAGGAAAAGGGACCAGCGGGCTTGCCTGGAGTTGAGGCGACGACCAGAGCGGAGGTATTGCAGGTTTCTGTTGTTGGTCCAAATGAGGAATGGTTGTTGTTCTCCTCCCAGCCAGTGTCTCCATCTTTGGAGTGCCCACACAACAGCCAGCAACTCCCGGTTTCCCACGTCCTGCTTTCGTTTGGTGGGTGAGAATTTTCGGAAGTAGTAGGCGCAAGGATGGAGCTTTGGCTGGTATGCAGGCTGCTGGGGCTTGGGACGGTACGCAGGCTGCTGGGGCTGCTGGGGCTTGGGACGGTACGCAGGCTGCTGGGGCTGCGGTTTGGCCTGAAAACTGGGAGCCTGGGGCTGCTGCTTGGCCTGAACACTGGGAGCCTGGGGCTGCTGCTTGGCCTGAACACTGGGAGCCTGGGGCTGCTGCTTGGCCTGAACACTGGGAGCCTGGGGCTGCTGCTTGGCCTGAACACTGGGAGCCTGGGGCTGCTGCTTGGCCTGAACACTGGGAGCCTGGGGCTGCTGCTTGGCCTGAACACTGGGAGCCTGGGGCTGCTGCTTGGCCTGAACACTGGGAGCCTGGGGCTGCTGCTTGGCCTGAACACTGGGAGCCTGGGGCTGCTGCTTGGCCTGAACACTGGGAGCCTGGGGCTGCTGCTTGGCCTGAACACTGGGAGCCTGGGGCTGCTGCTTGGCCTGAACACTGGGAGCCTGGGGCTGCTGCTTGGCCTGAACACTGGGAGCCTGGGGCTGCTGCTTGGCCTGAACACTGGGAGCCTGGGGCTGCTGCTTGGCCTGAAAACTGGGAGCCTGGGGCTGCTGCTTGGGCTGCAAACTGGGAGCCTGGGGCTTGTACACGGGAAGCTGGGGCCTAGGCTCGGGCTTGTACACGGGAAGCTGGGGCCTAGGCTTGGGCTGGTACACGGGAAGCTGGGGCCTAGGCTCGGGCTGGTACACGGGAAGCTGGGGCCTAGGCTCGGGCTGGTACACGGGAAGCTGGGGCCTAGGCTCGGGCTGGTACACGGGAAGCTGGGGCCTAGGCTCGGGCTGGTACACGGGAAGCTGGGGCCTAGGCTCGGGCTGGTACACGGGAAGCTGGGGCCTAGGCTCGGGCTGGTACACGGGAAGCTGGGGCCTAGGCTCGGGCTGGTACACGGGAAGCTGGGGCCTAGGCTCGGGCTGGTACACGGGAAGCTGGGGCCTAGGCTTGGGCTGGTACACGGGAAGCTGGGGCCTAGGCTGGGTTGGTACACGGGAAGCTGGGGCTTATGGTCAAAGACTAGTGCGCAGCGGAGCAGGAAACCTCTGCAGCCCCCACTCTCCCCAGCATATGGCTCAGGAGGAGGGACATAGGGCTCTTTGAGGATAAAGGGTGGTGGAGGAGGTGAAGAGGGGACTGTACTCACTGAGGGGGAGAGCCAGATTGCTGCGGGGGTAGCCGGGAGAGGAGTTGATCCGCCAGTTGCGCCTATTTGAACGGTGAGGCCCTGACAGGCTTGGTTGAGGCCCTGGAGCATGTCCTCACGCCGATCGAGGCGAAGTTCGAGCTCTTGGAAGGCTTGATGAACTCTGTCTGGGTCTGCTGGGTCCATTTTCCTGGCCTGAGTATTCTGTTGTGAGGCAGGTTCGTGGTGAGGACCCAGATGCAGACACAGAGACTGAGATCAACTTAAAGAGACTTTTAATGTCCAAAAAAAGGGGAGATAGTGCAAACAGAGGAAGTCCGAAGGGCTGGTTGGCTGGCTGTCGTGTGGGCTGGAGACACTGCAGGAAAAAAACAGAGGAGACGGGATTTAATGAACATGAAAATAGTCACTGGGAGCAAAGTTCTGAAGGTTATACCACGAGGAAGGCCAGGAGACACGTCTGTACCGCTAGGAAGGGTAGACAATACTCAGGCCCTGAGGCTGAGGGCTGCAGGCTTCTTAAAGTGCCTTGATTGGAGATGTGGAGCAGGTGTGTAGTCTCACTCAGCCTCAGCGCCGGGGGAGGGGAGGAAGCTCTGGAAAAGAGTGAAGCCAGACCAGACAAACAAGGAAACACAGGAAGTCCAGCCAAAATAAAACAAGATGGAGGCGTCTCACCACAATACCCCCCCCTTAACGAACGCCTCTTGGCGTTCTGCTGGGCTTGTTGGGGTGAGCGACGTAGAAATCCTCAAGGAGTTGGTGGTCCAGGATGAGGGAGCGGGAGATCCAGGAACGCTCCTCCGGACCGCACCCCTCCCAGTACGCAAGACACCGGAAGCCTCGCCCCTGAGGCCGCACATCCAGGATTTTCCGTACGGTGAGGGCAGGGTGGTCGTCAATCAACCGGGGGGGGTGGAGGGGCAACGGAAGGAGGGCTCAGGGTGCACGAGGCAACAGGCTTTAACAAGGAGACAGGGAAGATGGTGTCGATCTCCCAAGAGGTGGAGCCGACGACACAGGAGGCAGGGAGGATGGGGTCCGGGGTAACCAAGGAGTGGGTCCGAGAGAGGGTGTCTGGTTTGAGGTCGCGGGAGCCGGGACGACAGGAGACGGGGAAGGTGAATCTATGAAGGAAAAGGGACCAGCGGGCTTGCCTGGAGTTGAGGCGACGACCAGAGCGGAGGTATTGCAGGTTTCTGTTGTTGGTCCAAATGAGGAATGGTTGTTGTTCTCCTCCCAGCCAGTGTCTCCATCTTTGGAGTGCCCACACAACAGCCAGCAACTCCCGGTTTCCCACGTCCTGCTTTCGTTTGGTGGGTGAGAATTTTCGGAAGTAGTAGGCGCAAGGATGGAGCTTTGGCTGGTATGCAGGCTGCTGGGGCTTGGGACGGTACGCAGGCTGCTGGGGCTGCGGTTTGGCCTGAAAACTGGGAGCCTGGGGCTGCTGCTTGGCCTGAACACTGGGAGCCTGGGGCTGCTGCTTGGCCTGAACACTGGGAGCCTGGGGCTGCTGCTTGGCCTGAACACTGGGAGCCTGGGGCTGCTGCTTGGCCTGAACACTGGGAGCCTGGGGCTGCTGCTTGGCCTGAACACTGGGAGCCTGGGGCTGCTGCTTGGCCTGAACACTGGGAGCCTGGGGCTGCTGCTTGGCCTGAACACTGGGAGCCTGGGGCTGCTGCTTGGCCTGAACACTGGGAGCCTGGGGCTGCTGCTTGGCCTGAACACTGGGAGCCTGGGGCTGCTGCTTGGCCTGAACACTGGGAGCCTGGGGCTGCTGCTTGGCCTGAACACTGGGAGCCTGGGGCTGCTGCTTGGCCTGAACACTGGGAGCCTGGGGCTGCTGCTTGGCCTGAAAACTGGGAGCCTGGGGCTGCTGCTTGGGCTGCAAACTGGGAGCCTGGGGCTTGTACACGGGAAGCTGGGGCCTAGGCTCGGGCTTGTACACGGGAAGCTGGGGCCTAGGCTCGGGCTGGTACACGGGAAGCTGGGGCCTAGGCTCGGGCTGGTACACGGGAAGCTGGGGCCTAGGCTCGGGCTGGTACACGGGAAGCTGGGGCCTAGGCTCGGGCTGGTACACGGGAAGCTGGGGCCTAGGCTCGGGCTGGTACACGGGAAGCTGGGGCCTAGGCTCGGGCTGGTACACGGGAAGCTGGGGCCTAGGCTCGGGCTGGTACACGGGAAGCTGGGGCCTAGGCTCGGGCTGGTACTCGGGAAGCTGGGGCCTAGGCTTGGGCTGGTACACGGGAAGCTGGGGCCTAGGCTTGGGTTGGTACACGGGAAGCTGGGGCTTATGGTCAAAGACTAGTGCGCAGCGGAGCAGGAAACCTCTGCAGCCCCCACTCTCCCCAGCATATGGCTCAGGAGGAGGGACATAGGGCTCTTTGAGGATAAAGGGTGGTGGAGGAGGTGAAGAGGGGACTGTACTCACTGAGGGGGAGAGCCAGATTGCTGCGGGGGTAGCCGGGAGAGGAGTTGATCCGCCAGTTGCGCTATTTGAACGGTGAGGCCCTGACAGGCTTGGTTGAGGCCCTGGAGCATGTCCTCACGCCGATCGAGGCGAAGTTCGAGCTCTTGGAAGGCTTGATGAACTCTGTCTGGGTCTGCTGGGTCCATTTTCCTGGCCTGAGTATTCTGTTGTGAGGCAGGTTCGTGGTGAGGACCCAGATGCAGACACAGAGACTGAGATCAACTTAAAGAGACTTTTAATGTCCAAAAAAAGGGGATATAGTGCAAACAGAGGAAGTCCGAAGGGCTGGTTGGCTGGCTGTCGTGTGGGCTGGAGACACTGCAGGAAAAAAAACAGAGGAGACGGGATTTAATGAACATGAAAATAGTCACTGGGAGCAAAGTTCTGAAGGTTATACCACGAGGAAGGCCAGGAGACACGTCTGTACCGCTAGGAAGGGTAGACAATACTCAGGCCCTGAGGCTGAGGGCTGCAGGCTTCTTAAAGTGCCTTGATTGGAGATGTGGAGCAGGTGTGTAGTCTCACTCAGCCTCAGCGCCGGGGGAGGGGAGGAAGCTCTGGAAAAGAGTGAAGCCAGACCAGACAAACAAGGAAACACAGGAAGTCCAGCCAAAATAAAACAAGATGGAGGCGTCTCACCACATACCAAGCCTGATCCTCACCAATCTTTGCTCCCTAGACAACAAAAAGGATGATCTTTCCCTGCTGCTTGGATCACAGAGAGACTTCAGGGACGCCGCCGCTATATGCCTAACTGAGACCTGGCTGACAGAGAACATTCCGGAGTCCAGGCTACAATGCCACGGCTTTACTTTCCACCGTGCAGACCGCAACTCAGACTCGCTCAAAAAAAACGGAGGCGGTGTTGGCTGCTACATCAACAGTAACTGGTGTACTGACTCGAAGATCTTGTCAACAAAATGCACTCCTGAGTTAGAGTATCTCACGGTGATGTGTAAGCCATTCTATCTGCCGCGAGAGTTTTCTTCCGTATTGACTGTCGTCTACATCCACCCGAAAGCCTCCGTTCCATTGGCTACGCAGCAACTGGCTGATAACATCACTGGGGTGGAGAATTCGAACCCTGATGCAGTATCGCTGGTGCTGGGAGATTTCAACCATGTCTCCCTGAAGAAGGCTCTTCCCAGATACAAGCCTCAGATCCACATCGCTACCAGGTTGAAAAATACACAAGACCAATGTTACTCTACCATTCCGGAGGCATATCATGCTGTGGCGAGAGCCCCTCTCGGTGAGTCTGACCACAAAACCATTTTCCTAACCCCTAAGTATCGCCAGAAACTAATGGTGGCAAAACCAACTGTCAAATATTGTAGAAAATGGTCTCCTCAAGCCATAGAAACACTACAGGACTGTTTGGATTACACAGAATGGAGTAGCTTGTGGACTGAGGGTTAGGATGATTTGGACTCCTTCGCTGACACTGTGACTTCTTATATCCAGTTCTGTGAGAGCACTTGCATTCCTGTTAGAACTGTGACTGTCCATAACAACAGCAAGCCCTGGTTTAACAATGAAGTGAGGTTGCTTTGTAGGCAAAAATATGCTGCTTTTAAGAGTGGTGACAGAGAAATATGAAAAACTGAAATATGATTTTCAGTGAGCTGTGTTAAAAGCTAAGGCTGCCTACAAGGTGAAGCTTGAAAACAAACTGCAAGCTAATGACATCAAAGGTGTGTGGCAGGGGCTACAGGATATTGCTGACTATAAGACCAAGCACCATGTTCTGGATAATGACCCCTCCCTCCCCTTCCTTCTCAATGACTTTTACTGTCGGTTCAACAGTGAAGACCATCAGTCCCCCTCTTTTTCCAGAGAGCGGGGTGACTCTCCTCCTACCATCAATGAACATGATGTCAGAATGTTGCTCCGCCAGCAAAACGCCAGGAAGGCCTGACGGCGTGGCATCAGCCACGTTAGAACACTGTGCTGACCAACTAGCTCCTGTCCTCACTTCCATTTTTAACTGGTCACTCCAACTCTGTATTGTGCCTGCGTGCTTTAAATCTGCTGTGATTATCCCAGTCCCTAAGAAAAATAAGATCACCTGTCTTAATGATTAAAGGCCTGTTGCCCTAACATCAGTCATTATGAAAGTCTTTGAGCGTCTGGTCTGTAAACAACTGTCCAGCATGGCACTAGACCCACATCAATTTGCCTACAGAGAAAACAGAAGAGTTGATGATGCTGTGTCCCTTTGTTTGCACTCTATTCTCCAACACCTGGAATCTAAATCTTCTTACGCTTGGGTCCTGTTTGTTGATTTCACCTCTGTGTTCAATACTATTGTTCCCGCAAAGCTAATTGACACTCTGCAGGAGCTAGGTGTTAGTACTTGCCTTTGTAAGTGGATCTATCACTTTTTATGCAACAGAAAACAAGTCGTAAAAATTGGTGATTTGGTCTCATTGTCTAGGCTCCTGAACACTGGGGCCCCCCAGGGCTGTGTCTTATCTCCACTGATGTACTCGCTATATGCACATTTCTGTCAGTCACATTCTAGATCAGTCATGTTGTATAAATTTGCGGATGACACCTCTGTGGTGGGTCTCATTAAAAACGAGGATGAATCTGACTACCGCAAAGAAGTAGAGGAGCTGGTAAGATGGTGTGAGAGCAACAACTTAATACTCAACATCTCCAAGACCAAAGAGATGGTTGTTGATTTTAGAAAGATCTTGAGACCCCTCTCCCCTCTTTCCATCAATGGGGAAGTAGTAGAAAGGGTTTGCTCCTTTAAGTTCCTGGGCATCACCATCCATGAATCCCTATCATGGGATGTCAACGCCAATCTTATAATCAGCAGGTCCCACCAGAGATTCTACGTCCTGCGGCAGCTCAAGAAGTTTAGTGTTAGCCGAGCAGCAATGATTCACTTCTGTAAGGCTACTATTGAAAGTGTGCTGACTTTTTCAATGCTTGTCTGGTTTGGTCACACAACCTCTCAGAACAAGACCCGCCGAGAAAGAGTAGTACACCGAGCATCTAAAATCATTGGGTGTAGCCTCCCCTCACTCTCATCACTGTTTAACTCGAGAATTATCAAGAAGTCCAAAAAAATCATAGAGGATAATTCTCATCCTGCACACTACCTTTTCAATCTCCTCCCATCAGGTAGCAGATATAGAAGCATCGGGAGGTCTACCTCTCGCTTTAGTGATAGCACTTACCCTCTAGCTATCAGACATCCGAACGAGCTCATGAGTCGTTAGGACAGTATTGAATGTATGTACTGTACATGTGCAATATGCATATAGCACTTTTTGACAACTGTTTACTCTTCCTTGCTGCTGGTTACTTTTTTGTTTTGTGTTTTTTGTTTTTGTTTTTGATGTGATGATATGCTTGTTTGATGAATGTTGTGGAGAAGGGAACCCAGACAAATTCCTATTGACTCTGTCAAAATGGCAATAAAGTTCTTGAATCTTGAGTCTTGAATCTTGTCATTTCTGCTTGCCTCATTTGCATAATTATTTTTCTTTAGGAGTCTGTTACACATATCTATCAAAGGTTGTTTTTATGACCTGACTTGCCTATTTCTGGTAACTTTTAAATTATGTGTCTTTCAATATCTATCACACTAATAAGGCTTCATTTGCATCACTCATTTGACTGTCTAATTAACTTATTTATTGTGTTTTCAATCTTTGCAGATCTCCAGTCTTGTCAGTCACCTTTTTTTGCAGTTTTGCACACTTGGTTTAGATGTCTGGTTGTTGTTTTTTTGATTGGTTTGTATTAGGGCCATCATGATATCAGGTTTTCTGTGATGATTTGAGTTGTATTAGATATATTTGCAAATAGTGAAATATATTTCACCTCAAAAATGTATGTGCAGTTGGCCGTCAGGGCCACAATAAGACAACAGGAAGAGATGGCACATAAAGAAACATGACCATGAGCATTATTCTATATCAGTATTCACTGGGGTTGCATAAGTTGCTGTGTATTTTATTTAATAACCACGGAAAAGGAGAAGCCAGTAATGTCTTTAATTCCATCAAAATACAAGAAAACCAGAAAACACTTGCAAAGAAAACTCACAATCTACATGTTCTCTTAATCTTCACCAAACCATTGGTGATTAACATCTGTGCCTTTTTTTATTTGTGGATTTCAGATGATCATTATTGCCCTAAATTTATAACAGTCATTTGTAGAATAAAGTGTGTACTTCTTGTGCCGTTACTAAAATTAGAGAGGGATTCTGAGCACATAAATACTTCAGAGTAAATGTAGTAAGTTACCTGCACTACTCAGGAGATCATAAGAGTGGAGTGGAATTACAAAAACTCCGTTTATTCCACACACACACACACGCACGCACGCACGCACGCACGCACGCACGCACGCACACACACACACACACGTATATATTTATAGTACAGGCCAAAAGTTTTGACACACCTTCTCATTCGACGTCTTTTCTTTATTTTTTTATATGAATATTTAAATTGTAGATTATCACTGAATGCATCAAAACTATGAATGAACACGTGGAATTTTGTTCTTATAAACGAAGTGTGAAATAACTGAAAACATGTTTTATGTTTTATATTCTAGTTTCTTTAAGGGGCCACCCTTTGCTCTTGATGACAGAAGTGCTTAGTGACTGACTCTGTCAGTCAGGAAGTAACCCTGACAAGGCACACCTGTGAAGTAAAAACCATTTCAGGTGACTACTTCATGAAACTCATTGAAAGAACAGCAAAAGTTAGCAGCGCTATCAAAAAGTAAGGTAGCTACTTTGAGGAATCTAAAATATAAAACATGTTTTCAGTTATATCACACTTTCTTCTTAAGCACATGACTCCACATGTTCATTCATAGTTTTGATGCCTTCACTGAGAATGTACAATTGAAATAGTAATGACAATAAAGAAAATGCATTGAATGAGAAGTTGTGTCCAAACTTTTGGCCTGTACTGTGTATATATATATATATATATATATATATATATATATATATATATATGGGGGGGGGGGGGGGATATTGTTTACCCCACGTTAAGCGCAGGAGGATTATATCTGGATTTTTGGCATATTTACAAACCATCATAACATTAAAGAAGTAACGCAAAAGCATTATGTGAATGAGGGAGTCTTTTCTTTGTCTTTTCCTCTTTTCTTTATGCCAAAACTGTCACGTCCAGCACATCTGTGTCATTTAAGTCATATCTTCCAGTGCTGTAATGCAAGCTTGGCGATAACTTAGTGGCTGGGCAAAGAAGTGTGCGGAAGTACCCTTTAAAGGTGTCAGAGAGGCAGGCGTACAGGATGGGGTTTGCACAGCTCCATGAATATGACAGTAAGACTGCAAACTCAAAAGCTCTGGTGAAGGTGAGGACCGGTCCGCTTTCATACAGAGAGCAGAAGTTTAGGGTGTAGAATGGCAGCCAGCACATGCCAAACACTACCACCACTGCAACTACCATTTTGGTGACCTGCTGCTCCAGCCGGGGACTCTCTTTGTGTGGTGCAGCTGATCTGAGCTGCTTGGACCTCAGTGTCAGCAACAGTGCAGCGTAGGTTGCTGTCATGACCACGAATGGCAACGCAAACCCCATGATGAAGGTGTAAGACAAGACACCAAGCCACCAGGCATCTGAGCTGACATCTGGTATACAGAGGCCCTGTTCAGCAGAGAAGTGAAGTGCCATGGGAAGGATTGTTATGAGTGAGCAAAGCCACAGGAATGCTGAAATGATCTTGGCACGGTGTGGCATCCTCCATCTGGCAAATCGAAGCGGATCAGCTAGAGCCATGTAACGGTCAATGCTCATCATCGTCAGGCAAAAGACGCTGGTGAACTGGTTGATGCCGTCCAGCACCATCACAAATTTACACACTGTGTCACCAAACATCCAGTGGTTTAGGAAGCTCTGGCTTGCAATGAAGGGAAGACCCACCATGAACAGCCCATCTGCTAATGCCAAGTTCATAATGTAGACTGTGGTGGAAGATGACATCTTGTCCAATTTCAAAATCACAACAATGACGAGAGAGTTGCCAGCGAGGCCAAGAGTGCACACGATGAAGTACAGCAGAGCCATGGTGATACTAAAGCTGTCCAAATCAAAAGGCTCTTCTGCAAAGGTCTGATTGTTGTCTACATCTGGTAAAAGCGATGGATCCATTTTGCTTCAAAATTCAGATGATGGATCCAAAGACAAATGGGTGCTTGAAGGATAAAACCACTATCCCTGCTGAAATTCCCCTGAAAACTTTCCAAGTGTCACCTCTGGCCTTCCAGGGGTTGAATGTGAAGGTATCCGGATGGAGAAGAGTTAACTATTCAACGTCAAACAGCATTTTCAGGTTCAAGAACAGCAGGGCTCCAGCTCCCTTTGACCAATAAACAACCATAGTATTTCCTCTCTGCTTGAAAAAAAGACAGACTTCTCCTGAGTTTATTGCTGCATGGTGAAGAAAGTTTGCCCCTCTCTGACGCCTGTGTGCACGCTCAGCCGTAAACATCCTCAGCAGCTCACAGCAGAGCAGGAATGAGATGGACTGCTCTTCCTTCCTTATATATCTCCTCTCCCTGTCTTTATCTGCTGTGTGTGTGTGTGTGTGTGTGTGTGTGTGTGTGTGTGTGTGTGTGTGTGTGTGTGTGTGTGTGTGTGTGTGTGTGGACCTCCCCTCCACATAACACACTTGGTCTCTAGAGATTGGGATCAACTCCAGCTTTGCTCGCGGCCCCCCTTTACTGCCCCCCAAACAGCCCCTGTGCTGTAATGCTGTTTCCAAGGTAAATGCTGCTGCAATACTGTTTTCATAACTCTCTCCCTCCACCCTCTCCTCTCCCCCCTCTCCCTCTGTTTACTCCAATTTTGTCTATATTGAACTCCTGTGCTATCACACACTGCAGTAGGGGTCATAGTAAAGCACATACACACTATCTCTTCCTTTGGACCACCCACTTTTACAAACTAGTAAACCTGCTGTAAGAAAGGAACACTCTCTTTGCTTTCTGGGCATCTGTTTTTGGACTTTTGACTCTTACATTTTTGCTTCTTTAACCCCCTGACATCCTCACACCTTCATCTTTTTATCTCCATCATTCAACAGCATTAAAGGCAGAAGGTAAAAAGAGGAAAAGTGGTAAAGGAGGGGTTGAGAAGAGCAGACAGGTTGATTGGAAAGGGGGAAGGGGTCGGCAAAGATTAAAGACCCTGAATGAGTTTGGACACGCATAGCTGGAATAACTTCCAGCACGTCCTCCACCATTCATCAACACAACAAGCTGATCTCACCCTGGCTTATCATCATGTTACCTTTGTTTCATTTCATCTGATCCTACAAATATCCCCACAGATATCTGACCTCAGGCCTGTGCTCTTACTTTAATATAGTCCCAGAATACTGGACCAAACATCTCTCTGGTCTTAACTTATGATACAGCCATCAGCTTCACTTCCCCCTTGAGACAAACACTTCAGATGATAGAGTACATCTTTTCCCCCTGACCTGAGCCTCCAGTAAAAACATCAGTTTTCTTTTAATACCATAGTTTTTCACACTGTTTTCCTGTAGAGCTAACCTTAGCTGGGTTTCACTGCACAGCTCATTTAAAACAAGATAGATGTTATCTTTTTCCCAGACAAACTTCAGACTCAAAGAAATACACATCTAACTATAAATTCAAAGACATTTTAAGACATTTTCAAAGACCATAGACCAATTTGATGGACCACCAGACGGTAACAAGCTGCCATTACCGCAGTGGCCTTTTATTGCAAACTGTTCTGAAAAGTTATTCATTTTCTACCTTTACTGTCTATGTAACTTTACACTTAAACCTGTGAATGTGAAAGAGCTTAGAGTAGTCACATGCATATTTTGATATAAGCTGAGTGAACAAACTAACAGATAAGGACTATGTTAATATGATTATTAAAAAAAAGTAACTCTCACTATCACAAAGTTATTTGTGTAACTCAGGAAATATTGCTAAGTGGAAAAGTTTAAAACCCTTTGATTGGTGTACAGGTCAAAGGTCAGCATACCAAGGAGTTACCACTGTGAGGTTAATGTGAGAGGTTATTGTGAACAGCACCACAATCCTCAGCTGAGGTGCCTTTATATCTGGGTCTAATAGTTGTGTTTAGATGTGACAAAGCTGACCACAGAAAGTGTGTACACACTGACCTTGTGATTTATCTTTAACTTGTTTGAGCCATCTCTTGGTGTCAGGGATAAGAGGTGGAGCAGCTCAGGGAAAGAGTGGAGGGTTTCAGTCATTATGTAAGGGACTTTTTCTGATGCACCAGTCTATGAAGGGGGGAGAGACTCCAAAAATCCTCTTTGCTGCACTGACTGGGGGGCCTGGCATTGCTACGTTGTTGTTGGTGGTGTTGTTTGTCTCTGTCCAGCTCTCCCTTTTTGTGTCTCTCTCTAAATCCAATGCAGTCTCAGCAGATAACTTTCTTACATGATCATGGTCCTGCTTTATCATCAGGATCTGTAGGCCTCCTCTGTCACCAAAGACGAGGTAAGTAAATCACAATGATTACATCCTTAAATCTCATATATTTCTCATATATTAAAGTGAATGCTTCACCAGAGATTTAAGCTATAAAATGACTAGAAAATGTTTGCTTGATTATAAGGACAGCTTCATGAGCCCTCATAACCATCATAACCATGATTTTTAAAATATTACATCGCTGCTCTGTGACCAAAAACTTAATGATTTATACATTTGCCTTTCTGACTGTTATATTTAGCTGTTTCATCACTTTCATTCATAAACAGCCAAAGTGGCAACTTCCACTGCTGGAAGATCGGTTGAATCTGCTACTGCCACTATTTCAAACAAACTGTGCACCACCAGACTTTCAGTGTTGAAGTTGTTCATGGTCAGATGAAGGTTCACACCCTGCTTTCTTTCTAAATCAATGACCCATCTCCTTGTTATTTCTCTCCATCCAAACACAAGTTGCTGATGCCATACTACCATTTAACCAGTAGTTCCTCCTTTCTGTGCTTTCTTTTATAATTGCTCATTATTAGGCATATTACTGTAATCTGCAAACTGGATCCTCCAGTCTGTAATCCTGAAGAGCAGAGGCACTCCCCTCAGGACACACTCAGACTTGTTTCTCAATTGGTTCAATTGTTTTTACTAGTTGTCTGAATGCAGCTACCTATGAGGTACTCATACAGAAAGCAGAGTGTCACTGTGCTGTATTTGATCTTCAGGGGACTCTATCTCCCTTTTCCATTGGTAAGTGTGTTTCTACCCTTGTTACCTATCTTTGTTACATAGTGTGTATTCTTTGCAACCTCCTTATACCTTTAAAAAACAATCTTACCTGTAATGATAGCCTCACAGGAGGTTAGCTGTATGCAAAACCTTGGCAGAAACAGCAAACCTTGTTGTTCAGGATCGGGATAGATGTTGTGAATAAAGTAGGAAGCTCTCCATTCTACAGTGTCTTTATAACATTGAAAATGAATAACCATACAAACGTCTCTCAAAGAATGTGCTGTATACCATGTAAGATGCACTGGTAAAATAAATGATTAAACCTTGATGATGATTAAAATTCAAATGATGCGCTTGAACTGAGAGGTTGCTGCAAGTCTGGTCTCTCTGTATTATCTGTAATTTTTGTGATTTATGCTGTTTTTTTTTTCATATTTTTGTTGTAATTTTGTTGGCTGCTGATGGATACTTCTGCTGGTCGAAGAGTTTACTCAAAAGAAGAGCTCCTTTCATTGATGAAAAGCAAATCTGGACAACAACATACAATTCCAGAGGACATCAGGAGGTGTTATTGTGGTTTACGTGTTGGTGCAAAGGTGAAGGCAAAGCTGAATGCTAGTAGGTGGCGAATATAAACCCTTTCTTCCATCAATCATCATGGGAAATGTCAACTCTCTGCCCAACAAAAGCGATGAGCTGGAGATCTTGGTGAAGACTGAGAAAGCATACCGTGAGTGTAGTTTCCTGTGTTTTACTGAAACCTGGTTGAATCAAAACAACTTGGACTCCAGTGTGGATCTACCTGGCTTCACTCTCATAAGGTCAGACAGAGATGCTCAAGCTAGTGGCAAGAAGACAGGAGGAGGTCTGGCTTTATTTGTCAACCAGAGATGGTGCAACCCTTCACATATAACTGTCAAGGAGAAGTTGTGTTGTCCAGATATTGAACTGTTGGTAGTTGCTCTTCGGCCATATTATGTTCCGAGAGAATTTAGTCATATCATAACAGTAGTTGTTTACATTCCACCCAAATCAACTAAAGAATGTTGCGATGTTTGGCAAAATAGTGTTGCCAGGCTACAGACTCAACACCCTGAGGCACTAATAATAATATCGGGAGACTTCAGCCATGTCATCCTCTCCTCTCACCTGACTAGATTCACACAGTTTGTGAACTGTCCTACCAGAGAAAACAAAACCCTGGATCTGCTGTATGCCAACGTCAAAGAAGCCTACAGAGCCACTGCCTTACCACCACTGGGCAAGTCAGATCATAACTTGGTCTACCTGCAAACCTGTTACAGACCTTGTGTGCTGAGGCAGCCTGTGACCAAAGTCAAAATAAGAAGATGGACACCTTAAGCCAGTGAAGCTCTAAGGGACTGTTTTAAATCAACAGACTGGAATGTGCTGCTGGAAACAGATGTTTCAACCACTTTAACTGCCTCCCTCCTAGAACACTAGTCCTTGTCTGTCACTGAAACAGGGGTGAGGATGGAGCTTGGAAGACTTTGTCCTGGGAAGGCAGCTGGTCCAGATGGTGTGTGTCCAAGGCTGCTTAGAGACTGTGCTGCAGAACTGTGTCAACCTCTCCACAAGATCTTCAACCTGAGTCTACAGCTGGGGCGGGTACCTGCTCTGTGGAAAACATTCTGCATTGTTCCAGTACCAAAAACAAAATGTCCTGCTGAACTCAATGACTACAGACCAATGGCCCTCACTCCACACATCATGAAAACCTTGGAGCGGCTGATTCTACGCCTTCTGAGGTCTGAGGTCAAAGACAAACTGGACTCCCTGCAGTTTGCATACAAAGAACACATTGGAGTGGATGATGCTGTCCTCTACATGCTTCACTGTGCCCTGTCTCATCTGGAGGAACCTGGGGTTTATGTGAGGATCATGTTCTTCGACTTTTCAAGTGCATTCAACACCATCCAACCCACCATACTCAAAGACAAGCTCACAGAGATGGGAGTGGATCCTTCCTGTGTTTCCTGGATCGCAGATTACCTGACAGGAAGGCCACAGTTTGTCAGGCTGGGGAACTATGTTTCTGAGCTATTAATGAGCAATACAGGGGCTCCACAAGGGACAGTGCTGGCGCCATTCCTGTTCACTCTGTACACGTCAGACTTCAAATACAGTACTGAGTCCTGCCACATCCAGAAATACTCAGATGACACCGCTATTGTGGCATGTATCAGAAATGGACAAGAAGCTGAATACAGAGATCTAATAAGAGCCTTCAGTGACTGGAGTCACAAAAACTGCCTCCTCCTTTTTGAGGAGGAGGCGTACCTAGGTGTACATCTGGATAATAAGTTGGATTGGTCTAAGAATATAGACTACATCTACAGAAAGGGGCAGAGCCGCCTCTTTTGCCTGAGAAGACTCCGATCAATAGACATCTGTAGTAAGACACTGCAGATGTTTTATCAGTCTGTGGTGGCAAGTGTTCTGTTCTACACTGCAGTCTGCTGGGGAGGAAGCATCAAACACAAAGATGAAAGACGTCTTAACAAACTGGTGAAAAAAGCTGGCTCTGTGGTAGGACTCAAGCTGGACTCAGTGGAGGATGTGGTGGAGAGATCTACACTGAGGAAGGTGGAGACTATTCTCAAGGACATGGATCACCCACTTCACAACACCTTGATGGACCAAAGGGCAAATGGTGGTGGATGGCTCTTCTCTCTTCGCTGCAGGACAGAAAGATTTAGAAGATCTTTTGTACCAACAGCCATCAGGCTTTATAACTCTTATGTAAATAATAGATAACTTTTATAGACATATTACGTGAGACAACAGACAATTGAATTTTCCTTCGGGGATCAATAAAGTTCCTCTTATTCTTCTTATTCTTATTGATGATCATGAATACAGAGAAATTATGAGGAAAAAACAAACAATACAGACCAGGGGAGAGTAAAAGAACAACAACAAAATCAGCAATTTGAACGTCAGGTGCGTGATAAAAACTCAAGAGAAAGAAGGTAGTCCTCTATATTGTATATTTCACATTATATAATTCAAAAATGAAAGTCCTCTATCAAAAATATTTATGCCGTGCTGGAACAATGAATATGATGCATACCTATCAGTAAAACCGAATTAATCGTGTCATGGAAAACTCAGTCCATACTCTCTCAAACCCAAACTGTTAGGAAACTGAGCACCTGTACTGGAAAGATCCGACTCCTCTAGATCAGACCTGAACAGCTCGTGCCACGGAGGCGGAGCTACGACTGTCATAGACACGTGGACCGGGAAGTAGGAAGTAAATACAGAGAGGCTAAGATATCACACACTGGAGAGAGGTGAGTAAAACTTCGAAAGATTAAAAAGTGGATTTATCATATAATCTAACAGTAAAGGGAACTTTAAACGCGCTGTTTTAGCGTACCACGTGGTATTTGAAGAGCGGAAATTCAGGGTATAATATGTAAAAGAATTGACTGAGGTGGTTAGTCGCCGGTTTAGGTTCATTGAGAGGGTGAGTTAGTCCCGTCAGTATCCAAACTTTGGTACATTTTGCTGCTGTCAACAATATGACTCTTCTGTCATCTATAAATCAATCTGAAAATGCCACAGTCTTTGTTGATGACAGCAGCTATTGCATGTGTATTATATTAAGAACATGAATTATCACCACATCAATGGCTGTTTTATATTCTGTTTGAGAAATTAAGAGCCAATCCCTGCTGGTCAAAAGTTAACATGAACATCAGATCCAGGATGTTAAAATCCTGAGCAAACAGGATCTGTCTTTTTGTGACATGCATAAACAAAGCATGTGTACGTAAAAGGAGAAATGTTGATATCAGGTTTGTTTGTCCTTTTTTATTTTCTTTCATTTGATGAGAAAGTTTAGCTTCCCGTGGGTGTTACATCTGTGACTTTTTAGCAGGTCAAATAAATCCTAAATACCATTCTGGAAGTTTCTAGAAGATTTCAACCCTGTGCTCACAGTCCCAAAGGAAGTCGGAGAATATGAATTAGTTGATCACATTTTTTAATAAGATCTGAATTTAAATCTAAACCATTTTATGCCATCATTGCTTTTCAGCCTTTTTGCAATCTTATGTTAATGATTTTTTTTAATTTATGATACTGACAGCCTTTTGTTCTGTTTTGCATGCCAGTCGAGGTTATTGTTAGGTTATAGCAGCATTATTTCATTTATGTTTTTGTTCTGTTATTCTCTATCCTGATTTGCAAATTTACTTGTGTTTAGTAAAGATATAAAACATGAAAAGTAATGGTGTTTCTGTGGTATTTGTGGGACAGGTGTGACAAAATGCTTGAAGGCTACGGCTCGATGACTCAGGCCTTGCTGGGGACTCTGTTTACCTGGGGCCTGACTGCTGCAGGAGCCGCACTAGTGTTTGTCTTCTCCAGTCATCAGGTAACATTGAAACCAAACGTCAGACATGCAGTACTTGAGTGAACTCATTTAATTTTGGTCTAAAGGGAAACCTTTGCATCTTGGCAAATTCATGGCAACAGTTAAATCATTATTTTGCTCAATGGAGACTGGAGACAGCTGACCCATCACTGCTCACAAACACTGGCTCCAAATCTCAACAGTGGAAAGGCTCATACCCAAGCAAAACACTGTTGTTTTATGAAAGTCTGGGGCTATCCCCCCATTTGAAAGAACTTGGCACAATACGATACACTGACCTTTCTAAAAAAAAAATTAAGACAGGATATTTCTACATTTTTATTAAAATGATGTCACCACTGTTTCCACTGTGACATCAGGTAGCTGCTCTGCTTCTCTTCCCTGAATTTTGTCCTCAAAACTGATGTCTTCTAAGCTTTTTCAAACAACATGAACGCAGTGCAACAACTCAAACAGAGTACCAGGTAGAGGTAGAGGTAGAGCTGGGCAATGAGTCACTAAAATATGAAAGCTGAGACTGAACGACATTGCGCCACCTGCTGTTTCCCCCATTCTGGATTGGATGCACACCCTCCCTGTCTTCCAAAACAGCAGAACATGGGGGACGCCCCTTGAGCAGCTCTCACTTTATCTTCATCATAAGCAGCTCAGATTACTGCTCCTGCTAAGATGAATAGAGGACTGCAGAATGTACATTACACTGAGCAACACCATGCAAACTATCAGAGAGAAGAGAGAGAAGGGCATGGAGAGGAGCAGGAGGAGGCAGGAGTGTGAATCCATGTTCCTGAAAAGCCAAGGGACAGGACGATTCAATGAGAGGGAGGCTGTGGTGATCCTGAGAGTACAAGAAGACTACCAGGTTAAAGACTGCTGGGCTAAAAAATGAGAGACATGGTTTTGAATCATAAAAAAATACAGGCTTAAGTCTTGATGTCATAGAGGACTTTATAAAAGTCTGAAGAGACTTAATGATTTATTCAATCTGCAGCCTGTGATACGATGTAACCGGTAAAAGAGCTCAAATCCTTCAGTTTGTATGTCACAGTGTAAAAATACTTCATTACAAGTGAAATCTGATATCTAGTTTTGTGAGCACTATCATCAAAATGTGGTCAAAGCTCTTGCATGAACCTTATCAGTTGAACACATGGCTTTTAGATCAATTTTACCCTCCAGTATCACTGACATGCTTTAGTAAATTCGAAAGGTTAGCAGAACAGTTTTTTCCCTTTATTGTATTTTACTGATAATTACATTTTTTTTAAGTATAAAGAGGTTTGATTTGTGTAACTATGTGTGATGCAGATGTCAAATTATGGGCGACCTTTTAAAAATTGTTGAAATCAACATCAATCAGAATATGATTAGGTTTTTTTTATTCCATCATCCAGCAGACCTAGTGCTCAGCTGTAATGGTTTGTTCTGGCTGATCTGTTCACATCTGTTCACACCTGGCCTGATTGTGCATCTACAAATGTGTCTGCAGTGAGCCTTCATGATGGGATCTCATTTTAAAGTTCAATATGCATTTCAGAATTCTGACTTTAATCTCTTAATCCTGAGAAATTAGGTTAAATTAAAAACTAGCAAAATAGAATAAGTCATAAATAACAAATGTGTGCAAATATAGCTCCACTTTCTTCAGCCCAGTGACTGCAGAAGAAACAAAGCTGACTTCATATCTCTTTGTTTTACACCTTGAAACTAAAAATGTCTGTTTAGCTGGAAGAACCGTCAGTGCAAAGGTGGGAGTCATGAATTTAAAATGAAGGCAGCCATCTGATGTCCCTGTCTGGTGTACATACTGTGCCATGCATGTTGTTTATGTATGACACAGTGATGAAAATCAAATCAGTCTAAACCAGATGTGAAACTTGACACATTTGAGCTTCTCTTGAGATGTTGCATTTTGATCTGGTTAATCAACAGTCAAACTTTCTAATCCTTCTCTTGGTCTGCTCTTTTCAGAAGCGAATCTTGGATGGAAGTTTAGGTTTTGCAGCTGGGGTGAGTAAGATTTCTTTGACCCCATTTTCACAAACACGCTGAGGATGTTTTAACCCCTTTTTCCTTCACTCTGAGGTGTGGTTTGACTGAATTACACTGTGTGGGAATTTATTTTTGAAGTGCCAGGGATGATTTCTAACTAATGGAAAATTTAACCAGCCAGTTTAACTTGTTGCACAATGTGTGTGATTTGTCGGTGTGTAAGGTCCATCATTTTGTCTCAGGGGGATGCTTAGTTAACCCCTTTAAAAGTTCAGACCGATACACACTAATGGTACATTCAGGTCAGTCTGCACCATCTGTTGTTGCTTGTTTGGCTTAAGTTTGCTACCTTATCTTAAGCTAGCAAACTTGACTCTGGAGAACCTTTTGGATAGTACCATTGTTGCAATAATCAATAAAAAGCATCTTTCACCAGCGACTACAATATTGAGTATAAAAACCTAATATACACTCACCGGCCACTTTATTAGGTACACCTGTCCAACTGCTCGTTAACACTTAATTTCTAATCAGCCAATCACATGGTGGCAACTTAGTGCATTTAGGCATGTAGACATGGTCAAGACAATCTCCTGCAGTTCAAACCGAGCATCAGTATGGGTAGGAAAGGTGATTTGAGTGACTTTGAACGTGGCATGGTTGTTGGTGCCAGAAGGGCTGGTCTGAGTATTTCAGAAACTGCTGATCTACTGGGATTTTCACGCACAACCATCTCTAGGGTTTACAGAGAATGGTCCGAAAAAGAAAAAATATCCAGTGAGCGGCAGTTCTGTGGGCGGAAATGCCTTGTTGATGCCAGAGGTCAGAGGAGAATGGCCAGACTGGTTCGAGCTGATAGAAAGGCAACAGTGACTCAAATAACCACCCGTTACAACCAAGGTAGGCAGAAGAGCATCTCTGAGCGCACAGTACGTCGAACTTTGAGGCAGATGGGCTACAGCAGCAGAAGACCACGCCGGGTGCCACTCCTTTCAGCTAAGAACAGGAAACTGAGGCTACAATTTGCACAAGCTCATCGAAATTGGACAATAGAAGATTGGAAAAACGTTGCCTGGTCTGATGAGTCTCGATTTCTGCTGCGACATTCGGATGGTAGGGTCAGAATTTGGCGTCAACAACATGAAAGCATGGATCCATCCTGCCTTGTATCAACGGTTCAGGCTGGTGGTGGTGGTGTCATGGTGTGGGGAATATTTTCTTGGCACTCTTTGGGCCCCTTGGTACCAATTGAGCATCGTTGCAACGCCACAGCCTACCTGAGTATTGTTGCTGACCATGTCCATCCCTTTATGACCACAATGTACCCACCTTCTGATGGCTACTTTCAGCAGGATAATGCGCCATGTCATAAAGCTGGAATCATCTCAGACTGGTTTCTTGAACATGACAATGAGTTCACTGTACTCAAATGGCCTCCACAGTCACCAGATCTCAATCCAATAGAGCATCTTTGGGATGTGGTGGAACGGTAGATTCGCATCATGGATGTGCAGCCGACAAATCTGCGGCAACTGTGTGATGCCATCATGTCAATATGGACCAAGCTCTCTGAGGAATGCTTCCAGCACCTTGTTGAATCTATGCCACGAAGAATTGAGGCAGTTCTGAAGGCAAAAGGGGGTCCAACCCGTTACTAGCATGGTGTACCTAATAAAGTGGCCGGTGAGTGTATATCTCAGAGATATTGTTAGAACAAATATGCTTTTAGTTGCAAGTGTATATGCAGTCACTACTTAAAGAGTAACCAAACACATATCATGTAAGAGTTTATTCAAAATAGTGCTAAGACATTAAATCAAATATTAAAACTTAAATATTTGTTTTAGGAAAATACATGTTCATAAATTCAAACAGTGAGATCAGGGACAACATAACCCTGAAGGATTGTGAAAAAAATCAAATCAAATCAAAAGTGGAGGAACATTTTCCACTCTCTCAACTAATGAAGTGAATTTGGACCGGGTTAGTCACATGTCTAGGTATAAAAAGGATATTCAGAGAGGCTGAGTCTCTCAGAAGATGGGAAGAGGTTCACCGCTCTGAGAGAGACTGTGTGAGCAAACAGTTCAATTTCAGAATTTGAAAAAAAATTCCAGTTTCAGTTTCAGAATAATGTTCCTGAGTGTCAAATGTGAAAGAATCAGTGGATTTCATCATCTACAGAACATCATATCATTCAGAGATTCAGAGAATCTGGACTCTGCAGTGGAAATCATAGCTCAAAATCACTTCAAAAACCATTGTCTGTGAATACGGTTCATCACTGCATCCAAATGAGGTTTGAACTGAAAAAATCTAAGAGGAAACCAGATGGAAACAGGATCCAGAAAAACCAGAGACTTCTCTGGACCTGAGCCCGTTTAAGATGGATCAAGGGGAGGAGAAAATCTGCTCTGTGGTCTGACAAGTCACAATTTGGCACTCTTTTTGAAAATCATGGATGCCATAGCTTCTGCTATAAAGAGAGGAAAGAACCATATGACTTTTGTTAGCTCCCAGTCCAAGTCCAGCATCCCTGATAGTATGTGGATCATCAGAGTCCATGTCATGGGTATCTTCCACATCTGTGAAGGCTCCATTAATGCTGAACAATATCTGCAGGTTTAGGATCAACATCTGCTGCCATCCAGACAAAGACTTTTTCAGGAAAGACCTTAATGTTTACCAGAAATATAAGCCAAACAGGAAATCTCTCTATATTCACAGTGTGGTTGGTGTTGGTTTCAGACCCTTCTTAAAATAAAAAGATTGACTCAGATTTCTAAGACAGTTGGACTCTCAAAGATCCTCTGTTTTCATGACCTTCAGTTCAGGTCTCTACTGTATAACTCCAAGTCTTGTTGGACCTGTGTGGCATGTAGGTTAGTGCTTCGTAGAGTAGACGTGTCCACTCTGCAGTACCTCATTATTTTAACTGTCTTGTCCACAGTAGATACAATAGTTGCTGCCTCACAAAAGCCATAAAAATATATATTTTTTCACTCTTGAAAGAACAGTTTGTTACAAGTACATATAGAAATACATTTGATGCAATGATTGCAATGTGCAACTCAAAGCTAGTTTAAATACCCCATCCTCCCCTTTCTCTTGACATTTCTCAGGTAATGTTGGCTGCTTCATATTGGTCGCTGCTTGCACCAGCAATCGACATGGCAGAGGATTCTGGGAAGTACGGCTCATTTGCTTTCGGACCGGTTGCGGGGGGATTCATACTTGGTGCAGCATTTGTCTACTTTGCTGACTTGGCTATGCCGTTGCTGGTAAGATGCTCAGACTCCCTCACATGCAGAACTATAAGAAATGTGTAGTATGTTTTTTTTTTTTTTTTTTTTTTTCCAACCGAAGGATTTCTTACTTTCTGGTTAAGGTTGGTAGAGAGAGCCTCAGATCTTTCAGATCCTTCACTACATCCTCATACCTGACTGAAAAATGTCCCTGCTAATTTTGGTTAAAACAAGGTGGATGTTAAATGTTCTGAAATAAGTCAGGGGTCTGAGTTATACAGAAATAATGAAGAAAAACCTTCCACACACAACACTACACCATGTTATCAATATTCTTTAACCAGGTTTTGTTGGACTTCTCTCTACACATTTGTGACACACTTTGAAATCTGTGACCCTTCAGAAATGTAACACATCTCTTCAACACTCACTGTCTGTGGTCATTTTAATTTTGCTTACATTATTCAGCAAACTCAGAGCACCAATATGACCATAAACTCCTAAAACATGCATAACATGAGGGCCATATGTGACGTACACCAAGACATGTTTTTAGAGGCTGGGGGATCTGTGTGAATAGGAGCAGGAACAATATGTTGACATGTAGCATTTGTTTGTGTTCATGTGTTCACTGTAAGCTCTGTCTGCCTGACAGGCAATTTATCCAGCTCTGTGAGCAAGCTACTCAAGAATGCTCGGCTGCAGAAAGAGCACCCCTCTCTATGTGCACGTGTCATAGGGAATTGGACCTCTTTTGGGTCTCAGATGTTTAAAACTTTATCATAAGACTTTAGGCGTTGAATATTAAATCTGCATGCAGAGGTAAACTTGTGTGCCAACAGAGGTCTAAATGTGCACTTGTGAAGCTACACCATTCTGCTGGAAATTGCTCCCACTCCATCATCCTCGTTCTCCCCATGTGCGCACACACACACACACACACACACACACACACACACACACACACACACACACACACACACAGAAATAGAAATCAAGCTGTTCTGCAGCTGTGAGAGTGACACTTAGACCGTCTCAGTCATCATCTTCTGTGGTTTTGGTGCACCATCTTTCACTGTACAATGAACGGAGAAAGACTCTCTGCTGATTTGATGGTGTTTGACGCTGATGCATGGATCAGCCATGTTTCGGTGATGCATGCAGGTGATATTTGATTCCTGTCATCCCGGTCATGTTGATAGTTTATCCTTGTCCTGAAGTTATCCAGCTTATTCTCCAAAGACTGATGGTTGGCTGACAGACAGCTGGCAGCTGGACACCGCGCTCTCTTTTGCATCCTTATGCTGATGTTGGCTTGTTTTCCCATGAGCCTTTTCTTTGGTAGTCTGGAGACTGTGCTGCTATCATGTAGACACAGAAAGAGTGAAGGGGTAATCATTGTTTAGACAGCTGGTGGTTCAACTATTAATGTTTTTCTCAACAAATATTGGAGGTGAATGAGGAGAATAATGGAGGAAGGAAAAGATGGACATTGAGGGAGAGCAAAAAGAAAGAGGGAAGTAACAAGGTCCACAATAAATTCTGTAACAGTTGTGTATGATTCATACAGAAATCCCATTGAGTAAAGCCAGAGAAAGCAGGAGCTGTGGATGATGGTGTGTGCTTTGTCAGAATGTGTGCATCTGCTTTCTGTTGTTTTGGGTATGACACCCTCAAAACATGACATTTATTTCTCTTATACGAATTAATTATCCATCATGTAGCTTTAAAAACATCAACACAGTGCACTAGTTTAACTGTGAAGCAGAAGCAAAACAGTGTTTGTTAGTGTAAATTTCTGAAAAGACACATAAGGAGAGGATTCCTGTTTGACAACTTAAGAGTATAGCTAAGGGGGTACATAATACTTAAGTCCGAGCAGCCTAGTGAGCTTCTTTGTGGGGGTCTGGCCTGATCATTGTCTAGATTTATGTGCGACTCATTCAAATCTAAAAGAACACAGTAAAACCAGTCCAACAGGGAAATGGGAAAGATTCTCTGACAGCTCCAGCTGCTGAATCTCCCTGTATACCTGTGCAGAAAGTACCAGAAATCTGTCTCGGACTCAGCTCTGTGAATGTGTCCTGTTTCTATCAGCGAGAGGGTGACGACGTCAGCAGTGGACACGCTGGTCTCTGCATTAGTAATGATCCTGATCCTCACGTCAGAACCACCTCCCAGAGTGCTCACATCATTAGACAGGCAGCAGCTCGGTGCTCCTGCTCCTGCTCCTGCTGCGGCTGTGTGTGTGTGTGTATATGAGTGAGAGAGAGAGAGAAAGAGAGAAAAGTGTGTGTAAAGTGAAAATGTATTCGCTCCTCAGTTTAAGATACCTGCTTTAGATAAACTTAATTTGTCTAATCTGAACAACATGAAAAAGTAGCGGCCCTCATTATTTTTCTGTTAGTTATTCAATTTTGAATAACTGAATATTGAATGATGGTGTGATATGTCAGTGAAGATGTAAAGGAGAGTTGTGTTTATATACTACAGGCGAAAAATTTGGAAGCAAGGCCATTACAGGCCGAACAGTTGGGAGTAACTTCAGGTTTTTGGTCACAATGCTTTTTTTTAAATCCAGCATGAGTTGTATGTATTTTGGGATGTATTTACTCCATGATCAGATGTTGCTTTCATGGAAATGCACCATTTTACTCCATTTACATATATATGTGTGTATATATATATATATATATATATATATATATATATATATATATATATATATATTTTTTTTTTTTTAAGAAACTGGTCAAGAAACAAACTGATACTGATGCATCCTAATGACCTTCAAAGGCAGCAACAAGCCTGATACCTTTACTGTTGTTGTTTTTAATGCTTAAAACTGTTTAGGGGGTGAAAGGCAGGTACACAGGAGAGAAATGAGCTTATGTTATAAGTTAATAAAAACATATCAAAACATATCTGACAGCCCTTTAACTAACACCAGATCACAGCTTAGATCTGAGACTGTTTTTGATGGTGCAGCAGTCTTGGTATCTTGACTTCGTGAGGTGCAAACTTAACTTTAAAGAAAACCCCCCTATGGATTTATTCATTTATCGTTATGCACCTTGACTTAACTAAGTGCTGACTTCAGAAGCCTTAGTGTTCCTGTCATAGAAAATCGACCTGTTGATTTGACCATAAATTCAACAAACAGTCTATTATGGTTAGCATGCAGCTCCTGCAGGGTGCACTTTTTGTCGAGCATCTGGGAATGGAACATGTTGTAAGTGATGCTATCAAACTACAGATAAACTGATTGAGACCTTAATTGTTGAACTTATTCAGATGACATGAATGTGAGTGATGCATCATGTCATATATAAAGTCAAAATAAAGCCTATAGAAAGACTATATTATCTAACAATTTAACTCGATAGTTTCTCTCCATAGTGTCTTTAATACTTAACCTTTAATGGTGATTTTGGACTGAGATAGTCCTCTCTCTGAGGTGGTTCCTGACGTCAGTGAAAAATCAGTTTTTGATGAGAGTCTGAACTCATAGACTCAAAGGTGTTTTCCTTTTTATGATATCTCAGCTGGATTTGCAGGTAGCCAAGGTCCTCTGGAGCCCCATGATTTATGCAGCCACCCTTATTATTCACTACATGGATACAAAACTCATGCTCCATGCTGAATATCACATGACAACAGACGTGTGTGTGTGTGTGTGAGAGAGAGAGAGAGGGAGAGAGAGAGAGAGAGAGAGAGAGAGAGGGAGAGAGAGAGGGAGAGAGAAGGAGAGAGAGAGAGAGAGAGAGAGAGAGAGAATGGGGGTGTTTTTCTGACTGTTCTGGCTGCTGTGCGGCTTACTCTTTAATAATCATTGCCATTTGAAATGTCACCTCCTAAACTCAGTGGCCCTGAGCAAGTTACTGCAAAGGTGTGTGCGTGTGTGTGTGTGTGTGTGTGTGTGTGTGTGTGTGTGTGTGTGTGTGTGTGTGTGTGTGTGTGTGTGTGTGTGTGTGTGTGTGTAAGCATTGTGATAGCATCTCCATTACCCCTGATATAATCTCTGTTTTCTCAGCATGTGAGATTGTGTCACCTTTAAAGCATAGTTTAGAACAGGGGTCGGCAACCTTAAACACTCAAAGAGCCATTTGGACCAGTTCCCACAGAAAAGAAAACACAGGGAGCCACAAAACCCCTTTGACATCTAAAATGAAGATAACATTGCATGTATCCTTTTTTTACCTTTATGCAAAGTATATAAAAACTGTAGTGAGTTGCATGTATCAAATAAATTAACTGCTGCAGAGAAAAAGAAATGTTGTTTCTGCAGGCAAACAAAAATGTTTTGAACAGTTTGACCTTAAAGACCCACTTCAATGAAAATCATATTATTCTTGTTGTCTACATGTTCATATATCATTTTCCTGATGCTAGAGGACATATCATAAGTAATATAAGTGCGAAATCGCATTTCTGAGTATTTCTGCATTTAAATCACTGTGAATCTCTGGCAGACCCAAATGGTAGTCTCATACGCAGGGAGATTTCCTACTTAACAACTGCAAGCTCCGCCCTCGGAGCCCCGCTATGCATGCCAGAGTAGAGAGGATGATCGCGCAACAAGCATGTGCGTTGAATAAAACACAATTTCAGTGAACAATGTAAGATATATATTTACAAAATAATAGCTGATTAAAATATGAAATTTACTTGCTTTATGTGACTTTCGTGCCTGAACCTCAGCGCACAGAGTCTCCACATCCAGGCTGTGTGACATCACATTCATCTTCACACAGGTTTTCGGTTTTCACAAGTCAGCAGTTATGATGCATACTTTGCGTGATGAAAAAATTGATCATGGTTTATTTAATGTTACAAGAGCATTATAATCTTTGAATTTAGGATTAAAGGTCCCATGGCATGCCAATTTCACACAACTTAAAATAGTCCCCTGGTGTGTTAAAAGCATGTCTGTGACGTCCTTCGGTCAAAATTCGATTTGGATCAATTAGTTTTGTGCTCTTTTTATCAGCTAAAAACAGCTCCGCTCAAAATCCTCCGTTTTGGGCCATGTCTCTTTAATGAAATGAGCTGCACCCAAGCCACGTCCACTTTACACCCATCTCTCTGGAAGGGGCTGTGGCTGTGCTCCGATAGCCATGTGCTAATGTTTACACTGGCTCGGTCATGGCTGCAAGTAGATCGCTCGTACAACCCTACCAGTTTGAGCCAGAGTCTGACCCAGAGGGAGAGGCTCCGGAAGACTCTCTTAACCGCGTTCAGACCAAACGTGACTTGAAGCGACCTAGTCGACACATCCTATGTATTATTCAAAGCCGCCAGGAGGGTCACGCTTAAGGAGGAAGATATGAATGTAGAAAAAATTACAACCAGAGCTCTGCTACAATGTAAGATTTTGGTGCTCTAAAACTTCTCTGACGCCTTTGCTACTTAATAGGATGGCCGACCATCCAGCATTAGCCGGAACATCCCGTATTTGAGCCAAAAGAACCGCGCGGGTAAATGCTAAAGCTACATGCTGCTCCGGAGGGGGATTTTGTCCCCCACCACCGGAATTGTCGGGGAAGAAGCGAGCGGCTAAAATACGGAAGGATCCGGTAAACCAGCGCGGATCCGGTGTGTTTATCAAAGTGTGGTGGCCGTGCTGAGGCACCGGGGGGAATTTAGTCTAAACAGTAAGTCAAAATAAAACGTTCACACTTACAGATGCCACGTTTGTTGTAGGATCACGGATAGTTGGTATGGATTCATTCTTTATCTTCAGACATCTAGCAAATCCAGCGTTGAACTGTCCCTTGTTGATAAAACAGTCCGAAGTGAAATGGTGCGCACATACGTACAGATATTTTGGAAGTGCCACGGGTACATTCCCATTATAAATAAAATCCACCCATTGAGTCCTCAAATCCTTGAGTCCACAAAAAGAGTTTTGTGCTCGTTTGTGCAGCCAACAACAGAGCAAACGCTGCCTCTTTTTCAGATCGTACTTTCGCCATGGTTCTAACCGGAGCTATGCAAGCGAGCGGCCGGGAATAATGGCGCTGTTTTGATAATTTTTTTGGGCAGGGCAGTGGGCGGCTCCATGGGCAGTGCCATCAACCCGCCAGCACTGACATGACGTCATGTCAGTGGAGTTTTCAGAACGGCCGGTTCTGAGCACACAGTTCCTAAATATGGAGATAACTAAAAAACAACTGGATGGAATTTTTTCGAACTTGGGGGGATTGCAGCGGTTTTCTATCCCTGATATGCACCCCCCTCCCGTTAACAAAGTCAGTTTTTCATGCCGTGGCCCCTTTAAAGAAAAATAAAATAACATTTAATTAAATATTTATTATTTATTTTCCAAATCCATAGGGAGCCGCAGCTTGGGAAGAAGGGGCCGCATATGGCTCCAGAGCCGCGTGTTGCCGACCCCTGGTTTAAAGGATTTAGAAAGAAGATCATGTTGTTGTGTTCAAAGATCAGAAACCTTTGTGTTTGTGATGAACATAAAGGACATTGATAAAGAAATGGAGCAGAGTTCAAAGGGATATCTCAACATGCACTGAAACCTCCATAACAGCATCTTGATGGTGCTAATGTTAGTATCAGTGGTCTGCCTGCTGGATCTGAGTCACTCCACCTACTCCAGCTGGAGTATCTTTGTTTGAACGTAGATGAGTTTCGACAGTAACAGAAACAGGATGACAGTATTCATGAAGAAGCTTTATGACACGATTAACAAATGTGTTCAGTCTGTCATTGAGCCTTTTGGACCAGGTCAGGGGAGCCCTTTCTGAACCAAGACCCAGTTTTACAGTCACCACTCCACTAGGATCCGCCAGTCCAGCTTTACCATTTCAAACACACACTTGTGCAAACAGGAAACACACACAAACAGTAGCCAGTCTGCTTGAGGAGCCACAGCCATGACTGACAGCCTACCAGATTATATATTATAAACATACAGAAATGTCAATCATATATGAATGTGAGCAGTTCTCTGAACTTAAAAGTGAAGTAGAAATGGGACAGATAGACAGACCCACTGCACTAACTCTTCTTTCACAGCTCTACCATCCTCCCAAGGGTTGTTGTGTTTGTCAATAGTGTCACTGAGGGGATACAAAGCTGTCCTTAAGTCCCTTACATTCAGAGCTGTTTAACATTGAAATTAGCATCATAGCATCTGTGCATCATCTGAAATATTGACCAAACCTGGTATGACAATACATCCACTGATCAGTGTGTATGGGACTATATGTTCAAGAAATCAGACTGAAACAAAGACAAAAACATGCAGATTCAGACTTTTACCATCTTAATGCACTAAACTTTCAGTCCTGGTTGTGTTCATTGATGTGATGTGTTTCTGTCTGTAAAAATACCTCTGACTTGTGTCTGCAATCAAACACAAGCACCACATGAAGATTGACTGGACTAAAGTGTCCTTTATATCCCCAGAGAGAAATGTTCTGCTGGCCACACTGTGTTTGTGAGCTGTTCATGCCTCCTCAGATGTTCTGTAATTCTCAGACTGTGAAGGCTGTGTAGAGATGCTCAGTTCCTGCAGACATGTTTAAAAGCGGCAGCAGTCTAAGCAGAAAGCAGAAAGAGTCAGTGAAAGTGAGGTGATAAATGTCACCTGGGACCTGGGTGAGGTGTGAGTGGAGAGGAGACTGACTGCAGAGGGAGGATGGGAATGGTGTCAGTCAGAAGCAAATTTGAGCTCTGAATCTGCCAGGAAGTTCTGTTTTAGAAACTTACAGGGGGAAACTCGGTGCTGCCCAGAAGAATCAACAACAGGAGTGGGCTTGGTTTCTGCTCAGCCTGTAAGCCCCTGCCTGGCTGCTTAAGTGATAGTTTCTGTCCAGTTGTTGGACCTTTCTGAGACCTGCAGATATGCATGTACATACTAGGGCTGATTGATGTACTGTTTGAACATTACAGGATGTGTGGTGTCAGTGACATGACCTAAAACATGTCATGCTGTTGCCACTTCCTCATTTTTCCTGTTGCCACTTTCTCGTTTTTCATTTAAAGGAGTACATTTATAATCCTGAGATATACCTGTCCTTAATTATGTCTGAAGGCTGGGAGCTTCACAGGATGTCCGTTTAACGTCATCATCATCACAATCTTTATTACCGCCGTTAACACCATCCCCTCCTCCATGTCAACAGGATCTTCACCAGATTACACAGGCATTGATGTTAGCCTCGAAGTGGATATGTGTTGGGTGTTGTCAATGTTAAAATGGCACTGTAGTCACTGCCTGTCCAATCACTCATCAATTAAGAGCTGTGTGGCACAGCAGGAGACGCTATTTCATCAGGCAGGATGTCAGGCCACATGCATAATTTCATACACACACGGCCACACGCATAAAGACGGTGCACACACTTTCATGTCTTCATCAGTGAAAGGTGTTTCTAATGAAAATGAGACTTTTTAGAAAATAGGCTTCAGGTTGTGCATGTTCAGGGTCTCATGAGTTCATATTAACTGTAGAGCCATCCTTGTTTCCCTGAAAGTGGAGAAAACTCTCATAGTAAACATGCAGGGCTGCTGCTATAGAGGGGAAACGGGTGATGAATGTTGTCCCTTCTTTTCAGAATTACCTGTGGGTTTGTAAAGTGCTGTAGTGTCTGTTTTCAGTATATTGTCTGTAAGATTGTGGCGATGGACGGAGTGACCTCCTGGGCCTACGCACACACGCATCCATGAACCTTCACACACATGCACATACACACACACTCACCTCTCCCCCACCCAACGCCTTCGACGCTCCACCTCTCAGTGCGGTGGGCGGTACCCTGACTGGCGGCGCACACTATGGGCAGCAGCTGCGGGCTTCCCACCATCACTGATGACCCATTCCACTACCCCCCCTCAACAACCATAGCATGTCTCCGAATCTCTGTGTATGTGATGTCAGTAATGTGCTCATGTTGCTGAGGGTTTTTTTGTCACTACACTCATATTAATGAGAGCAGTCTCTTTTTATACCTCCTCCTCTCCCTCCCTCTTGTGTGTTCTTTCCCCATCTGTAAATGCAATCTCGTTGTGCATAAGTGCAATGACAATAAAGCATCTTGTTGTATCTTGTATGTTGATTTTGATGATACCTGCCTTATCACAACAAATGAAATTTAGCAACTGTGCTAATTCCCGCACATTTACTTTGATGCTTTTTGCTGATATGTTGTCAATGTGCATTGTCGTAATCAAACAAAAAAATAAATTCCATTTTTCTAAGTAAGTGGTGCAACTGACTGACTGTGTGGTGCACAGGTGCAAAGTGAAATAGACCAAGATAACTGACATCCTGGGGCCTGTTCTACGAAGCAGGATTACTGCTTAGCGAGATAACTTTGAGGGTAAGTTCGGGGTTTCCTGTTCTACGACGCGGGTTCACTTCTTAGTGAGGCGAGTCTCCATGGCAACATACGCTGAACGGCTGACCTGCTCTGAGGCAGGTTGAGTTCCGGATTGAACTCACGGAGTATAAAAACCCCGCCCACTGACCAATGAGCTCTCTCGAAAAAGGGCTTGTCCGTTCTTGGAGGATCCTATAGACCTCGGTGCTTGTATTGTCCCAGGAGCACTCCGGCACGCAGGAGTTTTCAGGGACTGCACGGACCCACTTACTTTTCCGGATGACCACCTTTATGAAAGGCTCATATGGCCTACATATCACACAAAAAATGTAAACACGATAGGAATGAACAAATGAATGAATTCATCTTGGAAATGAATGGGCATGGGCTGCATGGGCTGTGTGATCACAGACAACATCTCGGTACTATTTAGTAGCAGTGCACACCCCTTCTAATAACCCCTGTAAAAACTGTTGTTCAGGACTGCTTACTTGTGCTTCCTACCTACTGTAATAACCGTTGTTCGAGCCCACATGCAACATTTTTGTTCTCATTCATGAAACGCTTAAACTGGGGACATTTTCGGGGACAGCTTCAGGGGGACAGATCATCCAATTCAGGGACTGTCCCCGGAAATCGGGGACGTCTGGTCACCTTAGTTAAAAGCGCATGTTGAACAGTGCTATTTCAGGGTGATAATGGCATCAAAGATTATTTTTCTGCCAGCATTCCTTCCATGCTTTTGCAGCGGTGACGGTGTTGCTTCATACTTTCTCATGATCGTCTCCCACTCCTCGTTTGTAATGTCCGTGGTCCTTTGCTCTCCTGCCGGCTCTGACACTCCAGACTGGTCCATGTTCGCGATTGGTCAGGTGTGGCGGGCTCCGCCTTACATGAGTGCATGCGCTCATAGCAAAGCTGGATCAACTTATGAGGTTGATAACCAGCATCGCTAGACCGTTTAGCGAGACCGCTGGCTACCGCGTTAAGTTGAGCGAGGTAGCTCCAAGGCTACCCCGCTAGGTCGAGCTTGCTTCGTAGAACAGGCCCCTGGTGACTCTGACTGTAGCTGTTCCAAGTACTGCCACAGTCTGGAGTTTAACAAGTTTATTTTGAATGTGAAGCTTAAAATAGGATGTGTTTGCAAACACAAGCTGGATATGTTTGTTCAAGCGCCAAAACGGTAATTTCTTTCAATGTGCCTTTTCTAAGGATGCAAATTGTTTTGGTTTTTAGCATAAACTTTGAGCACTTGTTTTTTTGTTTTTTTATAGCTGTCATTCCTTCCAAATAAATTCCCTCTCTCTTCTTTCTGTGGAAAAGTTCAAAACTTACTATTTTTGCTGTTCTGCACCCATGAGGATTTACTTCTCCATGAAATAGAGAGCTTCTCTTCCTCTTTGCCTCATATGTCTTTACCCTTAGGTCAGCAGGCTGCTGCTAGATGATGCTCGCAACATTTCACCCATTTCCTTTTGTGTGTTTCAGCTACCCATGGTGTGTTCATTGTGGTGAACACATGTCAGGACATGTGCATACATAGGATTCTGATTGACTGTGAAAAAGATTCTGATTGTCTTGGGCCAGTGATGAGTCCAGCCTTTCCCTAAATTAGCTCATGGAGCCTTCTATTTTTCAGATCCTGTTTGAATAAAAATAGAAGTACAGCTTCATCCCCACAATCAAGACCTATGCACATGCCAGGCATGAGGGAGGGCTTCAAACACATGCAATTTTCTCCCTCATCCTTTTCACCAAAGCGCAAGAATCTTTTGCTTACTGTTTAATTAATTCTACAATGTATGAAGGAATATGGTATATTGCCATTATATCCCATAAATAATGTCTTTAATCTGCCTGCATACTTTCATCTAGTATTTCCTCTGCAGTCGAACTAAACCTGACCCCTCCTCTCCCTCTGTCATCTATCATTTCTTACAGGGTGTAAGCGCTGACCCCCACATTGCTCTGGCTCTGACTCCTGAACCCAAGTTTGCCAAAGAAAAATCAGAGGAGCCGATTCAGCACTGGGACTCTGACGAAATGACAATCAGGATAGGTAGAGCCCGTCCTCTTCCAGGCAAGCCTCCCTTCATATACCACAACAAACACATGTACACAGCTACAGCTACAGCAGTCCCACTGATTAGTAGCTGATCCAGATTCAGGCTCCACTGTACTCTGATTTTGAGAGTGGGGAAAAGGTCACCTCTTGCTTCTATGATGGCCTCTCCTGATTCTCCTGCCTCTCTTTCCTCTGTGTATTTTGTCTGTCCATTTGTTGGCCATAATCTGCTCTTCTGACAGTGCTAATCTGGTGGGTGCATTAATGTTGGGTTTGGGATTCTTAATACAGTAATTCAACACATTAAACACTCTATATCATCAATTATGTCAAGAGGTAGACAGATTGTTTGAAAACTGTGCTGTTTTTACTGCTTTAAGTAATGTTCCAGTGCAACCAACCCTGGTCATCATACTTGTGTTTCACTGATTTTTTTTCTTTTTGAGTGAGCAACAGAAACACATCTTTAATTACCTCCTGTAGGGGCTGGATTCCTACAGCGTAGCAGTGTAATTCATTGCCTGACTATTTTGTGTTCACTTAATTTATGCGGTAAATTGGCTGCATCCACATATAATACCATGTCTTTGCCAGAGCCCATGTCATTTCAGCCTGAGTTGATCAAATATGGTTGACTTTGCTCTGAGGATTCATTGTGTTTTCACAATGAACTCTTTTTTTTTAAATTCCCTTTTTGATAGAAAAAAACAGTCATGTCAATCAGCTCAGAGTATCTGCTCACCATCCTGACCAGTTTGTCCTCCATCACTCCGATGAAGGTCTGTCGTTGACATACATCACTGTGGGCTCTCCATGCTGAGTGGCTTTACCAACACAAGTGTTTCCTTGGAGTTCAGATTTTTCAGTCCCCCTCTGAACATATCACAAATCTGCATCATTTGCATGTACAACTCGCTTATATCATTACATTTGCATCACCCAACAAGAAATCGCATGGTTTTTATCTCAAAGTTGACGTCACATGTGGTTAATTCAGGTGGGTAATCTATTTGTATCTATTGTGATCACAATGACTTCGATTACCGGTAGATGCTTTTGTTCAAAGTGACGTAGATCAGATGGAGAGAACAACATGGGTGACTGATTATCATCAACTGCTAAAACTGTGCTGACATGCAGCGCTAGAGGCACTGTGAATGATGTATCTGAGCTATTTTACATCAACAAGGTCACCAGTATCATCATCAAACTACGAATTTATGTTAATAGCAACCTCAGTATTATCGTCATCAATCATCATCATGGGCAGCAGTAAAAGATAAGACAGCAGTGCTGGGTACCTCTTATGGAGCTGGAGTGTAACAAGAAGGGAGTGTAGACATGCTGGATCAATCTCTTTTATATGTGCTCTGTTATAACTCTCATAAAACAAGATCCAAAACAGAAATCATGAATACAACATAATGAAATCTTTTGGCATCAGTTAGAGAGTTGTGCGGTTCATGTCTAAATTAATCCTCTTCAGCTTCCTTTAGCCCCTTTCATACTGCTAGGTAAAGGTGGATATTTTCATCCTGGAGTAGAGCTTCAGTAAAGAGCTGTTACAGACTGGCAGTAAGAAAAGGACTGATGTCTTTCAATAACTCTTTCTTTTCAGATATTTTTCTCTTTGAATGATTCAGTAGATTAACAGTTGAAACCTGATCAATCATGCGGGCTGATTGTGCTTTGTCTGACTTCTGGTATTTTTTCAAGTTTAAATTTCTCCGGCCTCTCTGTGAAGCAGCGGTTACTGATCTTCAGTAGTAAAAAGACAAACCCATAATGTCATTTATTGGTCCAATAGATGTGTGGTATATGAATGCGGATGGTTCGTATTGCCCTCATTGTTCTTTCCTTCTTTGATTTTCTGCAGGATCTTAACCACTTAATATGAAAGTGAAATGAAAGACATGTCAAAGCTCAAACAGAAAACTCCTCTAAACTTTTAATCTTGTTACCCTGTGATGATAACACTGCTGCCTAGACTGTATGTTGACGGAAGCATTTGTTTGAAATGGATGACATTCAAAGAAACTATAACCTCCACATTCTGGTTCACCTTTTCTCTGAAGTGAATTTAAAGGTGGTGTAAGGTAAGGTGTGTGTTTTTATAAGATCCATTTCCTGCAAATTGCTTTTTAAACAAACCAAAAAGACTGATCTGAAAATTTGGTACTTGAACGGGAAGTTATTTTCTAATCTTGTACATGCAAAAACAAACAAAAAAAACCCTCCAGCCAGAGTGATACTGAAGGATCACCCAGCGTGTCCTTAAGGGTGACTAGCTTTGGTCTGCTGTAACTTTCCATGATGTCTGAAGTTCTACCAATGTTGGACCAGGTAAGACCGACAGCATTGAGCAGAGTTTTGCTTTGATTACCTGATCTCTGGATTCATTTTTGAGCCACTCTGCACAGTCTGTGTGTTTTTGTGAGTGATCCTAGCAGACAGCAGCAATGTGTGGTTCAGTGTGTTTATGTGTGTGCATGCCTACAGTCTAGAGCTCTCAGCTGAGTGTGTGTGTGTGTGTGTGTGTGTTAATGTTGTTTCTATAGCTTAACAGGAATGATGCTGACTATATGCTTGACTCTGACAGCAAAGCGCTCAATGTCAGGCTTGCCAGTGAAAAAATACTGTTTGCCGTTTGTAAGGAAAGACATGTCATAGGACAGTTGGCATGCCTCTGAGTCAATATGCTTGTAATGAAATGTAAAAAAAAAGCAAAATATCATTTACAGTAACCTGTGTGAGATAACCTGCTGCTAGTCATGATTCTATAAGAGATGGCAACCCAAAAAGTTCTCAAAGTCACTTAGTACTGACTGAAAGTGCACAGTGTTTATAAAAAAGGTGCTGGCAATTGTAATTAACTTCAATATCAATCAATTAATCAATCTTTATTTGTAGCACTAACTCACAACAAGTGTCATCTTAATATGCTTAACAAAAAAGCTGGTTCAGACTCTATTTACAAAGATCCATTGTACATATGGCATCAGACTGAGCCCCACCTTAAAAGATCAGACCCACTCCCATCCCATCTTTAATCACGAGTGAAACACTTTACAGTGCTTATCAAGTTACAGTGGAGAGGAAGAACTTCCTTCAACAGGTGGAAATAATAAACATTAACATCAGCTCAGTAAACCAACGTGTTTCAGCCATAGGCTTCCATCAGCATTTCACAAACAATGTGAGTGTGTCCAACTGATAGAATTAACATCTAGCCCTTGCTCTTAAAGGCTGTGTATTGTGATACATATTGTGGTATATATCGTATCATGATGGGTATTGTGATAAGTATTATACTGTGAGACTGTAGGAGACACTTTAGTGGGACCTATTAATAAATGATGATCACCAGGGGGACACCTGAAAGATACACATAGAAAACAATAGGACAATTTCAGAACTAACATACAGAAGTCTTTAAATTGATAACAGCTAATAAGCCTCAGTCAATCAGCAATAAACAAGCTGTGGCATCATTATGATCATTTTCAGGTGGATTTTAAGATTGCAGGAAACCTGAATCCAAGCATAGTTTATTTGAGTTGGAGCTGATCTATGTTGTGCAGAAGCTGATCATGCTGCAGTTGCAGTACATTTGTGTAAAGAGGAGGGGTTGGAGGATTCAGACTATGAGGAAGACTCAGGTCAAACTTGGACTGCAGATAACACATTTATAACTGAATGCAGAATTTACAGTAACTTTGATAACTGTTCATTTTTCTGCATGTCACTCACAGCATGTGGAGGCATAGAAATTGTGTTATATTGGGGTGTGCACAGGAATACAGGAACAGTAGCATGAGCCCATGGAAGAATAGGAACTCAAGACAGTAATGAGGGATAGTACAGATTTATAGGCCTGCATTATAAGAGCTGGTTTACTTTGGACACCAAGATAGAGGAAATGAAACAAAGACAAGAAAAGCTTTGAGTTTTGGACAATGCATGACCCCAAAGTGAACAAATGGCCCTTCAGAAACAGCATGGACCAAGCTTTGTACAGCTGCTGTTCCCGGCAGTAGGAGTGCTTTGTGCTTACGATAACTAACTGATAGCTGTGACAGACTGAAATAATTTGTTGAAGCTGGTGTATTTGTTCTGTCATTGGGCTGTTTATTAGACAGTGAAAAGTTTGTCTCCCTTTAGTATCTCTCTTTTCTTCTTTTCCCCCATCTCTTCCTTCTCACACTCAGACACACTGCTCTCATTCAGCGTTTTATTTTCCTTAGTTTCCACCTCTTTCAACCTTTCACTTGATTCCAACATTAAACACCACCTTACTTTCTTAAAGACTGCTTTTTTTCCTTTTCTCAGTATCACTGCAATGTTAAAAAAAAAAGTCCCCTCTACAAAGCTTTTGTTTGTCATAAAAAGCTGTGGACCATCCTGACCTGGGTCATGTAAAGGACTGCCAGCTTCTTGACTGCTGAAAATGTCAGCAATTGCTGCCTCTCCCATACCGGGATACTAACAGGAAATGGGGATGTAAATTCATTTGACTCCTTTTTGTACCACTCACACCATCTTTTGTTGTGCTGAAAATGACTTTTAGTTGTAGTCACATTCTTGCCCTGTATACTCTTCAAAGTTTTGGTCTAGTTTTAGTCAGGAAAGTCAACATTTAGGTCCAGTTTTAGCCAATAAAAGCACATTACACCTCAGTCATTACAATCAGTTGAAACATTCACTGCTATTGAAGTAAATTAACCAAATGAATTGATACCAAGGTTGTGCTGAGTATGTAAATTTCTGGATTCTTTACCGTACTGTAAGTATGATTAAGTTAAGACCCTCCCGCAATGCAATGCTGTTGTGCTGCTTGCTGATCTGCGAAGCTAATGTAGAGAATTAATCCTTACTATAAGTTAGGGGTTTCCCAAATACAGGCATTAATGATAAATGTATTTCAAAGAAAATAAAATGCTGATTTCATGCTTAAAATAAGTATATGCTAATACTGTGTCCTTATAGTAGTGTTTTTTTATGCTGATTGTACCACATCATAGAACTGATGAGAGATGAGGAAGAAGCAGCAGCTGATAGCGAGCTAGCTTTAGCATCTCTCTGAGAGATGATTTGACACTTTTAAAAACTGTCATTCAACAGTTTACTCAAAAACAGTCTTAAAGCTTATGTCAGCTCAGGTTACTAATCAATCAAACATTTATACTTTCTGTTTCCTAACTGTTGTCATCCAGTTGTGTAACTTCAGATCTATGATAAGTAGTGTACTTCAAAATAAAAGCACAGATCAACTAGGCAGGATTTAAAATAAACTACATGCAAGACTCAAGCAGTTTCAGTCACAAGGCTGATGAAAAATCATACATTGATATATTATTAGAAATGGGTGATGGCATTTCAGAGAATTGCATTGATTATTAAAGTGTATGAAGTAATGTGTCACTTTAGTCTTGTCTTTTTGTTTCTCAGTTTGGCTGATTGTGCTTTAGTTTCAAGTCATCCATAAATGTTGTGATAACATCATTATCGCTATAGTGATGTTGCTGCAGTTAAAGGTGGGGTAGGCGGGATCTGAGGAAATCTTGAATGTAAACGCTACCCCTCCCAACCAGTTTTCTCCTCAGCTCCTCCTCTCCCCTCCCTCTCTGCTCCAGCAAGCCCCACCCACAAACAGACGCTCCTACTCACTCTTATTGTTCCAATTAAATTCAGATATAATGCAGATAATTACAAATGGGGTCCAGTCAACATGAAGGCAAAAAGCACTGGTGCAACTCTAGATGCCAACAGACTACCAGCAAACACAATGTTTGAAGGACTTCTACAACTATGATAAAGTGACATATTCCAGGACCACGGTAAACAGTTAAGCAGCGCTACAACACTCAGCAGGTCCTGTTGTTTAAAAAACACCTCTTTGACATACACGTGGCTTACTTTGTTTACCTGTCCAGCAGAAAGGTTACAGGGTCTGTAAGATCCAGAAGCCTCCCCCATCGTTGATGCTGATGTTGTCCTGGCTCCTTAGCTCTTGTCCGGTCTACCTGTGGTGAGACGCCTCCTCCTCTTGTTTTATTTTTGGCTGGACTTCCTGTGTTTCTTTGTTTGTTTGGTTTGGCTTGACTCTTTTCCAGAGCTCCCTCCCCTCCCTCAGTCGCTGAGGCTGAGTGAGACTACACACCTGCTCTACATCTACAATCAAGGCACTTTAAGAAGCCAGCAGCCCTCAGTCTCAGCGCTTGAGTATTGTCTTCACTCCCAAGTGGTACAGACGTGTCTCCTGGCCTTCCTCAGATAATTACTTGCGACTTTTTACTCCCTGTGATCCCTTGTATGTCTTCTCACCTCCTTCTCCTCTGTTTTCTCTGCACTGTCTCCAGCCCACACAACAGCCAGCCAGCAAACCGGACTTTTTCCTTGTGCTTTGTTTCCCTGAGTTGGACATTAAACACCTTTAATTTGCTATCTGCCTCTGTGTCTGCTTCTGGGTCCACAAAATACACCACACGCCACAGAATACTCAGGCCAGGAAAATGGACCCAGCAGACCCAGACAGAGACCAACAAGCCGTCTAAAACCTCGGACTTCGCCTCGGTCAACATGAGGGCATGCTCCAGGGCCTCAACCAAGCTTTCCAAGGCCTCACCGTTCAAGTAGAGCAACTGGCAGATCAACTCCTCTCCCGGATCCCCCCGCAGCAATCTGGGTCTCCCCCCTCTGTAATTACGGCCCCCTCTTCACCCTCTCCTGTCTTCAAAGAGCCTTATGTCCCTCCTGCCGAGCCATATGCTGGGGAGATTGGGGGCTGCAGAGGTTTCCTGTTCCGCTGTACCCTTGTCTTTGATCAACAGCCTATTAGTTACCCCTCAGACAAATCCAGAATAGCTTACACCGTGAACCTATTGAGAGGCAAAGCCGCTAAGTGGGCTATGGCCATTTGGAAAGAAGATTCAACTATGTTGTCCTCATACGCCAGATTCACTGAGGAACTTTGCAAAGTGTTTGATTATCCTGTCAAGGGTCCCGAATGTACGAAACGGTTGTTTTCCCTCACCCAGGGCTCTCGGTCTGAGGCGGAATTTTCGATTGAGTTCCGCACAGTAGCGGCCGAGAGTGGGTGGGGGGAACTGGAATTAATGGGAATATTCTCTTGTGGTCTGTCTGAACAGCTTAAAGATGAGCTAGCGTTTCGTGATGAACCCTCCTCACTTTAGGAGCTAATCGCTCTAGCCATTAGGTTAGACAATCGCCTCAGGGAGAGACGGAGGGAGAAGAAATTAAATTCCCCTACCCGTAGCATAGACTCCTCATCCTCTGTCGTGGTCAGCGGGTCTTCTCTGCAGCCCTCAGTTCCTCTGGCTCCGGCGCCCTCAGCTGGAGAACCCATGCAAATCAGCCACACCTCCTACCTCCAGTTCTCCCAGATGTATCTCCGTACCTGCCTGTCTCCTGTGGGAAAAGGGATCCACGTCGCTCCAAACCCTTATTGACTCCGGGGCGGACGACAACTTTATTCACGCCGGGTTGGCGGCGCGGCTACAGCTCCCCCTGGAGGCACTCCCTGCCCCCCGTAAGGTCACCACTCTCGATGGCAGGGTTATAGCCACCATAACCCACTGCACCGCTCCTCTGACCCTCATCCTTTCGGGAAACCATTGTGAGGACATCCGGCTGTTCCTGCTTCCCTCTCCACATTCACCCCTCGTGCTTGGACTCCCATGGCTGCAGATCCACAATCCCCAGATCAACTGGTCCACAGCTTCAATCGCCGCCTTGAGTCCTCACTGCCACTCTCATTGCCTCCGCTCTGCCCCTGTTCTCAAACACCCGGATCCCTCTCTCCAATTCGTGGTGGAGGTCGACGCCTCGGACTCCGGAGTGGGGGCTGTCCTCTCACAGGGGGATCCCGAGACCCAGAAGCTCCATCCTTGCGCCTACTTCTCCCGGAAATTCTCATCCACCAAACAAAAATATGATGTGGGAGACAGTGAGTTGCTGGCTTTTGTGTGGGCACTCCAAAAATGGAGACACTGGCTGGAAGGAGCGCAACACCCATTCCTCATCTGGACTGACCATAAGAACCTTCAGTACCTCCTTTCTGCTTGACGCCTCAACTCCAGGCAAGCCCGCTGGTCCCTCTTCCTCCGCAGAATCTGCTTCACCTTCTCCTATCGTCCCGGCTCCCGCAACCTCAAACCTGACGCCCTATCTCGGATCCACTTCTCAGCTACCTCTGACCCCAGAGAACCGGACACCATCCTCCCTGCCTCCTGTGTCGTCGGCTCCGTCTCTTGGGAAATCGACACCTTTGTGGACAAGGCCTTCAGGAAGCACCCAGACCCTGGAACCGGCCCTCCTAACAGAAAGTTCGTCCCTGCACATTCTGCACATTCCCAAGTCCTACAGTGGGGGCACTCCTCTAAACTCACCTGCAACCCTGGATTTCAGCGCATCCTCCAATTCCTTCAGCAGCGGTTCTGGTGGCCGGGGATGGTCCGGGACATACGGGCGTTTGTTGCTGCCTGCTCTGTCTGTGCCCGAGTTAAAGCCTCCCACCAACCTCCGGCTGGCTTGCTGCGTCCCCTGCCTGTGTCCTCACGCCCCTGGTCCCGTCTGCTCTAGAAACTGCTGACCTCCTAGTATCTCATGTGTTCCAACTACATGGTATCCCCCTTGACATAGTGTCAGATCGTGGTCCCCAGTTCTCCGTCCAGGTCTGGAAAGCTTTCTGCCAGGCAGTGGGCGCGGCAGCTAGCCTCTCCTCGGGCTACCACCCACAGACCAACGGCAAGACGGAGCGGGCCAATCAAAACCTCGAGTCGGCTTTGCGGTGTGTGGCGGCCCATCATCCAGCGTCCTGGAGTACTCACCTTCCGTGGATCCAATACGCCCATAACTCCCTCACCTCCTCGGCCACAGGTATGTCTCCCTTCATGTGCTACTTTTCCTGAGCACCCGGTGGCCGTCCCGTTGGTGAGGGAGCACATCGCGCATCTACGGGAGTTGTGGAGATCTACCAGGGCCGCACTCACCCGCACGGCCGAGCGCAGCAAACGCCTGGCTGATGTTCACCGCTCTCCAGCACCAGACTATTGTCCCGGTCAGATGGTCTGGTTATCGTCCCGTGACCTTCCCCTGCAGACCGAGTCCCTTTCCCATCCAGAAAATTATCAACTATTCAGCGGTAAGATTAAAACTTCCTTCATCCCTCAAAATTCACCCCACATTTCATGTCTCCCTGATAAAGCCTGTCACCTCGTGCACCCTGAGCCCCCCTTCCATCGCCCCTCCACCCCCCCCGGTTGATTGACGACCACCCTGCCTTCACTGTGGGACAAATCCTGGACGTGCGGCCTCGGGGGCTGGGAGGGTTACGGTCCAGAGGAGCGGTCCTGGATATTCCGCTCCCTCATCCTGGACCATCAACTCCTTTGACGACTTTTACGCCGCTCACCCCAACAAACCCGGCAGAACGCCAAGAGGTGTTCGTTGAGAAGGGGGGGGGGGGGTACTGTGGTGAGATGCCTCTTCCTCTTGTTTTATTTTTGGCTGGACTTCCTTTGTTTCTTTGTTTGCCTGGTCTGGCTTGACTCTTTTCCAGAGCTCCCTCCTCTCCCCCGGTCACTGAGGCTGAGTGAGACTACACACCTGCTCTACATCTACAATCAAGGCACTTTAAGAAGCCAGCAGCCCTCAGTCTCAGCGCCTGAGTATTGTCTTCACTCCCAAGTGGTACAGACGTGTCTCCTGGCCTTCCTCAGATAATTACTTGCAACTTTTTACTCCCCGTGCTCTGTTTTCTCTGCAGTGTCTCCAGCCCACACAACAGCCAGCCAGCAAACCAGACTTTTTCCTCGTGCTTTGTTTCCCTGAGTTGGACATTAAACACCTTTGATTTGCTATCTGCCTCTATGTCTGCTTCTGGGTCCACAACATACACCACACGCCACACTACCTCCTTTTTGAGCGCCCATTATTCCGCCAGAGTCTTCGGTATTTACTGCGTTGACTTGGCTATGTTGGCAGTTGTGGCCAAAGGAGGATTCAGACAATTTTCTGTACTTTCTGGTTTGTTTCTACTATCCGATATTGTAGCACGCTAACTTTGTTTGGGGCTCATGAATGACACGGGGGAGCCTCACAACCAATCAGGTTGGGGAAGTTGGAGAATGGCTTTGTTTACAGTCAGAAATAGTGGGCCGCTCAAAAATTTTAAAATGTTGACTACACAGACATAACAAAACACGCTTTTTTCTTTTAACCAATAAATAAGTTTACATTCACCCCATGTTGTGTGCGGTGGAACTCTTTTCTTTTTAGGAACTTTTTTCCTGACACCACCAGCACCAACGTTAAGATCTGTGTTGTGCAGGGCAATCCTCCTTCTTGTATGATAAAAGCTTTTTTGTATATACACCACAAAAAAGTGACCAAATTAATGAACTACAGCTGTTACAGGAATACTTCCATTGCATTTTAAGTGATTCTGCATGGTGGTGCTGTGGTTGGCCCTCTTTTCTCAGGGCAAGAAGGCTCAGGGACCTTGGCTTCCTCCTGGAGTCTAAAAAGAAAAGCTGAGCTTATTTTTTCACTGAGGTTATTTGGTCACTCTGAATTGTGTGTGTGTGTGTGTGTGTGTGTGTGTGTGAGAAAGAGAGCGAGAGAGAGAAAAGTGTGTGTAACGTGAATGTATTTGCTCCTCAGTTTAAGATACCTGCTTTAGATCAACTTAATTTGTCTAATCTGAACAACATGCAAAAGTAGCGGCCCTCATTATTTTTCTGTGGGATGGTTGTTTGTCTCTATATGTCAGTGGTGTGATGAACTAGTGCCCATGAAACTGGATGGATGAATGGATAGATTGGTGATAGATAAGGGGTGGAGTGGCGAAAATATGACTTATTTTAAATGTCGGACAGTACACACAAAAAACCCTTTTGTTTCCATTAGCTTCAATTGTCAATTTGTCTGAGCTCACCATCATGGGGAAAAGGTCATTTAGGGGCATTTATCATACTAATGTTTGTATATTCAAACGAGGCATGTTCACATGGTCATACTTATTCTCACTGAAATGAGCATGCCCACAGGAACAGAGGCTGGATTAGAAATCTGTGTAAAATAGTCATGTCAGTGTGAGACAGTTCCTACACACAGGAGATACAACGGTGGATTAAGATCACGTTTACAGCGAATCTGGAAGAAATACACACAAGACTGATCAGTTTATCATTTTTCATTCCATACATGCACGATTTCAAGATCAGATGAACGTGTTTTAACCGATAAAATCTCAACAGTTCTTGCATGTTTGGACTTTGACTGCTTCTTATTGCTTAATAAATCCAGTTTAACTGTGTTATTTGATATATGTTTAAACTTCAACTTAATCTTGATCATTTTATTGTCAGTATTACTTTCATCTGTCATGCAGATAAAATAGAGAATGGGGAGGTGTACCAGAGGAAAAGAGGAGCTCACCCCGGGGGCGCAGAGGAGAGGGAAACCGGAAGTAAACAGCTCGAGCAGCTCAGGCAGACGGAAAGCAGCTGGAGAAGAATCCTCCTCCTGATACTTGCCATCACTATCCACAACATCCCAGGTGAGACTGTTTTAAAAAACGGGACTGTAGCACTCAGGGATGGCTGTGGCTCAGTCTTAAAGTAAGTCATCTCCTAATTGGAAGGTCGGGGGGTTTTGTCTGAAACTTTCATATTACAGAAGTGTACAGGTAGATCATGGTAAATGTGGTATATGACCACCTGTGGGTCATAGTTGCTGCTCTGAAAGTGCTCCACAAATCAGTGAGCTAAGAAAAGGAAGGAAATATCTTTGTCTTTTTTGGTAATTAATGCTACCAGAGCAAAAAAAAAAAAAAAAGGTCTTGCATGGCGAGAAGGGACAAAGACAGGCTCAATACAGAGGATTCCACTTCCGAGATCCTGTTAGTGTTGCTAATCTGTGCTAAATAGATATAAGAACATGTATTTAGATTTGATCAACTCTACCTCCAGTCATGAATCAGACGTTGAGAGACGATGTTAAGGATTCCTCAGGAGGAACTAAACCACAAAGAAGAGCTTTACATCAAATACTGGTGGAAACCCGGTCTGACTGCAGCTGCTTGTTTTGTCTTATAGGACAGATTGAGATTTGTAAAGAAGTTTTCACATCTTTTTTTGTGTTATCTGCAGAGGGTTTGGCTGTTGGGGTAGGATTTGGAGCCATTGGAAAGACTCCATCAGCCACATTTGAAAGTGCCAGGTAAGAGTGAGGTTTGTTCATGTTGTAACCAGTCACATTAAAGGGGTATTTCAGTATTTTTGAAGTGAGATTACATGACTTACATAGTAAGCGTATTACCAACAGCAGATGTCAGATCTTTAAAGAGAAATTGCTGGTTGAAACAGGACACAAGATAGGTTTTTGGCAGATGAGGCCCACTCTGGGTTTCAAATTGGCAAAAATATGATGAAGCCAAATAATGAGTGATTCTGACCTTGTTGATAATATACCATTTACTGTCAGAGCAAAAACAGATGGGCTGAAAAATGTCTTGATGGAGTTTACACTTTGAGGCAGATTTGGTCACCTCTACAGAAAACTGTAGCCTAGCTTACATGCCACTTCCCCCCAGCAGATTCTCACTCAAGGGACTGAGCTGACTGACATCCTGTGTGGCAAATACACAAATAAAAATAACCCTTTTAATAAGGTACAGGTCACAGGGAAGTCAGGGGACATTTTCTGAGAAAAACACTGAGTTAAGATTTGCTGTCATAAGGTTTTACAAACAGATTTTACACCTGTGCCTGTTTCTCTGATGCTGTCTGTTGAGTGTGTGTGAAACTCCACCTGTTATTTAATCATAAAGGCTGTTGTCTGGAGGAAATTCAGTGGGTTATTTTTAAAGAAATGTTACAAAAATTGCACTACTTAAAGTCGATTTATTATTGATCACCTGATCATGAAGCATTTATATTTGAGGATCCTGTTTCAGTTTATTCATAATGCTCATGAGTCAGAGGTGAAAAAATCTTAGACTGAACACTGTTATTGTTTTGTGTGTGTGCTTTGTATGTTTTGGGGACGAGAAAATGTTTTTTATCTCCTACTTTTGTCTAGAAGCAGTGTAAAAAATGTTTCTGGTTTTGAAGAGAGAGGAACTTGTACAGCTTGGTGGAAAATTTTGTGCACCTGCCAGTCGTGAAAAACTGACTAAAAAAATTATAACTCTGCTGTTAAATATTTCTTTCTTATCATCCCTGATAGAGAATTAGACCAATGTGCCTTTCCTCGTTGTTACAACCCCGCTTGTCAAGGGGAAAGAGAAGCAACATAAAGCCTGATCTTTAATGGTATAGTGTTATTGATTACAAGAAGTGAGATTGGAACATAAAAGAAAAGAGTCAGGCACAGAAAAGGGCTGTTCCAATTAACAAATAAGGAAAAACAAAAGAACCCCTAACCTGGAGTTCATACAGAGACAGCTCTTTCTAAAACAAAAACGGAAATAAAACCTAACTCATGTCTAACCACACAGAAATGGCAAACAAACAGCACCCCTAACCTAATGAGCATAACAAAGAATAATTCTACAAATGAATGTGCAAGGGTCTTAAATCTATAACCCAACTTAGAACAAGTGCCTCAGCTAGACAATACATGAGACAACAGCAACACAACACAAGACATCCCAATCAAACACGAGTGGAGACACAGCTACACAGCGATAATTGAGAAAAACGGGTGAATGAAAATCTCACGAGCGAAGGCAGCCCAGCTTTTTAGTACTGTGCACTTCTTCTTGATTGGTCAGAACTTCTGCTGTGCACCAATCAGCTGTGTGCTCTTGAGGTTGGTCACCTAGGGGATGCACCAATCACTCAGCTGCACTCACACATTCATGCCATACACTCATTAATAGATTAAGGACCACACAGGGGGATGTGGCCGCGGCTGTTACATCCCACCCCTTAAAATATAAACCCTCAGATTTTTTACAACCATCAATTAACAATATACATGAATATGAGCGATACAATCAACACCTGGACAATGAATCCGCTAAAAGAGACCACCCTCTGCAGCATTTTCTCCTTCACTCAGTCACCAACCAGAACTAAGATCCATGGGCACATAATCATTATGAGACCACTGCTTTCTTTGAGAGTGAAAAGGCAATAATCTGAGCTCATATGATATTGAAACGCCTCATGGCAGTTGCCTCGTGCTGTGTAATGAGCTACTGACATCTAGGGGTGACTTTGTGTTAGTGCTTTGTGTTAGGGAGAGTTGGCAACAGTTTTACTGGAGCCGTTTTCTTAAGTCACCCAATGTCTCTGATCAATCTTGAGGAACCAGATAATCAAAAAAACCACAGTCTGTGTCTCAGTGTTGCTCTGAGAGTGAAACACAATCAGAGTACAATTCTCTACAGTGAACTCCCATTTATAAATATGTCAGAGCTCCTGTAAAATCTTTATTCAAACAAATTCGATCCTTAATTTTATACTGTAACTTCACATTCATCGTAAACTTTCTCTTTAAAGAAAGCACAGAATTCTGTCTCTGACCTATTGTACCTCAGGTCCAGATGAACTAACTTATCCACAGAAACAGCAGACTTTCCCTTTATGTAACATTGAACTGTGTGGTGGTTTGGTTCTGTGTGTCTTTCATCTCAGAAATCTGGCCATTGGAATTGGCATCCAGAATTTCCCAGAGGGACTAGCTGTGAGCCTGCCGCTGCGGGGTGCAGGGGTGTCAACGTGGACGGCCTTTTGGTAAAAGCATCAACAAAAATAAATAAATAAAAAAATAAACCAAAATCAGGTCTTTGTCGACACTGTGACCATTCTGTTTCCTCCCAGGTATGGTCAGCTCAGCGGGATGGTGGAGCCGGTCGCTGGGCTGCTGGGTGCTGCTGCCGTCTCTTTGGCTGAACCTCTGCTGCCCTATGCATTAGCGTTTGCTGCCGGGGCAATGGTCTATGTGGTTGTGGATGACATCATACCTGAAGCTCATGTCAGGTGAGAAATAAAAAGAAGAATTCATGTAGATCAACGATGAGAAGGGGTGGATAAAAGTACAAGACAACCTTCCTCTGAGCATCTGTTAGTGTCTTCTTAACATTTCTTGGATCTGGCTTGATGTCAACAGTGGAAACGGGAAGCTGGCGTCCTTCACCTCCATCCTGGGCTTTGTGGTGATGATGTCACTAGACGTAGGGCTGGGTTGATGGCGTCCTCATGGCTGGCACCATGTCCGCTGTCCCTCAATGGCCATTCATCTGATCTCAGTGCTGCTGACTCCAGTTTTTATAAAGGGGACCAAAATGAGAAGTGTTTTATCCTGAAGCACTTTAAATCAGCGTTGTTTGAATGTTTACTACTTGAAAAGAAGAAATAATGAAAATAACTATTTTATTATGCTGATCTATGACTCAAATGGTCTATGAATCTAATGTATTTAGTTTTCATGCTCGCAGTCATATTTAAAGCAAATGTTGACAGCCATGAGAGTTTGAGTATTTTTTATTTTTATTTTGCTCATTTCAGGTTTTTATGACCTCTTTGGTGACTAAACTTACTGCTGATCATTTCATCTGTTCATTTATGTGACAGCCAATGAATGAATGAATGATTAGATTATGTTCAATCTAGTCTAAATCCTGCTGTGTTACTGTGTTTCCAGGTTAGCTCTGCTGTACTGAACATTAAATCCTGTATCCACAATGGCCCTAAAAGTCAATGGCACTAAAATGATGATAAAACATAAGATAAACCTTTATTTATCCCACAGTGGGGAAATTTGCCTTTCAGTTGTACTAAAAAATCTGGACTACTTGGAGCAGGCCTGGTTCAACAGTCGGACTGCAGCAGGAAGAAAGGACTTGCTGTATCTCTCTGTCACACACCGCAGATGAAGAAGTCTGTCACTGAAGGAGCTGTTGCGGTGGTTACAGTGTTGTCGTTACAGAGCTGTTACAGTGCTCTGTGGGGGGTGGAAAACATTGTCTAAGAGAGACCACAGCTTAGCCATTATCCTCCTGTCCCCCACCCCCTCTACAGGGTCCAGAGGGCAGCCCAAGACAGAGTTAGCCTTCCTCACCAGTTCGTTCAGTCTGTTCCTGTCCGCAGTCGTGACGCTGCTGCTCCAGCAGACCACTCCATAGAAGATGGCTGAGGCCACCACAGAGTCATTAAAGGTCCTCAGGAGAGCTCCCTGCTCACCTGAAGATGTCAGTTTTCCTTTAAAGTGAGGCAGTGTTGTCAGTCCAGTCCACTTTACTGTTCAGATGAACACCCAGGTACTTGTAAGAGTCCACAATCTCAATATCCTATCATTATCATTGGCAATGAGGCCAGCAATAGTGGAGTCATCCGAGAACTTCTGCAGGTGGCAGCTTGTTGCTTGGTTGGTAAAGTCTGCAGTGTACAAGGTAAAAAGGAAAGGAGCCAAAACTGTCCCCTTGCAGATTACAGTGTCAGACACACAGTCACAGGCCTCTACAAACTGTGGCCGGTCGGTCAGATGATCCAGCTGCCAAGATGCGAGGTAATAATCCAGTCCTGTGTGCTGCAGCTTGTCCCCTCTGGAGCACAGGCTGTATGGTGTTGAAGGTACTGGAGAAGTCATAGAACATGATCCTCCCAGTCCTCTCCAGGTAAGTTTTCGAGTTGTTTTTAAAATTTATTTTTATTTTTTACAAAAAAATCTTTTAAAAATTCATTTGTCTCTTAAATGTTTTGTTTTCAAAGTTTGTTTTCCACATTTTTTTTTTATGTTTTAAGAATTTTATTGTCTTCCGAAATATAATTAAGGTTTCTGAAATGTTTTCTACATTTTTTTAAATGTATCTTTTGTGTTTTATGAAATATTTATTTCCGTCCTGAAAAATTCCTGTCAGAGACCTTTAGGGCCACCGTATTTGTCCCTTTTCAGTAATGGCCTTTTTGAAATAAGTTATATTCAGTTGTACAGACTGCTCACCAGCTAAAGCAGTGCTTTTTTTTTTTTTTAACAGCATTGCTGTCTCCAGACCATTGTCACAAGTCACACACTTTAATCTACTGAATGTTTGATTTTTAGATACAGATGTAATACCATAGTTGACCATGTTAACATGTCTAGTATTTCTTGGTTGAGCCTGCTGGCTCAAAGCATGGATGTGCACCCTCAACCAGTTGGTCACTCCAAAAGCCTTGGGGTTTATTCTAGTGTGATGTATGCCACAAAAATGGCTGCGTTAATTAGCACCAGATTCATGTTTATATATGCTCTTTACTTCTGTTTGTCCACTGGGTCTCATTTAGGAAATGATAGATAAGTCCTTGTTGGTACTAAAAACCTACGCTACATTTATGAAGACAGCTGAAAACTTGTTTGATTGTGGGCATGTATTAATGATGAATGCTGACCAATTGGAACTTCACAGCGTGTTCAAAAGCCAAAGAGCATCATTTAAGGAGGTGTTGCTCGTAATTCTGGCTCCATTTATTCTCAAAGTCTTACAACAGCTTTAATTTAGAGAAATAAGAGGCACAGAACAAGTTTAGAGTGTAGATGTGATGGGATGATGAAGGAGATTAAAATGTCTCACACTGGTTAAAGAGTAGATAAAACAAAATAAAACAATAGAAGTACACGCAGACTCATCCACATGTTAAATGCTTTATTGCAGTTTTAGCAGAACAGACAAGATATGAAATTAAAAAAAGACAAAGGTCACCCAGCATCTACACATAAAAGAAAAGGTCAGATAAAATGAGTTGACTCAAACTAAATCACAGTGACTGAGACAGGCTTGTGTTGCAGGAAGTTGATGAGACTTTTTGGCATGTCCAGCTGGTCGATGCAGTGGATCTTTCTGATTTTCTTAAGGTGTCTTCTGACAGCGAGTCGGCACTGAGAGGTCAAGGCCTTTGGAGTTCCTAGAGACACAAGACATTGTTATGTAATTTTCATTTTTTACTTAAATGACATTAAAGGACACATGAAAACTAAGTCTGGCTTGATGCTGGGTCCAGTTGTGTTAATCTCTCTAGTTCTGTCAGTGCGAGAGTCATCTGTTTACTGAGTTTGCTCTTTAGACCTTTCCTTTGAGATTCAATTTTTAACTTCTCTTGGTCTTGGATTCAACAGGACGGGATGCTTCTTTTTTTTTTTCAAGTAAAGTAGACTTTTTTGGTGTTTTTTTCTTTTTTTTTTAGGTATAAGGTCTTCTGTTTTATCTTTAGTCCACTTTTTCTAACTGTGCCTAGAGATGTGGGAGTATACCTTACCCACACATGGTACAGAGCACTTACAGTGACCAAACAAACTGGACTGTAGGATTTCAATCTAAGTATGGTACAGATTGCCTTGTAGTGAACCACCTTATTGAATACAAACTTTATCTCCACAATAAAGAGTTGAATTGTCTGATCCTCCTATACCCCTGGACTTAAGAGCTGCTAAAAGTGACTGAGCCTTTGAGTATAACAAGACTGCTCAAAGAAACCTTCCACCTGATTCAGAAACTAGGGCTGATGCAAAAATAATGGTACTGGTGATCATCGTCTTTTTAAAATACAAAAATAAATAGTGCGCTAAAAATAACCATACAGTAGTACTGTCACTTCAAAGAAGTGATATTTACTAAGGTTAATGAGGGTCAGGCATGTGCAGCTATTCAGAGCTTCTGTCCGATTATTATATGGCCTTATTTCCACTTACATCTCAGAACACAGTGAGTTGTATAGATGTATAGATTTCAATTAAGGCCCGAGTCCCTCAGTATATTCAGGGAACCTTTCGAGCCACACGGGTTATAGTCTAGAGAACAGTGTAAGACTCCATATTGAGGGATTCAAATCTGGACATAGTAAACCTGTAGACACACTCATGAGTCTGTTTAATCCTTCTTTTTCATGACTTTACATGTGCTCCCCCCCAGAAGCTCTGTGACTCTGCAAGTGTGACTCTGTACCTCTTTCATGCAGAAGCAGCTCTACAGCCTCATTCTGCTTTGTTGACTTCTCAATAATCAGTGTAGGGAGGTAGACGTTAGCTCCAAAGTCTATCAAAAGCTGGATGTACTCCACGCTGCAGCCATGCCTGAGGCACATCTCCAGCACAGTTTTGGGTTGCTTGATAGAGCTCAGAAGTTTTGCATTTGTGCAGTTGTAATCTGGGTCGGCTCCATAGAGCAACAGGAGTCTAAAACACTCCATATGTCCATAAACTGCAGCGAGGTACAGCGGGCCGCTGGACACTCTGGCACTGGACGTCCAGAGTAAGACTTTAGAGCGAGAGTTCACCTCAGCACCATGTTTCAGCAGTTCCTTCAGGATCGTCACATCACCCTCCCGAGCAGCTGTGAGGACAGGGGAACAGTTGTTGGAGGAGTTCCCGTTGGGGTTGGCACCAGCTCCCAGGAGTGCTACTACACACTCGAGGTATTTCCCACGGACAGCTGCAAAGAGAGGAGTCTGAGCCTTGACATCAACACAGTCCACCTGGGCTCCATGGGCGAGCAGGACCTGCAGACAGCTGAGATGGCCTTTGGACACAGCAGCATGGAGAGGTGTGCCTGCAATCCCCCAGCCTCCTCTGCAGTTGATAACTTTCTTGTAGATTTCTTGACAAAGCATCTCCTGAAGGAGTCTGTCATTGTTTTCTGACACTGCCTGTCTGAGCTGGTAAATTTCACTGTTATGTCCTTCTTCTGCAGGGGTCCTTAGATGTAGCATTGAATCTACTGGAAGTCTGAAGATAGACAGACAACATCAGCTGATTTCAGACATCAATATGTATTCAAAACTTTTTTAATACATAGACATTAAAGGACTTTGAGTACTTGGAAAGAAAATATGGTTTTGAAAAATCAGATTTTTACAGATGCAGTAAAAATCTGGTATTTATCATCTGAGCTTGAGCTTGAAAGAAGAATGGGCAAAAATTTCAATCTCTAGATGTGCAAAGCCTGTAGCCTGGCCGGGCCATCCTGTTGCGTGAATCACTTGACGTTCCTTCCCACAACAGTCTGGACTTCGGCCCATTGGGAGTGTGTATGCCCGATCAGAAAATAACCGGGCCAATCAGAGACCGTGTTTTCACTGTTACCCGGACAACAAGGAAAGGCAGCCCCTGATTGGTCCATGTACTATTGTAACCAATCACTGTAACCAAGCATCTGTGATGATGTTAGATGCTTGGTTACGGTGATTGGTTACAATAGTCTGTCCAGCAAGGAACGTACTCCCGCCCACTTTCAAGGCTTCCAATGGGCCGAAGTCCAGAATGTGGTGGGAAGGAACGTCAAGTGATTCATGCAACAGGATGGCCCGGCCAGGCTACAAAGCTTGTAGAGACATACCCCAAAAGACTTGCAGCTGTAATTTTAGCGAAGTGGCTCTGCAAAGTATTAACACGGGGGTATTTTCAGATTCGTATTTGTTTAAATTTTGAAAACCATGTATCATTTTCGTTCCACTCCACAATTATGTGCTATTTTGTGTTGGTCTATGGCAGAAAATCTCAATAAATACCTTTTAAGTTTGTGGTTGTAGAGTGACAAAATGTGAAAAGTTCAAGGGGTTGAATACTTTTTCAAGGTACTGTATCTCTATGTAGGCAGCCACTTTGAACAAAACAGTGGACACAAAACAGACTGATGATCTGGTTTAAGGCATAAAAGAGTCAAATGAGGGTGGTATCTAAAAACTTGATGAGAGACATCAATCTTGATCAGTGAAAAATGGGAGACAGGGGGTAATTTTTTTTATATTAGACACAGTTTGGTTAGATGTATGTAGAGTCTGGTGGAAATGTACCAGTTCAAACTGCTGGCATATACGCTGAGAGCACCCAGTGCTCAGACTATTTTGGGCAGAGTTCCATAAACCTTGACGTCAAACTGAGCTGCCTCAATGCCTCTGCAGTTTACAGCATTGTCCTCAGGTATGGTTGGCTTATAAATATCTACTCAGCATTTTGATTTCTGCTTGTAAAACAGGCCATTGGTTCCTTCCTGAACCCCACAGAATACAGGAGTGGACTAATGTACAGAAAGAAAGATGTGCTTGTCAAACTCTGAACAAAGTGGGTTTAATATATGAAGCCCTTGAGAACAGATGCTTTTGAGTTGCTAGTCATAATAGATAGACACTTTATTAATCCCAGAAGAAAATTCAAAGGAAACTGAAAACCCTATAAAATTTGATAGATTGATTGATTTGAAAACCTGTGACCCTTCCATTTTCTTTTGTTTCTGTCTTTGTCTTTAATTTCTCCCTGATATGCTAATGGTCACTTTAATGGTTCACTCCCAGATTGTACGTATTTAATAATCCTGAAATCTATGACCGCAGAGGAACACAGTCACTTTATTTTATTTATCACAGTACTCCATATTATTTATTATGAGCTGCTATTTATTTACAAAAGCCAATTATAAAAATGAAGATATGTAGCTGCGGCATTTGAGTTTTCTCTCTATAAAGACATTTAGCGCTGCACAGAAATGTTCTTGAATAAGCCTCAATTTTTGTCAGTGTGATCTGATATTCATTACATATTGTAAATTTAGTTGTGTTATGTAGGTGTTCATGAATAACCTCAGAGTAACTTTTATCTGTCAAACTTTTTTCCAAAAAATATCAGACATGACCGAGGGATGTAAAGTTACTCATATGTTCATGTTGCAGTAACTGAGCAGTGTGTATCCTTTTTGTGGAAGATTTCTGATCAGAACTTTAAATGGTGTATTTCTCTGGTTAGTAGTGTACTTTGATACTTATTACATAGTATTAGTTACGAGATTAAAAATATATATTTATTACAAAAATGTAAGCTTTCCTTCAGTTGAAGGATTGCATGACTGGAGCTGACTGGACCAAAACAAAGAGAACTCTCACCAAGTGAATGTGTCGTCTAGTCAGAATAACTCATTAAGTCTTAAAGGAACTGTAAACAGTTTTAAAAATGTTACTAATTCTAATGCCTCTGTATGACCTTCAGGACCAAACAAAACCATCAGCTACCAGCCTGAAAAATGTCCATATAGAGATTTTGGATGATTGAAAACACTGAGGGAGCGAGTATGAGACCAGGGGCCTGTTCTACGAAGTAAGTTCAACCTAGCGGGGAAGCCTTGGAGCTACCTCGCTCAACTTAGCGCGGTAGCCAGCGGTCTCGCTAAACGGTTTACGACGCTGGTTATCAACCTCGTAAGTGGATCCAGCTTTGCTATGGGCGCGTGCATGCATTTAAGGCGGAGCCCGCCACATCTGACCAATCACAAACATGGACCAGCCTAGAGCGTCAGAGCTGGCCGGAGAGCGAAGGACCGCGTACTTTACAAACAAGGAGCAGGAGACGATCATGAGAAAGTATGAAGAATTCAAATCTATCATAAACCTAAAAAGCAACACCGTTGCAGCTGCACGGAGGGAATGCTGGCAGAAAATTAATCTTTGATGCCATTATCACCCTGAAATAGCACTGTTCAACATGCGCTTTTAACCAAGGTGACCAGACGTCCCCGATTTCCGGGGACAGTCCCCGAATTGGATGATCTGTCCCCGGCTAAAGCTGTCCCCGAAAATGTCCCCGATTTAAGCGTTTCATGAATGAGAACAAAAATGTTGCATGTGGGCTAGAACAACAGTTTTTACAGTAGGTAGGAAGCACAAGTAAGCAGTCCTGAACAACAGTTTTTACGGGGGTTATTACAAGGAGCGTGCGCTGCTACTAAATAGTACCGAGATGTTGTCTGTGATCACGCAGCCCATGCCCATTCATTTCCAAGATGAATTCATTCATTTGTTCATTCCTATCGTGTTTACATTTTTTGTGTGATATGTCGGCCATATGAGCCTTTCATAAAGGTGGTCATCTGGAGAAGTAAGTGGGTCCGTGCAGTCCCTGAAAACTCTCGCGTGCCAGAGTGCTCCTCGGACAACAAAAGCACCAAGGTCTACAGGATCCTCCAAGAACGGACAAGCCATTTTTCGAGAGAGCTCATTGGTCAGTGGGCGGGGTTCTTATACTCCATGAGTTCAATCTGGAACCTAACCTGCCCCGGAGCAGGTTAGCCGTTCAGCGTATGTTGCCATGGAGACTCGCCTCGCTAAGAAGTGAACCCGCGTCGTAGAACAGGAAACCAATCTTAAGATTTCAATCTTAAAAGGACAATAAATTTACACATGCAGGGCAAGAAAAAAAAGAGTATTACGGAGTCCATGGGAGGAGCATGTGTGAACAACAGCTCTATACAGCAGCTTAGAGCCACAGTGACCTGACCGGCCAAATTTAAATCTAGCGAAAGACATTTAAAGCTCAAATTCCCTGGATGAGTTTCATGGATGAACGAAAACATCTTAATTCAAGAAACTTAATTCAAGGAAATTGTGTTTGAAAATTGTGCATTTTAACTTGAAAAGCACTTTACACATCAGTGTCATGCGTCAATCACATTATAATTACTCTGTTACGTATATTATTACTTTTATTACCTTTTGCATCATTTGAAGGGCACTTCTTCCCAGGTTCAAAGTTCGTACCCAGCCCGATAAGTACACTTTAAATGAGGTACTTTTTCCTCCTCACAGACTGCAGTTTGACTAAGATGAAGTCTCACTGAAGTACCTGGACTTTTACCACAGTCTACTGGAGTTACAACTGTTTCCACCCCTGGTGTTTCCTCAGAACCACAAACTCGGTGGGTCGCGTCGTCGGACTATCTCCCATGTGGATTCCAGTTTTACCCTCAGAGATATTTTTAAAGGACCACCAGGTGTCAGGGCCTGTTTTCATGTATGAAGGCCGTGAGGAAGGGTCTGGATTCAAAGATATGTTTACACCTAAGCTGATTCAGTTTTACACCGGTTTGAGGCTGTGGGGTGCTAACACGGGGTCAAATAATAATCGAAGGTAGCGGTGTGACTTGGGTATTGAATGGATACACACAGGGAACTAAAATACAGTGCTGAGCAGTCATGGAGGTCACTCTTTATCCTTTTAACACAAACGTCTGTAATAAAATACCAGAAATAATTTCACTACCGATAAGCGACGATAACTCCTGACACATAACGCCGAATTACAGCGCCTCCAATCCTCGCTCTTTGCTCTCTAACACACGTAGAAACACTATTATTTCCGTATTTTAGAAATTGGCCTACCGTCAAAATGAGACCATCAGCTGGCCCCTTCATCTTCCTTCAGCTTCCTATTTTCTCCTCCTTCTTCTTCTTTGTTGTTGTTGTGGTTTATTGGCGGTGAGCAGAGTAGCTTTAGGTGCACCACCGCCACCACCTGGACTGTAATGGAACAGGAGATTTGCAGACAGAGGCTGTTACTAGCTGCGTCCGAATTGCCAAGTAGTAGTCGAAGTAGTAGTCAAAGTAGTATCTAGCATGTCCGAATTGGCCACCGGAGCGAGTAGCATGCTACTTCAGATACTACTTCAGATGCTAGACACGCCCACATTGTAGGTTGGTCTCGGTGCATCCTACGGGCATGCTACTGACCCAAAATGCACCGCGGGCTTCTTCTTCGTCCTCTTAAAAGTTGTAGAAGCGCATGTGATGCTAGCGCCACCAGCCGCTCTGCCTATTTAAATGTGTCGCGAACGCCGGCTGGCCGCAGCAGCGCGCACCATGTCGGAGCAGCAGCAGCAGCAGGCAGGACCGCAGCAGTACAGATGTAAGTTTCATGTAACTTCACACACTGTCCTAAAAAATGTGCGGTTGTATCTCTTTGTCATGTCATGGTGTCATATTTGCCCAAGTAATCATTTTATGAGCAAGTGGCGAAATCATGGAGGTAAAGCTCACTTATTCCATCATTAAACTGCACAGCTGCAGTACTACAGCCAGGCCCGCAGATGAGGGGCTTCAGTTACCACTGTCTGCACGGGCGCAGTACCTACTCTCTGCCTGCGGGGGTCGTCTTTCCCCACCGCTCGTCTAGTGTGTCCGAATTGGGCCAACGTTTTTAGTATGTAGGAGTAGGATCTAGCAGTAGCACGTAGCAGTAGCATGTAGTATCCGAGCGGGCAGTTCGGACGCAGCAACTGTGTCCGAATTGCCCGCTCGCACACTACATGCTACTGCTAGAGCCTACTCCTACATACTAAACACGTTTGCCCAATTCGGACACACTAGACGAGCGGTGGGGAAAGACGACCCCCGCAGGCAGAGAGTAGGTACTGCCCCCGTTTTAGACTCTTTGTATGGTAATTGTGCAAGTGATGGATGCTGTTGTATTATATTCCTGCACTGCTTTAGAAATTCACAAAGTAGCTTTTCCATTACTTTTAGCCTTCATTCACTCACGTGGTGATCGTTTGTTCAATGAAATCTGCCTGATTACTGCAGCTGTGCAGTTTAATGAGATGGAATAAGTGAGCTTCACCTCCATGATGTCGCCACATATTTGCTCATAAAATGATTACTTGGGCAAGTATGACACCATGAGATGACAAAGAGATACAACCGCACATTTTTTAGGACAGTGTGTGAAGTTACATGAAACTTACATCTGTACTGCCTGCTGCTGCTGCTGCTGCCGCTCCGCCATGGTGCGCGCTGCTGTGGCCAGCCGGCGTTCGTGACGCATTTCAATAGGCAGAGCAGCTGGTGGCGCTAGCATCACATGCGCTTCTATGACTTTTAAGAGGACGAAGAAGAAGCCGCGGTGCATTTTGGGTCAGTAGCATGCCCGTAGGATGCACCGCGACCATCCTACAATGTGGGCGTGTCTAGTATCTGAAGTAGCATGCTACTCGCTCCGGTGGCCAATTCGGACATGCTACAGACTACTTCGACTACTACTTGGCAATTTGGACGCAGCATGTGTCTCATTTCAGAGACCGCATCGGGATAAGCACGCTTAGCTGAGCGCACTGCTGTTATGTGCCGTTATGTGCTGTTATGCGCCGTTATGTACCCTTCCTGTGTCCCATTTCAGATACCGTAACCGTCGAACGGCGCATTTGAAGCGTGCGTGAGGTCATCATGCGGCACGAACGATGTCCCGTTTGGCACAAAATGCTAAACGCGCTTCAAATTCGGTCTCAAAACCACACTGCCCCCGCCTCTTTTTCAAGTGGGCATTTATGCATGCTTTCGCGCCGTTGGTATCCCAGAATTCTTTTCGTGCCGCTGCACAGCTGCGCATTTCAGGTGAGAGGCTGGACTCGCTTGGAGACACAGCGTGTCTTTAAAGAAAATGCAAGAAATCCAAAAACAGCCGACAGTCAGCTCAGGCTGTATGAGCACATGATCTCTGAACTCACTAAAATCTGCAAACCAAACATAGTTTTAGAGACAACTGATCCGCTCTGCTACAACAATCAAAAACATTAGAAATAAGAAAGCTGACAAAACTACAGCGAAGGATCTGGACAACATTGAGTTTTTTTTTCTTTTAAGATTTAGAGATTAAAGTTGTAAATTTAGGAGAATAAAGTCATAAAGTAAATAAAGTCATAAAGCTGCTTTTGTGGAGGGGGAAATGACTGAAGCTGGTCATCTGCAGGGTTATCTGTGGATGTATCAGCGGGTCATTCAGAGAGATTTTGTGGTTTCTGAAGAAACAATCAAACTGATGATGATCAACATTTGTGATCCAGAGGGAGTCGAGCTCAGACGAGCACCACATCTCTGACACCGGCGGTAGCCTACACCTGCAGAGACACCAACACCTTATTATGGCATATGGATTCATATCATAAACTTAAGCTCAATGTCATTCACGGATATTTATGGCTGCATTGACAGATATATCCTCAGCATATTCATTTCTGTCTCCACAAAAGCAGCAATTTCCTTCAAGTACACCAGTTTTTTTCCTGTGGAAAAGACGTATTTCTCATATATTCTTTTTAAAGTCCTTATACTTATGACAATGTAATGCTGAATGTGCCAAAGGATGAAGTATCTCCTTGTTTGTGAAACCTATACTGAAGCACAGTTCCTTCAAATGACAAAGTCTCCTCTGAAATAACAGGGAACCTTATGACTTTATTCTCATAAATTAATGACTTCATTCTCGTAAATTCACGACTTAAATCTCGAAGTCTTTAAAAAAAATTCTCAATATGGCCCTCATACTCCTTCATACAAAACAATCACTGGATGAATTGTGCTTGTATGTATCTACTATTTTGTGTCCGTGCAAGGTCGCACAATTAAAAAATAAATGCTGCGCTCCGCGGGTTTTCTTTAAGTCAGTTGTGATGCAAGCCTGAGGGCGGGGACATTTGGCGACTCAACCAGGAAGTCCTTCGAAGGTCTCCAAATGTCCGGCCCTCAGGCTTACGTCACGACTGACTAGAAAAAAAGCTGCGGAGCGCAGCATTTATTGTTTTAATTGTGCGACCTTGCACAGACACAAAATAGTAGATACATACAAGCACAGATCATTCCCACAAAATTCATCCAATGATTGTGTTGTATTAAGGAGTATTGAGAATTTTTTTTAAAGACTTCGAGATTTAAGTCGTGAATTTACGAGAATAAAGTCATTAATTTATGAGAATAAAGTCGTAACCTGTTATTTCAGAGGAGACTTGTTAAAATTAGGGCCATGAAGCATTTGAAGGAACTTTCCTTCAGTATAGGTTTCACAAACAAGGAGATACTTCATCCTTTGGCACATCAGCATCACATTGTCATAAGTATAAAGACTTAAAAAAAAGAATATATGTGAAATACGTCTTTTCCACGGGAAAAAATCTGGTGTAATTGAAGGAAATCGCTGCTTTTGTGGAGGCAGAAATGGATATGCTGCGGATATATCAGTTTATGCAGCCGTAAATATCCGTGAATGACATTGAGCTTTAGTTTATGATATGAATCCATATGCCATAATAAGGTGTTGGTGTCTCTGCAGGTGTAGGTTACCGCTGGTGTCAGAGACGTGGCGCTCGTCAGAGCTCAACTCCCTCTGGATCACAAATGTTGATCATCAATTGGATTGTTTCTTTAGAAACCACAAAAACTCTCCGAATGACCTGCTGATACATCCACCAATAGCCCTGCAGTTGACCGGTTCAGCCCTTTCCCTTCCACAAAAGCAGCTTTATGACTTTATTTACTTCATGACTTTATTCTCCCAAGTTTACAATTTTAATCTCTATGTCTTCGAAAAACTTGATGTGGTCCTGATACTCTGATGTAGTTTTGTCAGCTTTCTTATTTCTAATGTTTCTGATTGTGGTAGCAGAGTGGATCTGTTCTTTTCTAAGGAGTATAATGTTTGGTTTGCAGCTGCAGATTTTAGTGAATTAAGAGATCATGTGCTCATGCAGCCTGAGCTGACTGTCTTGTGTTTTTGGATTTCTTGTATTTTCTTTGAAGAGGCGCTGCGTCTCCAAGCGAGTCCGGCCTCTCACCCGAAATGCGCAGCTGTGCAGCGGCATGCAAAGAATTCTGGGATACCAACAGCACGAAAGCGTGCATAAATACACGCTTGAAAAAGGGGCGGGGGTAGTGTGGTTTTGAGACCGAGGCTGTGGCTGCGTCCGAATTGCCCGCTCGCATACTACATACTACTGCTAGATCCTACTCCTACATACTAAACACGTTGGCCCAATTCGGACACACTAGACAAGTGGTGGGGAAAGACAACCCCTGCAGGCAGAGAGTAGGTACTGTGCCCGTGCAGACAGTGGTAACAGAAGCCCCCCATCTGCTGGCCTGGCTGTAGTACTGCAGCGAGTACTGTACAATGATCGGTGCGCACCGATGACTTATTAGGCATCATCACCAGAAGGCACCTGTTACTCATTAACAATGAGTGGAAATATAGTAGTGCCATCACGGAGGTGGCACAGCTTCAGAGAAAAGCCAGCATGCCTGCAACCAGATTGATGCTGCTCTCGTCGCCGCCTTGCATTTTCTATGTGATGATTCCTGGAGTCATTGCCACAGGTAAGCTATGACATGAAGTGCTTGAACTAGAAGCTCTGTCATGTATTTCTTGTTACTAGTCTTTTCTGGTGTTTGTCCAGACACCGCAAAAGCAACTCTGTTCTACACATGACATTATGTGGTTTCTTTGATTTTTCAGCATGGCCCACGCGGGCCATTCACTCAGCTCAACAGCACCGTGCCCATCATTCATCACTTTTTGGATGACACCGTTGACGCGCACCCCAACCTTCGCCTCTCTGGTCGCTCGCTTGCTGCCCATACTGCTGCCATCGACCTCAGCGTGACCCGAGGCTGGCCAAAGGGCATAGAGGTGCTGCTGTTTGTTTTTTGGCTGGCCCATGCAGCGTCCTACAGGGTGGTGGCTGCATCCTGCGACATTCCGAAGTCCACTGTGCACGATATTGCGCACAGGGTGACCAAGGCTGTCTTGGGCATCCTGGGCCGCACCATCCACCTCCCCGACCCTGACCAGCTGGAGGACATCGCTGCTGGCTTCAGCTGCCTCGGGGGAAGTCCAGCTCTGCGGACAGTGGTCGGGGCAATTGATGGCTGCCATGTCTGCATCAAGCCACCTGCAGCACATCAGCTGGACTTTTTAAACCGTAAGCTGTTCCATTCCATCCAGCTCCAGGCCATCTGTGACCACCAGGGGAGGTTTATTGACTTGCTTGTTGGCTTCCCTGGCTCCGTCCACGATGCCCGTGTCCTGCGGAACAGCCCGGTCTATTACAGCCCGGTCTATTACAGACAGCTGTACCCACCGGAGGGCTGGTGCATCCTGGGGGATGGAGGCTACCCCTGTTTGGGTGCCCCCATCTGCCTCCTGACGACTTACTGGGAACCTGTGGCCAACCCCATGCAGGCCCAGTTCAACATCATCCACGGCAAGGCACGGAACATTATCGAGCAGGCCTTCGCAATGGTGAAGGCTCGTTGGCGCTCCATCTTCCTCAGGGCCCTTGAGGTGAAGCCAGCATTTGCATCGGAGGTGGTCACCTGTTGTGCCATCCTCCACAACATCTGCATGGACAACGGTGACCTCTTCGAGGCCGAGCCTCCCCCTGAGGAAGATGGACCGCCTCCCTGTTCTGATGCGGCATCAGGGGAAAACCTGCGGGACTGACTGGCTGCAGCAGTGTCTGCCCAGAGGTTGCGGTTGCTGTCCTCCAGGACCACAATTATTGTTGATTGTTGTTTTGTTTTGTTTTGTTGTTGCTGCTACCTCTCTGTCCTTTGGTCAGTCTCGGTTCCACTTTGTTGTCAATGGCAGCAGTGAGAGCAGCAAAAGAGTGATGTTAGAGGAGAAGGTTGGAGTGCAGGTTAACTATGTCACAGTGCTGTTGACACTTTCTTTTGGTATATTTGTTTCCTTTAAATGTGCGGCCTGATATAGGGCAATTACTTATGTTGCGTTTCGGTTCTGTATGATTCATTTCTGTTCTGCATGATGAAATATTTTTTTGGGGAGAATGCTCCTGACACTGGTGTGGTTCTTGATGACCCGAAACATGAAATACACTGAGAGAAGTCCATCTGCTTAGGTCAGATCTGCTAATCACCTCCACCAACCTTTATAACACAGAGATACAATTGACACATCACATTGCTTGGACCAAACCATTTTATTCCAGAAAAGTTTTGCCATAGAGTGATGCTGTGTGTGGCACGTTTCCTAACAGCATATATCACCCTGACTAGTTTCACTGATTGTTGACTCACCTGAGTCACTAACAACACACCAACAAATGTTGACGACCCTCCCAGGGCTTGGAGCCAGGAGGCTTCAAACTCCTTTCTTTAGTTATTATGACTCACAGAGGTTAACTACTCCCCTGTCCCCACCAGCATTTAGAACTGAAGAAGCTTCTTGGATGAGAGGCGAATCGTCTTCAGGAAAGCTCCAAGTGGAGATGCACTCAAGAACCTGTAGCCATTTCCCTACAAGGATTGACAGTGCTTCGCAGACACACATACAGCCATGGTGCCATAACACATGCAGAGGCATTTAAGAACAAAAAACCGTAACATTTAAAATGTTGGGCCCCCTACTCAAACATAAAGCAATCGCCTAAATTAAACATACACAAACTGAAATCCTCAAACACAAAACTCGTACTGCCTCCTGGCCAGCAGGTCCAAAATGTTTAAAAAGCGCTCCTCCCTCTCCCGAGCCTCCCTGTTTCTTCTGTCCTCCCTCTCCTGTCCTTCGCTCTCTCTTCTTTCTTCCCTTTGCTCCCTTTCCCTCTCTCTTCTTTCTTCCCTTTCCTCCCTTTCCCTGTCTCTTCTCTCCTCTCTGTCCATCCACTCCCTCCACCTCCTCTCCTCCCTGGCTTCAGCCTCCCTCTCCTGCTCCTCCAATCTGGTCTCCACCTCCTGCCAAATGTCCTCCAACGCTGGCCTCCTCCTCCTCCTCCCCCTCCTCGGGGGAGAGCTGCCCTGGCTCTGAGGGTTGGCGGGTGGTGAGGTGGAGCGTGGAGCAGCGGTGGAGGTGGAAGCCTCTGTGGGCGTGGAGGGCCGTGTGGTGGAGCCTGAGGGCCATGTGGTGGAGCTGGAGGGTGATGGGGAGCTGCAGGGTGTTTCTGCAGGCGTCACCGTGGCTGAGGGTGATGAGGATACACCAGCATCCTGGCCAGCTGATGCAATGAGGCATGGTGGCGTGATGTTGGGCATCAGCTCGAACCATGGCCAGAATGCTGCTGTATCCTCACCACCCTTGGTGCTGACGCCTGTCTTGGGAGCCTTCAGTCTCTGTAGGACATGAGAGTATCAAGATTAACCTTCATAATTAACAGGAGGATTGACTGTTGATGGCAGATGTTGGCCCAACATACTCGATATTTGTCTTTCAGGTTGTCCCATTTTTTTTCGCACTCTCAGCCGTGATGTGCGGCAGGAGGCTGGGGCTGTCCTGCAAGAACCTCCAGAAGGCCAAACACAGTGTATTGCGAGGTAACAATTAGACACACGGATTGTATGAAGAATCATGAAACTTATGAATGGCTTGACTTACTCAAAGGCCTTTCTGGCCGTGTTTCTGCGCCCGGTGAACAGGTGGTCATGGCTGAGCCACCACCTGATCAAATGCTCAGTCTGCTCGTCCGTCCCTAAGAAATACACATGCTACTGGAATGAACAAACCTTGGCTAAAAGTGGTAGAAGACAGAAAGCTGATGAATGTTTGGGTCTGCTCTCTTTCCCCTCGAAGTCATGTTACAGTTTTAGACTCTTTTAATGGAAATTGTGCAAGTGATGGATGCTGTTGCATTATATTCCTGCACTGCTTTAGAAATTCACAAAGTAGCTTTTCCATTACTTTCACTCACGTGGTGATCGTTTGTTCAATGAAATCTGCCTGATTACTGCAGCTGTGCAGTTTAATAATGGAATAAGTGAGCTTTACCTCCATGATGTCGCCACATATTTGCTCATAAAATGATTACTTGGGCAAATATGACACCATGACATGACAAAGAGATACAACCGCACATTTTTTAGGACAGTGTGTGAAGTTACATGATACTTACATCTGTACTGCTGCGGTCCTGCCTGCTGCTGCCGCTCCGCCATGGTGCGCGCTGCTGTGGCCAGCCGGCGTTTGCGACGCATTTAAATAGGCAGAGCAGCTGGTGGCGCTAGCATCACATGCGCTTCTACAACTTTTAAGAGGATGAAGAAGAAACCCGAGGTGCATTTTGGGTCGGTAGCATGCCCGAAGGTTGCACTGCGACCATACTACAATGTGGGCGTGTCTAGTATCTGAAGTAGTATCGGAAGTAGCATGCTACTCGCTCCAGTGGCCAATTCGGACATGCTACATACTACTTCGACTACTGCTTCGACTACTACTTGGCAATTTGGGCGCAGCTTCTGTCTCATTTCAGAGACCTCACCGTCGAACGGTGCGTTTGAAGCGTGCATGATGTCATCATGCGGCGCAAACGGTGTCCCATTTGGCACGAAATGCTAAGCGCGCTTCAAATTCTGTCTCAAAACCACACTACCCTTGCCCCTTTTTCAAGCGTGTATTTATGCACGCTTTCGTGCCGTTGGTATCCCAGAATTCTTTGCGTGCCGCTGCACAGCTACACATTTCGGGTGAGAGGCTTGACTCGCTTGGAGACGCAGCGCGTCTTCAAAGAAGACTGTGTGTGTGTTGTGTGTGTCTGTGTATGAAAGCTGATGTGTTGCATGTGAGTTAATTTATCTCCTTTTTGTGTTGTAGATGAATCTGTATCCAGAAAAGAGATCCACCAACTCAACCTGCAGTACAACCAGTTCTGTGATGATTATGAAGCTCTGAAAAGAGAACTGCATGCCACACAAGAAGAAAATCAACATCTGGGGGAACAACTTAAGAAGTCCTATTTGGGTTTGATTCCATAAAAAACACAAATGCCAAATTAACTTTTTTTTTACTGGTTTACAGTCATTATAAATGTTTATGTGGCTACTGGATATTGTGAAAAGAGGCACACTTGTGCTTTAAGGTTAAGTTGAGAGAATCACCTCCTTTTGGTTCTAATGACAGCAAGACTTGGACTCACCAACAGAGTCCTTGCCTACAGATTTGGGCTTCCATTCTCAACTGTATCAAAAATACTAAGAGACCAGATACCCATATTGTCCTCAACAGTGAAACCTTTGATAATGTGGCCTAGTAAGGATGCAGTGAGAGGGAACACGTCAAAGTATTTTAAACCAAATTTTGGAATTGTCGTTGTATTATAGACTGTACTGAGATATTTATAGAAAGAACATACAATCTTAAAGCAAGTGCTGAACCTGGTCAAATTGTAAGCACTAAAACACATCGAATTTGAATCACACCACATCACACTTAAGATTCTGGCTTTTTGGGTAAACATGAGCATGGTGACGAGATCCTTGCAGACAGAGGTTTCCTTGTTAGAGAGGATTTGGCCAGTGAAGGAGCAACATTAAGAATCCCAAGTTTCACAAAGAGGAAATCTCAGTTGCCAGGTTCTTGTGTTGACACTTCATGTCAGTTGTCAAGACTCTGTATACATGTGGAGCAAGTTATTGGTCAGCTTAAAACCTTTCAGATACTGAGCATCGTTACACCTATCAGCCAAGTTGATATGCTTGATGACATTTTGAACATATGTGCTGGTCTTACGAACCATAGGGGGGCTGTGGTGGCCCGGTGATAACTGTGTTTAGAGTCAAGGAGATGTACATTACTTTCCATAATTGTGTCAGGCTTTTTAGGGCTAATCAGGGCAATGGTGGTCACTCACTACTTGCTCTCTTTCTACATTTCAACAATAACAAGTGTAAATAATTGATACTATATGACCTCAATGAACATTTATGCCTGGAAATGATTTTTTTCTAGCTTTCAGCTAAGTTTTGAGTATTATCATTGTCTGCAGAACTCAAACTGCACTTCTTTCTGGGGATGAACAATATGTATATCAGTGCTTTTTTGTGATTTTATGTAAATGTACATTAAGAAAAAAAGTAAGTGAACAGTCAAAGAGTCAGATGTATTGTTTGTTTGTTGTGGTGTTAACAGTAATGAAATAAGTTAGATTTTTTCAGGTGTGCCTACCTATTCATGTTTGCTCATTACATCAGTTTTTCCTCACCTGCTGTTGTCCAGCATCCAGTTTTTACCATCGTTGGATGTATCTATCTGCATCCACATTTCCAATTTTTGGAGTATCCGGTAATGTTCACACATGCATAGTGCTAGAGTTGGCAGCAGTCTGTGCACTTGATCTTTCTGCCAAAGCTTGGCTTTTTGCAGTACAGACATTTGATCGGGGTCTTTGCAGCAGCAGACAATTTCTGGAAGGAGGTGGTCCATGAAGAAAGATTCAGCCTTGGGAAGAGTTTCTTGTAGAAAGGGCTCACCTCTCCGTAGCCAACATGATGCTGCTTGTCTTGGTTCAAACCATAAAATCACAGATGTCCATTGGTTACTTTTGTTGTACATTTGTTACTGAATCTGTGAGTAATATGGGTGGGTGGGTTGCAGATCGTAGTTTCCATCAAGGCAAAAGGATGCATCAGACTCTGACCCTTTTAGTCCCACCCTGTACTTGTATGGACACTTTGGGCTCTATTTTGGTGCCTCGCCGGAGACGTGCCGCAAGCGCAGCGTCAGTCAGATCCGCCGCGCTGACAAGGCGTTCCCAAGCACATTTTGGTATTTTGGTGAGCCGCGCAGCCCGGCGTAAGTATCCCCCCTCCCTAACTCAGCTCCTCCCGGCAGCATAAGTCATAGACGGGGAGGAGAGAGGGCGTGGAGTCGGTTTAACACAGCCGAGACCTGTTTTCACCAATCAAATAAGCTCCTCTCCTTGCCTTTAAAGCCGCCACAGGCGAGGTGTATTACAATTTTCATGAAGTAGTCAAAGAGATCAAGAGATGTCTTAAGACAGTAATGCCACAAGATGGCGACAGAGGGCAGCTCCTCAACAAGTGTCCTCCACACTCTCTCAAATGAGCACAGATGGATTTAGTGTGCGTAATGTTGGACCCACTGGTAAGACAAACACCCGTTTCCACAAATAAAGACACTCACATAAAGTTGCTCATATTCAAACCTCACGTGACAAAGGTGGGTTGAGCGCACAGATCACAACATAAACTCCAAAAATGGCATTAAAATCGGAACCATCTGTGCGTAAATGACGCATCGCGCTCCGTGGTCTGGCTCTTTCTTTCATAGATGTTGGCATATAAAATAAATTTGGCTCACAAAACTGAATATTATAATATCCGTATGTCGGCTTAAAGTAGATAATGCATCTGAGCACTGAAACAAATCATCTGTTCAGCTGCAGCAGCAGCAAGACGGACATTCCCCATGGCAGGAGAAACAGTCAAGTTTTTCCTGCCCATCACTCAATGGCTCAATCGCATCGCTCTCCCGGCAACACCGTAACGAGGAGCAACTTGCCGTTTGGATATATCCTAGCTGTGTTTGTGCCCTCACTCATGGTCCAGACTTTTTTCAAATAGGACATGTAGTTTGTCTGCAGCGAGTGTTTTGGTAGAAACTGCGCCTCCCATTCATTATAATGGGAAATGACCACAGACAAGTGCGCACACCATCTTTGGACCTTGAGTGTGACGCGATCGGGAGGGGGAGGTGGTCGCGCTGGGGGCGGTGCGACGCGGCTCGGGCCCGACAGTGCCCCACCGGGGCCCTAGTTTAATTTGATGCGGTTTCAGCTGTGTTGATTCGGTCAGGTTGTGTGTCCAAACGCGTGCCAAACGCGCTCATCAGATCAGATATAGATCAGAATATATCGATATAGATCCAAATGTATGTGCTGACTCAGATTAATAGTTGATGATGATTATTTATTGCACTGAAATGTGCCTGACACTGTGGAAACCTGCCGGTGAGGCATCAGTGACGTATGTCGATACGCCGCCGGTCTACCAAAATACTACAAGACCAGCTGCGTTCCGCCTTGCGCTGAAAGCTGACCAGGTTTGAATCGGCGAGCTTTCAGCGCACTTTACACGCCGTTGGCGAGCACGAAAATGTCACTGCGCCAGCTGATTCTGTCGACACCTCCCCCTGCCACACCACCACGCCCAGCTTGGCGGATCTCAGCTCGCCTCTGTGCGGCTCATGCCACGAAAATACCAAACTGGCCTTACGCTGGGCTCCGCCAGACGAAAATACAACTGCGTGGGGCTCGCCACCCTCCGCCGCCTCACCGGCGCGCACGAAAATAGAGCCCTTTATCTGTAGCAAGCCTGTTTATATATATATATATATATATATATATATATATATATATATATATGTATGCTATGTGCTGTGTGTGTTTTTGCACTGGGCATGTGATGCGTCTTAGTGCAGTAGTGATGGAGTAGGCTAGTGCTTGTAGTTAGTGCATGCTGCATGCCGCTTCATGTCACTTCTGCTTGCTATTTCCTGCTTTCAGCTACTGCTGCCGGCTAGCTTCAAGCGAAAAGAGGAGCAGAGTGCGTAAGCCTCCTCAGCCAGTACAATAGCCTCTCCATAGCCAAGACTCGTACATGCCTCCTCGTGGCCACACACGGTAACTGGTTCCTTGCGGTCCCAGGCTAAGTTGCATGGGATCTCGGAGCAGCAGAGGGCCCCAGAGATGCGGCATGCAGGCCCACCGGTGTGTGGACACGCCCTGGTGCCCGTCATCCTCTGTCCCAGCCATGGGCAAATGACGAAGACCCCCACTGCCTTGTGGGTTAGTCTGGGAAGACAAAAGGCTAGGGGAGCACACCCTGAGAGAAAAGCAAGTGCTGGTAGGCGCACCATAGGCGGTCCTCCGACAGACAGGAGCTCCTACAGCTGTGTGGAGGTGCCGGTCGTCCTAGGTCTCCCTTGCCATCAGATACAGCTCCCCACAGCGAAGCAGTGACGCTGGAGTATGCGCATCCCCCACTCAGACTTAACCCTGGATAGGATACCGCGCCTATCAGGTGATTCCGCCAGCAGTCGAAAACAAACAAATGCAAAGCAAAAAAGAAACTTACCTCTACGACTGGCAACCTGGAACATCAGGACCCTCTTGGACTCCAGTCAAAACACCAGCAGGCCAGACCGAAGAACAGCACTGGTCGCGGCAGAGCTTAAGCGCTTTAACATCGATGTCGCTGCTCCAAGTGAGACCAGATTACTGGGAGAGGGATCAATCAGGGAAGAGGGATCTGGCTACACCTTCTTTTGGAAGGGATACCCACTGGAGGACAACACCTGCATGGCGTTGGCCTGGCTATCAAGAACTGCCTTTTGCTAATCTCACTGAGACACCAACTGGCATAAATGGAAGACTCATGTCACTCCACATCCCCCTTGCAGGAAGACAGCATGCCACCCTCTTCAGTGCCTATGCACCCACTCTGCCATCAGAGGAGGACGTGAAATCCCGCTTCTATCAGGTACTGGATGAGGCCCTGCACAAAGTCCCCAAAGGCGACAAGATCCTGCTGCTGGGTGACTTTAATTTAAGAGTGGGGAAAAGCAGCGTTGTCTGGAAAGGCATGATTGGGCAACATGGCGCTGGCCACTCCAATGCTAATGGGCTAAGGCCCCTAAGCCTCTGTGCAGAACACAACCTTACCATCACCAACACCATCTTCCAAATGCAAAACAAATATAAAACCTCCTGGATGCATCCTGGATCCAAGCACTGGCACCTCTTGGACTACATCATTGTCAGACACACAGATTTGAGAGATGTCCACGTCACCAGAGCCATGAGAGGGGCAGAGCGCTGGACAGACCATAGGATGATCATGGACATGCTCAAACTGAGGATTTGCCCAGCGCTACGCCTCCAAAAACCCACCAAGAGAAGGTTGCACTGTGCCCGGCTGGAGGAAATGGAGACATGCAATACCCTCCAATGTTCCCTGGCTAAACAGCTGGAGAACATTGATTCTCTCCTGGGCATGGAGGGGTCGACTACAGACAAGTGGTCCACCCTGAGCTCTTCACTTTATGAAGCAGCTGCACAATCTATTGGCTACAGCAGGAAAAAACACCAGGACTGGTTCGACGAGAACTCCACACATATCACCATTCTCCTCAATAACATGCACAAAGCCCACAAAGCCCTGCTCAACAGTCCATCTTCCATAGCCCTGAAACATCAATGGCAACATCAATGGCAAGATCAAAGGAGAGTGGTCCAGTGTACTCTGAGGCAAACTCAAAATCACTGGTGGGTATCCAAGGCCCAGGAGATACAATCGCATGCAGACAGAAATGACATGCACAATTTCTATGATGCAATAAAGTCCATCCATGGTCCAAGAACCCATACTGTCTGCCCTCTTCGAACTGCAGATGAATCCTCCCTCATTAAGGACCAAGCATTTATTGTCCAAAGATGGGGGGAGCACTTTGAGGCACTTCTAAACTAGCCAGCCGCGGTCGATCTGTCAGTCTTGGAGCGACTATAGGCTGGATGGGAGCCTCTTCATTGTCCCCCATTTCAAATACCTGGGAAGTATCCTGTCAGAAGACTGCAGCATTGACAAGGACATCGAAAACAGGATAAAACAGGCCTCATCATCCTTTGGACGACTGAGGAAAAGGGTCTTCTGCAACAGCAACCTCCACCTACACACAAAGATTGCAGTATACCGGGCCATATGCATTTCCACCCTCCTATATGGCTGCAAAACATGGACACTCTACGCACGCCATTTAAAAACCCTCGAGGCATTTCACATTAAGTGCCTCCAGCGCATCCTAAAGGTGACCTGGCGAGACCGTCTCTATCACACTGAAGTCCTCGAGAAACCAACTGCAGGAGCATAGAGGCGACCATTATGCACCACCAACTAGGATGGCTGGGTCACATTATAAGGATGCCAGCCAATCGCCTGCCCCGCAAGATACTATATGGCCAACTCCACCTAGGCCAACGCTCCGCAGGAGGACCGAAGAAAAGACTGAAGGACAAACTCAAGATCACCCCAAAGAAGTGTGGAATCAAACCCCCTTCCCTTGAGGATGCCGCAGCAGATCGCCCCTCCTGGCGTGGACTCAGCCAAAAAGGAGTCCAACTCGCTGAGGAGGAGAGAAGGAAACAGTGCCTAGCAAAGAGTCAGAGGCGGAAGCTGGCCCAGTCTGCACCTGCCACATCGGGCCCGGCCTACACATGCCCTGACTGTGGCAGACGGTGTAAATCACGCATTGGATTGTACAGTCATCAAAGGACTCACAAACAGTAACAGAAGTCATCATCGGCGACGATGGACTACCTAAAGAAGAAAAAGAAAGTGTGTGTGTGTATACAGTGGATATAAAAAGTCTACACACCCCTGTTCAACTGCCAGGTTTTAGTGATGTAAGAAATTGACAGCAAGATAAATATTTTTACAACTTTTTCCACTTTTAATGTGACCTATGACCTGCACAATGCAATTGAAAAACAACTGAAACCTTTAAGGGGAAAAATGAAAAGTAGAAAAGTTAACCTGGTTACATAAATATGCACACCCCTAAACCAATACTTTGTTGCAGCACCTTTGGCTTTTATTACAGCACTCAGTCAAGTCACATCTTGATGTGGCAATATTTGCCCACTCTTCGTTGCAAAACCGCTCCAAATCTGAGAGATTGCGAGGGCATCTCCTATGCACAGCCCTCTTCAGATCACCCCACAGATATTCGACGGGATTCAGGTCTGGGCTCTGGCTGGGCCATTCCAAAGTCTCAATCTTATTCTGGCGAAGCCATTCTTTTGTTGATTTTGATGTGTGCTTTGGGTCATTGTCATGCTGAAAGATGAAGTTCCTCTTCATCTTCAGCTTTCTAGCAGAAGGCCGAAGGTTTTGTGCCAACACTGACTGGTATCTGGAACTGTTCATAATTCCCTCCGCCCTGACTAAGGCACCAATTGCAGCTGAAGAAAAACAGCCCCAAAGCATGATGCTGCCACAACCATGCTTCACTGTAGGTATGTTGTTCAACTTTGGTTTCATCAGACCATAACACATTTTCCCACATGCGTTTGGGAGATTTCAGATGTCTTTTGCAAAATTAAGCCTGGCTTTGATGTTTTTCTTTGTAAGATAAGGCTTCTGTCTTGCCACCCTACCCCATAGCCCAGACATATGAAGACAGCGGGAGATTGTTGTCATATATACTACACAGCCAGTACTTGCCAGAAATTCCTTGCTATCAGCCTCTTGGTAGCCTCCCTGACCAGTTTTCTTCTTGTCTTATCATCAATTTTGGACGGACGTCCTATTCTTGGTAATGCCACCGCTGTGCCTTATTTTCTCCACTTGATGATGACGGTCTTTACTGTGTTCCATGGTATATTTAATTCCTTGGAAATTCTTTTGTAGCCCTTACCTGACTGATATCTTTGAATAATGAGATCCCTTTGATGCTTTGGAAGCTCTCTGCGGACCATGGCTCTTGCTGGAAGATGTGGCAATGATTGCAATGAAAAACCTCTGTACGATGGGCAGCCCTATCCCGTAATCCCGTAATACCGTCTGCATTGTCGTCCTCCTCCTGCCCAAAGACATTTTCAGTAAGCGGAGTTATGGGCTTAATCTGCTCCATCATGTCCACCCAGCTACATGAGCTTGCTGCTGATGGGACCTGAGGGCCTGAGCAGTTCCTGATGGGGAGAGGGATGGATCCTTGCCACTGGGACCGATCCCCGCCATTCTTAATCTCCTCTCCAGAATTTTTGCTGGCATCTTAGTGCAGTGAGCACAGACCTGTGGGTCCGCCAGTGATGCCTTAGCGTGCTTAGTTACCATGCACACAATGTACATAGGGTGGGAGTCTCTGCCCGAAATCGGTGCCCCACATGACATAGGACAAAGGCAGGGAGAGCCCTTTCCCCTCCTTCTGCCCAGCTCCTGTGATGGGGGCTGCGGGGGCAGACGTGTTCACTGGGGGAGACTGTGCTAGGGGTTAGCCTAGTTTTTTATTGGGGTTCTTAGTCGGTGTGAGCCTAACTATGTATCTGTCGTGTGGAGAACAACTCGCTGCTACGTGTTAGCTGTGCTCCAAGCTAAGGCTGCTAACAAGCTAATGTTAGCTCCTAGCCAAGCTCAAATGAATGTAGCCCGAAGCTAGCACAGGACACCAGGTAGGTGAGCACCTAGTGACCTGCCGGGAAGCTTGCCACAATGTGGTTGCAATCCCACCGAATTACTGAGCACAGTTCAGCATCTGTTGGTGCTGTACTAGGCAACATTTCTCTTGACGGGACGTCTTGTAGCAGTTGAGCTAGCAACCAACTCAACCACTGGCTGTACTGAGGGAGCTCTCATAATTTTCCTGAGGAAGAAAGTAAGAATGGCCCAGTTGGGGTGGTTGAGCGTGATATTTAGAAGGGGCGGGGCCATCCTCACGTTGTGTCATTGGAGCTTCCATAATGATCTCACCTGAAGGGATTCCCATAGTGAAACACCGAGCAAAGTTAGAAAAAGAACCTTTATGAAGTAAGAAAAGTGAAAAGGAGAGGTAAATAAGTCATAGGTTAGGAAATGGATATATAAACCCTTTCATCCATCAGTCATCATGAGAGGTCAGACAGAGATGCTAAAGATGGTGGCAAGAAGACAGGAAGGGGTTTGGCTTTATTTGTCCAGCTGAACTAAATGACTACAGACCAGTGAATGTTACTTCACACATCATGAAAACCCTGAAGCGGGTGATTCTATGCCTGCTGAGGCCTGAGGTCAAAGACAAACTCGATTCCCAGATTTGCACACAGAGAGCACATTGTAGTGGATGAGGCTGTCCTCTACATGCTTGACCATGCCCTGTCTCATCTGAAGGAACCTGGAGTTTTTATGAGGATCATGTTCTTTGACTTTGCAAGTGCATTCAACGCCATCCAATCCACCATACTCAAAGACAAGCTCACAGAGATGGGAGTGGATCCTTCCAGTGTTTCTTGGATCACAGATTACCTGACAGGAAGACTAAAGTTTGTCAGGCTGGGGAACTGTGTTTCTGGGACATGAATGAATTAATGAGCAGTACAAGGGCTCCACAAGGGACAGTCCCGGCTCCATCCCTGTTCACACTGTATACATCAGACTTCAGATACAGCACTGAGTCCTGCCACATCCAGAAATACTCAGGTGACACTGCTATTGTGGTAATTATCAGAAATGGAAAGGATGCTGAATACAGGGATCGGATAAGAGCCTTCAGTGACTGGAGTAACAAAATCTGCCTCCGACTTAACACCTCAAAGACAAAAGAAACGATTGTAGACTTCCGCCAATCCAAACCCCCTCTTCAGCCACGCACGTGTGCTAGCTGGTGCACCTATCAAAGAGTGGACCTCTCTGTCATTTACACATTTACCAACAGTGGACAGGCAGGCAGACAGGGGTCCTCTTGTAGACATGTTTAAAATCCTATCCAAACCCATTGGTTTTGACGGCTGGGCTTCATAGGTACAGGCCCGGCAACCAGGCGCTGGCTATCAAGCCCCACCCCCAGGCCTGGCTCTAGGAGGGGTCCTGGTGACCAGCATCCGAGCGAGGGAAACTAAGTATCAATTATATTGTTCATCACAAGGTATCTATTTGAGCCACCCTTAGTCTGATCCCTCCCCCAAGACCTGCTTGCCATGGTTAGAGCCCCTGACAACTTAGCTCCTGGGATCATTGGGACACGCAGACCCCTCCACCATGGTAAGGAGGTGGCTCGAGGAGGGGGAAAATTATTTTCAAAAAAAAATTCCTTTTTTTTTTTAAATAGTTCAAAATTTGGGGGTGTTCAAATTTTTTTTATTTTTCAATGCAACTCCTCTGGAACCTTTGTCCATGGGACTTCCTTGGTTTCTACTTGACCTCTTCCATCCCTTCCTCTCTGGTCCTTAGTCCGTCCATTATGGCTTCAGCTGGTGTAGATCTGATGACACTGATGGACTCCAGCAGAGTGGCTTTCTGCCTCTGCCACTGGAGCTTGTGCTTCTGCAGATCCTTATTGGCCTGGAATAGGGAAGCCTCCAAACTGAAAGATTTCTCCTGCTCCGCAAGGAGCTGTGACTGGACCTCTTCCCTTTGATGTGTCTGTTTGGATAGGTCCTCTTTAGTCTGCCTGAGGACTGCCCTCCGGGAGAAAGTCGGGACCGCCCTCTCGCCATAGAACTCCAGTGAAGCTGGGCTTCCATTGGGCGGGACAAAGCCCAGCATTTATCCAATGAGCGTCTAGTTTCGCTGCTGGAACAACCCACTTTAAGCTTCCACATTGAAGTCAGCAGAAGCCCAGCGTCCGACTGTTTGAAGCGCTGAGGCGCTGCGAGGATGAATGAGAACGAAGTTATGCCGGTTACCTGTGATTATCAGCTTCTTATCACAGTGTCTGAACAAAAGTTGAAGGCTTTCTAGTGCATATTTAGTTAATGAAATGTACACACAGCCGTACGTATTTCACCACTTTTTCTTTTTTTGGGGGGGTGACATTTTAAGGGAAGCCGAGCTTCCCTTGCAGTCTTAGAGCAATCGCCACTGATTCTGAGGTGTGACGAGTGGGAGTGAACCCACCAACTACATCCTCCTCCACTGTCAGAACAAACATCTGCTGTTGGGGTGGAATTTCCTGTGTTTTCCACTCTTAGCAGATTTATGTGGAATGTCTGCTTCCGATATCTTCTCTCAGACATCTCAATCTCATAAATTGCTGGACTTAGTTTTTTTCAGCACAGTATATGGACCCTGCCATTTTGCCAGTAACTTGTTTTTAACTGTTGGAAGAAGTAGAAGCACTTGCTGACTTGGGCTGAAGGATGTCTCTCTGGCTGCCTTGTAATACCAGGTTTGCTGTCCACTCTGAGCCTTCTCCATATTCCTCTTCACCAGCTTTGTGACCTGCTCCATCCTCTCTCTCATCTGCAAAACGAATGCCAGGATGCTGGTTTTCTTCCCCTGGGATTCCACCCAGGACTTCTGTAGCACATCAAGGGGACCTCTCACCTGCCTGTCATAAAGGAGCTCAAAAGGCGAGAAGCCTGTCGATGCCTGGGGCACTTCCCTGTAGGCGAGCAGGAGATAAGGAAGCCACCTGTCCCAGTCTTGGGCATTAGCATAAATAAACTTCTTCAGCATGCTTTTGAGAGTTCTGTTGTACTGCTCTACTAAGCCATCGGTCTGGGGGTGATAAGGGGTGTTCCAAATACCCCTAATGCCTAAGAGCCTGTACACCTACCTAAAGTGTATCTGACAGAAAAATTGTGCTTGATCTG